GGCCCGGACAGCCCCACCAGGTGGCCCTTAGGCCACGCCTGAAGTCCGCTGAGTCTTCTCGGCACCCGATTTCTTGGGGAGCCACGGATTCAGGTTGGAGCAAGGATTTGCCCTTCGCAGGAAAGGAGAGGCCAGTCCCAGGCCTTCCCAGGGTGTTGGGGGTTCTTGTCTCGCCTCGCAGAAAAGAATTTCAGCGTCGATGAGCAGCGAAATAAAACAGGTTTTATTTGGAGGTTTTGAAAGAAAGGAGGGGGAGAAAGTGGGAGAGGGAGGCACCCAAGGGAGAGTTGTGGGCCCTGAATGACCTTTACGACAGCTTTGTGCTTATTCTTAGGGGTACCTTAGTCTGGAGTTTTCTGAGGGTCGATCAGGTATTGTATCAAAGGAACAGCTGTGACGTTTCTGGTGAATCTCTTTCAAGTCCTTAATTGTGTGTCTGTCTCTGTAGGGGTCCAGCCTTTTCAGGGCTCTTTACTGACTGGTGCCTGGTGAGGGTCCTATTAGGCCTTAGTTCCTGTTTTCTGCAAGGTTGGCTTTCCCAGCTTCAGGGCAATTACTTCCCAGGAAATTTTCTGCTGTTGCCTTGGGAGGGGGTCTTCCCTATCTGCCTGCCTGCCTGCCTACATCAATGGGAGGTAGGAGGCGTGAGTGGGGGGTGGGGAGGTGCCCCCTGGTGGGTCAGAGATGGGGATGAGGGTGTGGGACGGTGAGCGTGCAGGGAGAGCACTGCAGGTGGAGGACTCGGAGAACAGGGAGCAGTCGGGAGAGGCTTTGCAGAGGAGACAGGGAGGCTGGGGAGGGCTCAGGGTCAGGGAGGGTGGGCCAGGTGTGAGTGACACTCGTGACCCCGGGGGACTCTCAGACAGGGCAGGTGTCAGAGGATGGAGCAGCCTGGTCTGGGCGAAGCAGCAGTTCAGGCTCCTGCAGGGGAGGGGGAGGGAATGGAGGGTGGAGAAGAGACTGGAGTTAGAGGGTGGAGGGAAGTGTCCCACCCGCAGGAGAGGGGAGGGGAGAGGCAGGGGGAGGGTTTCTGCAGCAGCCTGGCAGGTCCTGGAAGAAGCTGTGTCCTCAGAGGCCAGCAGGGCAGGGCCCTCATGGCGGCAGTGGAGAGGGCAGGAGCGCAGAAAGATTTCCATCCAGTTTGATTCCCGCAGCAGAGTGGAGGCACTGCCTGGGGCTGCCTCTGCCGGCCCCATCCACTCCTGCCCTCAGCCTGGTACGCACCTGGCCCAGCACTCAGCTCGGGGAACACCTGGCCCAGGTGTGGGGTCTGCACGCTGGAAGAGGAGCTTTGACAGGGACGGCAGCGCGGGAGCCTGTTGGGTCACTGTGGGCACAGTGCCAGGCTGGGAGCGGGATTGCCCTGGACAGAGGGATATCGGGGGTGGGAGGCAGAAGGCTCCAGCCCGTGGGACCTTTGAGGGTGGAGGAAGCTCATGGTAGACTGGTATGGATAGACAATGGATGATGATAGTTGATAGATGGGTAATAGATGGTATGTAGTAGATGATCGATATACAGATTAATAATGTGCGTATATGTACTTCATGAGGAAATAGGTACTTCCATCTCGCCATGACGTAAGAATAAATGGGCCCAGGTGCTCTGTGCTGTGAGCTGGCATCTGGGAGGCCTTGGCTCTTACTGGGAAAAGAAAGTGATTCCCGTTTCCCAGGGCTGAACACAGGCGCCTCCCGCTCCGGGCCCACTGGCTCCCTGCAGCAAGCTTCCGGCATCCTTGCTGTGACGAGCCAACACGTCTGAAGAGATTTCAGTGCACAGTGCCAGAAGTGAGATGCCGCATGTGGACTCTTCACAAAACCAAAATTTAATTTCAGTCTTCTCTTTCCGGGCTGCCTGGCTGGCTTCGGTGAGAACGGGTCGATTCTGACGCTCTTGGGTACATGAACCAGCTTGACAGAGCGTCGGGGCTACTGCAGGTGGGCCAGGGAGATGGGCCGGGGGGGGGGCTCATGGACTCGGGCGTTCGTGCCCCGCCTCTGCTAGAGCAGCTTGGCCCGCTGTGAGTCTGCCTGGTGGGCCAGGCTATCCCTTGGATCTCCTCAGCGTCTTTCAGAGCAGTGGAGGGTGGGTGGTTGGCACCCGGCACAGCAACGCACCTTTCCTTTCGGTTCCGTTCATTCACTGCTGTATGAGGTACAGAAATTATTTCACGAAAGGTGCTATTTGTTTCATGAAGGTGCTAATTACTTAATGAAAGGTGCTGTTTGTTATTTATTCATAAACAGCAAGTAGCAAAATGTGTCTCTACAGCTGAAATAATAGTGGGGAGCACTGTGGTCAGCCACAGCCGAGTGGTTTCACGGGGGCTGGGATTACTTCCTTTATTCCCGTCCTCACGGAGGAACTGTCTTAATTTGGGGTTGGAAACCTTCAGTGTCTGAGTGAGTGATGGGTCTGGACTGAGGGAGGGGAGGCCCAGAGCCCTCAGCCCGATGCTCTTGGTAACTTGCTACCGGCCGGACCACAGCTGCCCCCATGGCAGGGGCCTGTTCTGGGTGGGCCTGGGAAACTCAGGTCCTTGCTAGGGTTGGAGGCTCACGCTGAGTTTTCTAGAGATCCAGTAGTCAGGTAGGCTGAAAGGCCCAAGGTAGCTCTGTGATCGCAGGAAGGTTTGCGTAAGTGTGCCAGGTAGGTTGGGAGCCTAAGGCAGCTCTGTGATTGAAGGAAGGTTTGTGTAAGTGTGCTTTCTTGGGGCTGGAAGGTGGCACAGCAGTTAGGACACGTGGGTGGCAAGCGCCTGACCCGGGTTTGATACCTGATATCACATGGTCCCTGAGCATCACTTGGTGTGCCCTGGACGCCCGGGGTGGCTGGGCTGGCTGGTGTCCCCGCAACCCTGGGCCCTGTACAGGGCTGGTGCCTGGTTGCCGGAGAATCCCCAGTGGGGGCTCCAGACCTCTTGAGTGCCACGTGACGGCCCTCCTCTTGCAAAAACAGTTTTGGCCTGAGGATTTGAGGTTTGAAAGGCAGTTGCAGGTAGAGTATTCTTTGCAGGCTTTTTGTGGTTGAAAGGAACCCCAGGGGCAGGGCGTAGCAAAGCAGAGGAAGAGTGTGAATGGAGAATTGTACCCGCGAGTCCAATCTGTCACGTGGACAGAGCAACCCCCACAAATGGGAAGAATCCTCAGTGGACAGCGATGCTCACGTGCTGGGCCGTGCATTTGGTGGGGGGCGGTCAGCGTTGGAATCCATTCTCCACCATGAGAGGTCGTGAGGAGGACCCTCCTGTGGGCCACGGGTGTGCGTTCCTCTGTGTGTGTGTGTGTGTGTGTGTGTGTGTGTGTGTGTGTGTGTGTGTGTGTCCCCGCAGTCTCAGTATATCCAAGCCTTGGCTTTTACCGGAATGAATCCCCGATGGCTCTCAATGAAGGAGATCTGGTGGGGAAGATGATGTTGGTTGTGGGCACTAGGACTCCATGGGGGTGGGGGTGGCAGTCGTGGGGTGCGGGGCTGGCAGCGACGGGCTCATGCCTCACTGGGACTCAGCCTCAGCAGTGACTCAGGGCCAGGCCCCGGGGCGGGGCCGGGTACAGTTGGCAGGTCAGCAGCTTCTTCCCGACAGGCTGTCACTGAAGACGGCCGCCAGTGCCACACAGAGGCTCAAGTGTTGGGAGCTGGTTTTTTTTTTCTGTTTTTTTTTTGGGGGGGGGCCACACCCAGGGGTGCTCAGCGTTTACTCCTTTCTCTGCGCTCAGGGGTCACTCCTGGCAGGCTCAGGGGACCATGTATATGGACCATCTGGGTGCAGAGTATCGAACCTGGGTGGACTGGCCCACGGCGGAGGCTGATGTGAGCTGGAGCTGGATTGGCAGAGGTGGGGCGGTGACTTCAGTGCTCGATGCAGAGTGTAGCAGCAAAGCATCTCGACACGTGTCCTTCTGCATGTTGGGGACAGGAGGGGCTGAACCCGCTGCCTGTATGCATTCCTCAGAAGGGGTTTCTCTGGAGGAATTTCATCTTTGTTCCTCACCCTGGACCTCTGGGGAGGAGCAGGGTGAGCCGGGTAACGTCCCTGAGCTTTCCTTCTTCGGGACCCCGCATGGTGCTACGTCCATTGGGTCAAATCTAGGTTCTGTCCCATCTTGCACAATAGTTCAGGAGTAGCTTTTTCTTGGTTTGGGGGTCACACTTGGCAGTGCCCAGGTGCTACTCTGTGCTCTGGGCAACACACAGTGCCAGGGATCCAGCCTTAGAGCTCGCCACATACAAGGCAAGTGCCTTAACCCCTGTGCTGGCTCTGGCCCCTATTACAGGAATGATTTATTAGCAATTAATGTGTATAATATGCCTGTAGCATGCCAGGTGTATTATATTCACATTATCCCAAGTCGTTACAGCCCTAAGAAGTAGACGGTGTCCTCCCCTGTGTATGTCCTGGAAAACTCTGGTGTCAGGTCAGCAGGCTAACAGTTGGTAGAGCTCACATTCCCAAAGACAGTGTTCCCCAGACACATAACTGGGATCTCTAACAGCATTCACCGACGCCCTCAGAGGCCAGGGTAATCATTGCCTTCTTTTTTTTTTTCCTTTTTGGGTCACACCTGGCGATGCAGAGGTTCCTGCACTGGCTCTGCACTCAGGAGTTACTCCTGGCGGTGCTCAGGGGACCTTATGGGATGCTGGGAATCGAACCCGGGTCGGCTGCGTGCAAGGCATACGCCCTACCCGCTGTGCTATCTCTCCAGCCCCAATCATTGCCTTCTAAAGAGAAGTGTTGAGAGAAGCTGCAGGCCGTAACATCACAGTCAAGCCCCCTCCCCCAGGACAGTTAGCAAGGGACACCCACAGCTCTGGAACCCGTCGGGGGCCAGTCCCCCGCCTTTCACATCGCACCCACCTGCTGGGCTTGTGTGGGAGAGAGTCTCTGTGCAGGGGGCCACGCCCCGGGGAAGAGTGAAGAGCAGGTTTACCTGGGCACGTAGGTAAAGCCAGTTGTAGGTTAGCTAGAGTGACGCTTCTCCTTCCTTCCTGTCTAGGTGTCATCTTCCTCTGCCGCCACCAGCCGGTTCTCCAGCATGAATTCCACAGAACCCAAGGTATGACGTTTCCTCCCTGGCTCCCTTGGGTGAGCGCCTCTAAGGTGGGGCTTCCACATGTACAGCAGACATCGACCCAATGTTGATGCACGGAGAGTGTGTTTGGGAAGCTGAGGGAGGGAGGTGAGCACTCTCTTCCTCATCCCTTAGGGTCTTTGGGAGCTGACTCGGCTTCCCTGAGTCCTCGGAGGTGCCCCCTTATCGACAGCCCTCCGTGGCGGTCTCTTGGCATCTTTATCGCAGAGTCACTGACGGGGGGGATTCCCGAGAAAGAAGGGATGGCTGAGGGGCATCGCCACGTGGAGTGAGCCCAGCTCTGAGGTGCCGTGGGGTCCCTACACCCTCCCCCATAGGCAGCGCTCTGAGCTCCTGGGGAGTCCTTTGGGTGCAGGAGTGTGGAAAGGCATTCTCATCATGCGTTCACTACTTCTTACGTGCCAGCAGTCTTCTTCCTGGGGCGTTTTGATGTCAAAGTCTGGGGACGAAGACCCGAAGTTCTCAGGTGCCTCTGAAGGCTGCCCCGGCCCCATCACTCGTGGGACTCCAGTAGGAAACCACCAACACCCCTTTCCTCTCTGGCACCGTGGTTCCCCCCGCTCCTGTGGGGAGCCGAGGCCATCATTTAGAACTAGCACCCATGTTGAGTGTTGTTGAGAAATTCTGTGGCCTCATCCTGAATTTTGTTATTGCTTTAATTCTTTTAGTGGGGGCACACTGGAGGTGCTCAGGGCTGACGCCTGCCTCTTAGCTCAGGGATCACTCCTGGCGGTGCTCAGGATACCATATGGAGAGCCAGGGATCGAACCCTGGTCGGCCACACTAAGTCCAGTGTCCTCCCCGCTGTACTATGGCTTCAGCCTTCTTGTTGTTTTTAAAGACAGTGCTCTTAAATTTGCAACGGAGCATTCACTTTTCAATTTTATTTTCAACTCTAAAATTGTTTGCGTGTAGAATTGGACATGCTCTTTCGGTTTCTCGGTGTCTTCTCATCTGATCCGTAGCCAGTCCAGGGGATATGTGGTTGCCTGTTTATACTGTGCTAAGTTAGACACGGGATCTTGATATCAAAATCAGCTTAAAACCATGGAAGGGGCATTTGTCCCCAGAAAAGAGTTTGCCGTGGCCTTGAGAGTCCTTGAAAACTAAAGAGGGACAGAAAATCGAGCTGGAAAGACGGAGCCCCTTGTTCTTTTGCTTTGCCTGTGACCCGCTGTTCGATCCCAGAAGACCCCCTCCCCTCAGCTGAGGGCCGATGCCTGTTTAAAGCACCTGCTGGCCACAACAAGGGTCAGCAAACTCTTCCGGCATGAGAACTGCTGGGGGAGAGGCAGAGACAGAGACACAGAAGGGAGATTGGTGTGAGAATGGGAGAGAGAGAAGACAGGGACAAGCATGAGGGAGAGCACGAGCAGGAGGCCAGCATGAGAGAGAGAGGGAGAGAGAGAGAGGGAGAGTGAGAGAGAGGGAGAGAGAGAGGGAGAGAGAGAGGGAGGGAGAGTGAGAGAGGGAGAGAGAGAGGGAGAGAGAGAGGGAGAGAGAGAGGGAGAGAGAGAGGGAGAGAGAGGGAGAGGGAGAGAGAGAGAGGGAGGGAGGGAGAGAGAGAGGGAGAGAGAGAGGGAGGGAGGGAGAGAGAGGGAGAGAGAGGGAGAGTGAGAGAGAGGGAGAGGGAGAGAGAGGGAGAGAAAGAGGGAGGGAGAAAGAGGGAGAGAGGGAGGGGGACATCGAAGGAGGCCAGCATGAGAGAGAGAGAGAGCAAGGGGGGGGAGGTAGCTCAGGGGAGAGACGAGCAGGAGGGCTGAGCCCCCTGCAGCAATGTGGCTTGGGCTGTGGGCTCTGAGACTTCCCTCCCTGGGAGCGTCCCTGCCCTCCCAGGTTACCCCTCGCTGCTGCTGCCGTTGGCACAGGGTGGGGACCAGCCTTCCCGGAGAGTTGGACGGATTTGAGCAGCCCCATTTTGCCAGTGTTCGAACTGCTCCGGGAAAGGTGCTGGTTCATCGGTCATGCAGGCTCCCGGTCTGAGTGGGTCCAGCGTGTCAGAGGGGACAGCCCCGGGCCAGCTGCATCTCTTGCCCATGGTACATTAGCTGTGGCCATCGTGCTGCCGGGTGGGGACATGTGGGTGAGTGAGTCGTTTCTAATGAGGCTCGGGCCTGACCTGCTGTCCTGAGCCTGCCCACGGTCACGCTGGCGCCCTTTTAACCCCAAGTCCTGTGTCTGCAGTCGGGCGGAGGGTGCCGATGGCACCACAGCCGAGTCGTGGCAGTGCCAGCCCCTCCTGGATTCCAGTGGGCACTGGCTGGCATGAGAAAAACAGCTGTGTGCAGAGGCAGAAACAGTCGGCCCAGGCCCACCGTGGGTGTCCTTGGGGACCGAGTTAGCTGTGTTTGCTCTTTCTCGTGTGTAACCCGGGGGGGGGGGGGTGACAATGGGAGCAGCAGCAGCAGTCACAGTGATACTCACCTTGGACAGTTATTTTGAGCACTAGAGACTTGGCACAGGGACAGAGTTCCAGGCAGGTCCTAAGAGGTGATCAGTAAACCTTGGTTATTACTGTCAGTCTTGACTACATCCAGAAGCCTCGCCATTGCCAGAAATAAATGTAGGAAATGTGTTACTGATGACTGGCTGACAGGTCATTTGTATAAGCTGCTTCTTGTTGGGAATGTACAGTCCATTACAAGTCACTTGTGTCCCTGCGTAGACGGTCTTAATTGCACTGTTGAGGTCTTCCATGCAACATTATGATTGCGAAATCATAAAATTAGAATCTACCAGTAGATTCCAAGCACTGACATACCAGCTGGTTTCTTTCCCTGGTCAAGCATTTAATGAACTGCATCTGTGGGCTGATGAGAGCATACTGCTGGGAGGGCATTAGCACGCAGCCAGCCCAACTCTGGTCCCAGCACCACATACATCACCTGAGCACAAAGCCAGGAGTAAGCTCTGAGCACTGCTGGGTGTGCCCCAAACCCAAACATAAATAAATGAAGTATATTTATATTAACTCAAAAGAACATAGTAGCGTGTACTGTGTCCTATGTACTCATTAGCAGGGATCTAGTCTGAAAGAATCCATAATGTGTTAATTTTTTCTCGTGAATATCATGAACTAAAGGAGTGCTTTTCTCATCATGTACCTTGTTTCTCCTTCACCGAACAATACGTATGTTAGTATAACAAGGGTCCATGGAGTGAGGGACATGTACATCTTCATGTTCAAAGCACAAGCCTTGTAAAGGAAAGATGGGGCAAACCTCCAGATAGGGAAATAAAAAAGATAGGAGTTACCAATACCTCCAAGAAATGGCAGGAAGCACTTGACCTAACTTTGAATCTCCTAACTTTGAAAAATTCATAAGTTGTTGGAGCAAGCTTCAGCCCTGTTTTTGTGGCTTGCCTTTCCTAAGAATCTGTGTGCATAAGGGATGTTGTCTTAGACACAGGTAATGTTTGGTTGGTAAATTATGCAAAACCTTCTTAAAAAAGAGCTGAAGTCAAAACCTAAATCATTATCTGATTGTGATAGATTGGACCTCTAGATTTTTTTTAATTTAATTTTTATAAGGCTGGAGTGATAGCACAGCGGTAGGGCGTTTGCCTTGTGCGCAGCCGGCCCGGCTGAGCCGGGTTCGATTCCTCGGCCCCTCTTGGAGAGCCTGGCAAGCTACCGAGAGTATCTCGCCCTCACGGCAAAGCCTGGCACGCTGCCTTTGACATATTCAATATGCCAAACACAGTAACAACAAGTCTCACAATGGAGACGTTACTGGGCCCGCTCAAGCAAATCGATGAACAACGGGAGGACAATGCAGTGCTGTAAATTTTTATAAAGTTGTTCACAATTTATTACATTCAATATTCCAGCACCAATCCCACCACATTATACCATCCCACAACCATTATTTCAAATTTTCCCACCACCACCCAAACCTGCCCCCAAAGCAGGTGCTAAATAATTTATTTTGAATTGCTTGTTATGAATAAATAAATAAGGCCCTCCCGTTGATCATCGATTTGCTCGAGCGGGCCCAGCAACGTCTCCATTGGAGACTTTGTTGTTACTGTGTTTGGCATATCGAATACGTCATGGGGAGCTTGCCAGGCTCTGCCGTGCAGGCGAGATGCTCTCGGTAGCTTGCCAGGCTCTCCGAGAGGGGCGGAGGAATCGAACTCGGGTCGGCCATGTTGGCCGCCTGTAAGGTGAACGCCCTACCCGCTGTGCTATCGCTCCAGCTTGTTATGAATAATCTGCTAAAAATGATCCAAAAAAGTTTCCTTAGAGGAAAATGTGTAAAATTGTTGTATCTCACCCTGGAGCCATTAAGCCCTTGCATAAGAGATAGATACTAACATGTGGTTACAGGTTGAGCCTTGTGTGCTAATATATTTTTAATCAAAATCGGTCGCCTTCTACTTTGCATCTCAACTAATATGGTGTGCTACTCCTAGTACATCAGTGGTGTAGAGTATGAGATGTTGCACAGCTGCAAGTCGGCCACACGCTCCAGGAATTCCAAAATTTTAAATAAGGCGATGCAGCTGGCGTTAAATTTTTCACTGGATGGTGACTTTGGGGTCTGGGGGCATCTCTGCAGCTTGTTGCTCTCTTCTGAGACTTATTTATCAGTCTCTAGATTGTGGCTATTGATGAGCTTGTATGGCACTAAGAAGCAGTTTGTGGGCATGACTGCCAAGCTACCAGAAGCACAGGGAGATGGAAGGGGGTCGCCCATTTCTGACTCTGTGCAAACCTGGAGATTTCAGTCACAAAACCTGCATACCTGGGTTTTTCCAGCAGAATCATTCATGGATGAAGTTAGTCTGAGCAGCCTGTGGAGATCAGCCATGAGCATGATGGCAGTCGGATTCTGGAGCTTTTCGGCTACCAGGGCTCTGTTCAGGTGGGCGGTGGGCTCACCTCCCCTCCTCCTGGGTGCCCTGGATGCACTCAGCCTGGTGCAGGGTCTGGAGGCATCTCTGCAGCTTGTTGTTCTCTGGGCCCCTAGATTTTTGTTGTGAGTAAAAACCCATACCCTGTTTACAAAACTGTTTTAAGATTCTGTTGTCACTGTGGTAGCACTGTAGCACTGTCCTCCCGTTGTTCATCGATTTCCTCAAGCGGGCCCAGTAATGTCTCCAGTGTGAGACTCGTTGATACTGTGCTTGGCATGTTGAATACCTCACGGGTAAGCTTGCTAGGCTTTGCCGTGTGGGCGAGATACTCTCATTAACTACCTGCTGGGCTCTCCGAGAGGGGCGGAGGAATCGAACCTGGCTCGGCCGGGCCAGCCCCGTGCAAGGCAAACGCCCTACTGCCGTGCTATCGCTCCAGCCCTGCGGTATGTAGAATGTTGGATGAGGAAGTATATTGTAGTAACGGGGGGAATTCCTAGATCGCCCTTGGCCCCAGAGCTTGGGGAGTAGGACAGAGAAGGACAGAAGGGGGGAGGAACAAGAGAAAGGGAAGTAAGGGGAGGGGGGACATGGGTTAGTGAGACTGTGACGTGGGGGAGTGTTGTAGCCATACATCCAAACACAGACTCAGCAACGCTGCGAGCATGAGGTCTAAGCCACAACCACTGGAACTTGGCAGTGTGCCTGTCAAGGTGACAGGCAGGCTTGGGGTGTGGGTTGGAGTGGGGAGGGAATTTGGAACACTGGTAAGGGGAAGTTGACACTGGTGATGGGATTGGTGTGAAAATATTAACCATCAACAAGTTTGTACAGCACAGTTGTTTACATTTGGAAAAATTGAAAAAGCAAACAGAAAAGGATAGTGCTGTCAGATGTTCAGAGCAGGTTTGGTGCATCTCCGATCCCTGTGGTCAGAACCAGATGTTGGAAGCAGGGGAGCCACTCAAGCAGACCACAGGGAGCAGGGCCAGGAAGGGGCAGGAAGGGATTTCGTTGCAGGCTGCCCACCCTGCCTTCGAGTGGCTCTTCCCGTGGGGTTCAGTCCAGTGAGTTCCTTTTGGGTTCTGGGCACGCTGTTGCCATGCATGGACCTGGAGAAGTCTGTGTCATAGACCCCAAAGAACCTACTGGGTACGGACGGTCTACTTTCAGATAGCGGGGGAAACTGAAAGCCCAAGCAGCTTCCTGCCCCTGAAGACATTGGTGGGCCCTAAAATACTTGCCGGGAGCTTAGAATTGGAGCACTGACCCCTTGGTGGAACTCGAGCCATAAATCTGGAGAGAGGTAGTCAATAGTCAATAGATGCAGTCAGGAGGCCAGTAGTATGATGATGGGCCTGGTGGGCATTAACAGTCAGCCCCTGTCCACACATGCCTCGGGTCAGATGAAACCAAGAACTGGGGCTGTGCTCTCACACTAGGCCCCTCCAGGCAGCCAGCAGATGGAAGGACCACATTCTCCTCACAAGAAAAGACACAGAAAGCAGGTGATGTGGTTCGCGATGCCGGCCGTGGGGGGGCGTTTCCGCTCACTAATGGCCACTGCTCTGCATGTGCCCGTCTCAGCTTCCAGGTGCCCGGCCACCACACACCCACTCTCGGCACTCAGAGTCCTCTCACTGCTTTCTCTGCGCTTCACGCAGACGCGGGAGGTCAGGCTCGTGGCCTTGAAGAAGGGGGCGGGGGACACTCTTGTTTTGCTTATGCACTGGCTGCTATTTGTAGTAATCAACCTTTTTGGACCTTCGATGCGCAGAGTAAGATGCCAGCTGTGTTCGTCTGAAAGGAACAGGCAGTTAGCAGAGAGTTCCAATTCTGAGTCAAATGTAGGAAGCTCAACTCATGACTTTACAATGATGTTAGAATCATCCTTTTAAAGCTTTCAAACTTGAAGAAAATATATTATAAACTTTGTAAACCATGTTCATTCTTTCGCCTGCCCTCATCTTTTTCCTTTCTTCCTCCTTTTTTTTTTCCTTGATTTTTCTGATTTTAGACTGTAAAGACAGAACCCGAGAAGAAGTCACAGTCAACAAAGGTAAGCGATTTCACCGAGCTAGTGTGGTACTTGGATCCTTTGTGAAAATAATGAATGATCAACTTTCTCCTTTGCTGCCACTGAATGGCAAAAAAAAAAAAAATACTTAATTTGGGATTTCTCTAAAGCCAAATGCTGTTCAGATAAGTGTATGATAGTATGTATGTGAGATCAGTATATTTCCGAAGGCATTTTGAGCAAGCCTTGATTTTTGTTATAGGTAAAGTGATTTTTCAAAGAGGAAGCTGAGCTAGAGTGATAGTGTAGAGAAGAGAGCACCTACTCTTTGCATGCAGCTAACTCAGGTTCAACCCCCAGTACCCCATCTGGTCCCCTGAGCCTGCGGGGGTGGTCCCAGAGTGTAGAGCCAGGAGTAAGCCCTGAGCACTATTGGGTGTGGCCCCAAACCAGAAACCCTCCCCACCAAAAAGTGAAGAATAAACAATATGGGCTGGAGCGCTTGCCACGCACACAACTGACCGGGGTCCTCTCCCTGGCACCCCATAGGGTCCCCTGAGCCCATCAGGAGTGATCCCTAGTACAGAGCAGGAGAATGCCCTGAGCACCTCCGAGTATATCCTGGAAACCAAAACAAAATAAAGAGCGGGTTCAAATGAGAAAAAGACAAAGGGTCATAAGTATTGGATTACTTTAAAGACGAGCAATCCAGGGCCCAGGGAGATAGGACAGGAGTCAAGGCTCTTGCCTTGCAGGCAGTCGACCTGGGTTTGATCTTCCAACATTCCGTATGGCCCCCTGAGCCCTACGAGCAGAGATCCCTGAGCACAGAACCAGGACGAAACCCTGAGCACTGCTGGGTGTGTACCCCTCCCCCAAGTCCCCCACCCATGCTCCCCCCAAAAAAGTCCACAAAGATTTGGAGAGGAAATCTGTCTGTGGAAACCAGCACTTGGGCTCCGCTGGGTTCTTCACACCATGTGGTCTGGGTTGGTGGGCATAATTATCAGTTATTCTGGGGCCCCGTTTCTGTGGCTCTCTAGACAGACAGTCATTTCGTGTCCACATGGGTCAGAGCTCAGGGCGTCTACAAGTGGCATTGCACGGTCCTGCTCCCTCTGGCACAGGGAGCCGGCAGAGGCTGGACTGCAGAAGATCCACGGAGAGTACGGCCTCTGGGGGTGGGAGGAGCTGACCAGCGGGTGAGGGCCACGCCAGCCTGTGGTGATGAGGCCCCTCAGCTTTTGTGGAAGGTCACTTGGGGGTCACTTGTTCCGCTGGAAGCATTCGTGAAGTCTGTAGCTCTCATCTTCTTGTCCAGATTTAAATGCTTTCATTTCTCTTCCCAAACTAAGAATTTAGTTTCTGATGATCCTCTTCTCAATGAGCAAGACAAAGAAAAATGTATTACTTAATTCAAAGATAGATAATATGCTCTGTGCCTGGCAAAGGAGTTTTTTCTTTTTGTTTGTTTGTTTTTGAGTAGGGTCAGGTTTTGAGACCACACCCAGCAGTGCTAAGGGCTTATTCCTGGCTCTGTGTTCAGGGATCTTTCCTGGCAGTGCTAAGGGGATTTTTTTCAGTACCAGGGATTGAACAGGTTAGCCGCATACGAGGTAAGCACCTTAAACCCTGTATGTACCGTCTCGCTAGCCCCAAAAGGAGATTTTTAAAAAATCCATTCATTGATGAGAAAGCAGGGTCCCCTTTCTCCAAACCAAGTGGACACAGTGGTCATTTGACAGCCCTTGGATGGGCCTGCACTTCCCATCGACAGCAGTGATGAAAATAGCTGCTGATTCAGACATAGTTCCCGGATCTGAAAAGTCGTTTCAGATGACACAGTGCATTTCTCGCTATTCTTTGATTAAGGTCCCTACCGACTGGTGGCGGGATCACCATTGGCCAGATCGTGCAGGCCAATTCCAGGAGAGCAGATGGTCCATGTGGAGTCTGTGTGATGCAGCTTGTTTTGCAAATAAGGAAACAGTGGGCCCCACTCTAACTGAGTTTTTGTCTTTTGAAATTCACAGCCATCTGCACTTCGTGAGAAAAAGGCCAAAGAAACAGAAACGAAGGAACACAAGGAGGTAAACCACGCCTTAGACCTGAAAGCCATTCGGCAAGGTTTCTGTGTGGGCGCGGGGGGACCGAGTTTAGAACCCATCCCTCAGGACCAGGGGCCCGGGTGGGAAGGGCTGGGATTTGCTTTTCCGGCCGAAGGGCGCCACCGCGTGGTAGCGCCCAGTCGTGTAGTTCGTTTGTGGCGCTCTGCCTGGTCTTCCAGGGTGTGGCTCCATGCAAAGTGGGAGTATCTCGCCTGAGAGCAGCCAAAGCTGAGCCCGCTGAGCCGACCCCCGACGCTGCGTGAGCGGCTCCCCCAGGGAAGGGAGGCGCTTGCCGCAGTGCTCCAGCCTGCCGTGTTGTGTTTTCAGCCCGAGCATGCAGCAGCAGCCGGCGACCAGCGGGCCCCTAGTGGACACGCAGCGTCCAGCTCAAGTGAGCAGCCGCCGCCGCCGGAGAAATCTGCAAAACCAAAGGTGAGCGGAGCAGTCGGCAGAGAGGAAAGCTGGGGCATCAGAGAGGAACATGCCCCAGGGCTGCCATCGCTTTGGCCGGCAGAGACTCCATGTGGCCGTCCACTGCCTAGAGGCGCCTCCAGAAGGGCCCAGGCAAGGCCCGAGGAAGCCCGATTTCTGGGGGGCCCTGCTGGGGCCTCCCCATTCCCGACACTGCAGGACTGAGGTCCCCAGCGGCCCCCAGGCAGGCAGGGAGCTCAGGCCTGCTCCTCCCCAGTACAGGAACCCCTGGGGCCTGACGGTTGCTTCACACAAGGGTTTGGAATTAAAGAAATTTGAGAGGGGGCAGGGCAAGGGGCGGGGAGGGACACTGCACGCATGAACCCCCATCAAGGACGTCAGCGATGGCAGCGGAGATCAAATCACGCACGGGAGCGCGAGGGTCTGTGTGGTTGGCTTGGGCTTGTGGAGCCAGAGTATTCCAGCAGGGAGCAAGTTTCCAGAGCAGCAGGCCCAGCTGGGGGTGGGATCAGCCTTTCTGAGAACTTCCCCTTTAAGAGGCCAGGGCTGGCCTGGTCCTGTCTGAGCCCCTGGTTTGGGGTCCACCCCTCCCAGGCAGCCCAGGTGTATCATGTTCAAATCCTTTTTTTTTTTTTTTTTTATCTTTTTTAAATAATAGTTGTCTTTCATACTGTGGAGGGAAACGGGTGTTGGTGGCAGGATCAGTGATTGAACATTGCATTTCAAAATCCCAGCTGAATAACTTTATAACTTATGGTGCTTGAATAAAGTAAAATTGGGAGGGGGGGGTTAAAGGAGAAAAAATAATACTGGTCTTCCATTATGAACATGATTATTGAAATTTTTTTAATTAGGTGGCAGCAATTGAGTATTTCATAGAATATTTCACCGAAAATCTAACTTTCTAAACTTCTCTTGAAAATCGAGAGTCAGGCCAGAGTGATAGTCCAGCGGGTGTGGTGTGGCATTTACCTTGCACATTGCCGGCCTGGATTTAATCCCGGCATCCTATATGATGCCCCAAGCACTGCCAGGAGGGATTCCTGAGTGCAGAGCCAGGAGTAACTCCTGAGCGTTACCAGGTGTGACCACCCCCCCCCCCCAAACTAAAAAATATATATATTTTAAAAACTTAAAAAGGTAAAGATGATCTAGAGTTCCTGGTAATGGGACCCCCAGGACAAGGATTGGCTGTTGTTCCCCACACAAGACCCCCCCCACCCCCACCCCGCTGTGTCCTGGAAACACACAGGCCTGTGGCCAGGGGCCTCGGGGCCTGGCTCACCTGTCAGAAGGTGCAACGCACCTTGGAAGGAGGAATGAACTCTTGGCTTTTCCCGAGAAGGGTCACAGGACAGGCCCACTTGGGAACCTCTGCTCTAGAAGATGTCCTTGAGGGTGGATAGTGGCACTGGACTTGTGCCCTCAAAAAGCCCCCCAGGGGTCCTGCATCCTGACACTCTCCTGCCCCCACCCATAGGTGAAACCCCAGGATGCCCCGACTGCGGGGAAACAGAGTGCGGTCGCGGCTGTGTCTGCATCCAGCAGAACCGATGATAAGGTGAGTGTGAAGTGACTGTGGTCAGGTGTCCTTTATGAGAGATGCCAACAGCTCCTGCCGCCCCAGGCCCCGGATGCTGCCACGCCAGATAATTGTGTGTGGCTGAACCGTGCTGTGCGGGTGAGGGCTTCTGTCAGTAGCACGGGTGTGGCAGTGAGAGAGGGGGCCACATTCCAGCATAGCTGGGCGCTTCACACATTCAGGCCGAGATTCCAGGGCCTTGTCTGGAGGTGTCCTCCCGTGAGTCACCTGGGAGTCGCCTCCGGGTCTGCCATTAGTACAGGTTGAGCTACAGAGCACTGCAGTGAGCGCGCACTCAGCCTTCCCTGCGGACAGCAGTGGCCCCACCACCTGCAGATCACGAGAAGTGCCAGAGCCCGGCTGGGTGTGTGGGGCCAACATAGTGCTCTCGGGAGGAGCTCCTGTGCCCCACAGGTCAAGCCTGGGCCTGGCTTCCTTTCCTGGAGCCACTGCTCTGAGCCCGGCAGTGCAGGCAGCAGCCCCTGGTAATCTCTATCCAGACCATGCAGTCAGCCGCCAGGCAGGGCCCAGCTCCCCAAGGCGTCTGCGAGAAAGCCAACAAGGAAATCTTTATGGAATTTTGAAAGTGGGCTAGATCCTCATTCATTCATTCATTCATCATCCTGTTATTCGTCGATTGCCTCGAGCAGGCCCCAGTAATGTCTCCTTCATCCTGGCCCTGAGATTATATTCAAGGCTCTTTAGGAGAATGAGACCCATCATTGTTACTGGTATTTGGCATATTGGCGACACCACGGGGAGTTTGCCAGACTCTGCCCTGTGGGCAGGCTACATTCGGTAACCTGCCAGTTTGTCCAAAGTAGGAATGAGATAATAAGATGTCATAAAAAGATGTCCTGATAAGCCCTTATCAGGGCTGGATCCTAAGCCCTTGCCTTTCCAAATGAGAGCAGATCATCCTGACAGCTAGAGGTCCGGGAAATTTATCGGATAAACGTGCATCCCGCTGGGGCTGGAGCAAAGCCATAGGGGTGAAGGCACTAAACCTTGCCGCTTCCGACCCCAGTTCTGTGGTGACCCGGAACCGCATCTCACCCTCCAGTATGGCCAGGGGTCCAGCCTGGGCACCACTGTTCAGGGGAAGCAAGACGGCCTGGGAGTGGGTGGGGGATAGGAAAGCCATAGTGGAGGGGAGGGTAACAGTCAGGTCAGGCTGCTGAGAGAGAGAGAGAGAGCGGGGGCATGCACGACCCCACCCCCCAACTGCTGGTTCCAGAAAGAACTCATGGGTATTGCAGGATGGCTGGAGGCCCAAGCAGAGTCACTGGGACAGAGCCAAGCACTCAGCAGACCTGCACCGTCTTTTCTGTGTGCTCCGGGGAAGGTGCCTGATGTTCTGAGCCGTGCTCTGTCTGCGAGCTGGGAGTGGGAACAGCAGCAGCACATCATGCACCGGGGTGTCTGGACCGCAGGGACGAGGAGGAGCTCACACCAGAGGCTGGGCTAGTGCTGACCCCTGTGTGGGTGTGTGAGGTGTGTTTTCTTTCTTTCTAAACACCTACCAGAAAAAAGAAAACAAATCATCGGCATCGGCTGTGCCCGCTGAATCAGCACCAGGCGAACCATCTGGGAAGGTAAGAAGGTGCAGGGGTCCCTTCCCCGAATTGTGCTCCTCCCCTTGAAAGCCGAAGCCGACAGCAAAGCCGACTGACGGTGACAGGAGGGTGGAGCGCCCTTCCCTCTACTCACTCCTCTGAGGCCACACGCACAGAGTAGCTGTCAGCTCTCCCAAGTCCCAGCCTCGTGTTTTATAAACTCGTCAAGTGCGCAGAGAAAGCTAAGGTGAAAGAACAGGTAGCGGTGCTTGGGGCCGAGGCCCGTGTGGAGATGTGCTTACCAGGGGTTTGGGGGGGGGGGGGGTTCTTTGTGGGATTCTGCCACTAGCACTGTCCTGTAGCCCTGTTCTTCTGTTGTTCATCGAGTTGCTCAAGCGAGTGCCAGTAATGTCTCCATTGTGAGACTTGTTACTGTTTGGGGCATCTCGAATACACCACGGGGAGCTTGCCAGACTCTGCTGGGCAGGCGGGATGCTCTCCGTAGCTTGCCGGGCTCTCCGAGAGGGGCGGAGGAATCAAACCCAGGTCGACCGCGTACAGGGCAAATGCCCTACCCGCTGTGTTCCCGCCCAGCGATTTATGGGGACAACCCTGGAAAATCCTTGATGGGCAGTAGTGGCCGAGGCGTGTGCTGTTCACCCATGTGTAACAACATGATCTGGGCTGCGTTTTGTGCTGTCACGTTCATTTGTCCACATAACTATTGCCTTTCAATTTCCTAAAATGATGGCCCGATTTGCTGACTGGTACCGAGATCTCTCGTAACACAGCTTTTTCATCTCTGTGTGTGCCTGTGTTCACAGCCACCCCGTGCCACAGCGCAGACTGGGCCATGTGTACGAGAGCCCCTGAGTTGCGGCTGCTCCACACCCCAGCCACAACCCTAAATGTTTCCCATCCAGACCTTGTCCTCCGGAACTCTAACTGCGGTCTGCTAAAGGCCAAATTTTGCTGTCTGAAGAACTTTCTGGTGTATGACGGTAGGGCGTTTGCCTTGCATGCGGCTGGCCTGGGTTCAATTCCCTTGCCCCTCTTGGAGAGCCCGGCAAGCGATCGAGAGTATCTCGTCCTCATGGCAAAGCCTGGCAAGCTACTCTAGACGTGTTCGGTATGCCAAACGCTGTAACAACAAGTCCCACAATGGTGACGTTATTTGCTCGAGCAAATCGATGAGCAACGGGAGGACAGTGACAGTGACAGTGGTGTGTTTCTTCATAGCACGCCTTTCTTGTGTTTTGGCCATCCTGAGCGACGTGTGCCAAGTGGCGTTTGAATATCCCTCTCTTCCGTTTCCAGTCAGGCATGGATGCTGCTCTGGATGACCTCATAGACACTTTGGGGACGCCTGAGGGAGTCACTGAAGACGACTCCGCGTACACGGGACCCGAAGTTTCAGTATGTGACGCAAAGATCCACACTTAGTGGGTGCGGGGCTTAATGTTGCTGTGTCAGGGGCGGAGACTGTGTGTGTTGGAAGTAGCTGTTCCGTGGCCAGTGAGCCAGCGGGCATCGTTGTCTGTGATGATGACCATGGGGCACAGCGTGCCGGCGCCCGAAGACTCACTCTTTCTCCGTCAGGTTTAGGTTCCGTTCGATTTCCGGATATTTCCAACTCGGACTTGAAAGTGAGAGTTGGGAATATCCGGATTTTGATGGCTGGATTTACAGTACTTCATCTCTATTTCGATGCCTAAAAATAATTCCAAGGCAAGACTATTATGTTCCTTGTTATTTTAAAAAAGTAGGCGTCATGTTTGAGGTTTCCTTTGGCCTCCCACCCCCTTCTCAGTACCTACCCCCGCTGGAATCTCCCTTCTTTAAGCATGAAAATCCCGTCCCTCCTTTCACCCCCAGTTGCCCCTGGGGCTTTTCACCCACTCCTGGCTTGGTGGAGGTGGAAAAAACAGCACAGTCGGCAGAAAGAAAGCGTTTGTGACAGACAGAACAAAGGGTTTGGTTCCAGAATTCATGTTGATAAATTTATTTATTTCGGTTTGGGGACCACACCTCCTGGTGTTCGGGTCTTCCTTATGGCTCTGCATTCAGGTGTCATTCGTGGGAGCACTGAAACGTGTGTGGTGCTGGGGATTAAGCCCGGGTCAGCTGCATCCAAGGCAAGAGGCCTTCCTGCTGTGCGGTCTCTCTGGCTTCAGTGTGAAAAATTCATTACACTGAGGAAAAAAGACAATCTACCAGGATGTTTAAGAGAAAATGTGAAATTATTAAAAGAAGATCTTCTGCAGTGTGGTTTCCCAAACCTCGTAATTATATTTCATTACGCATCGTAAAGTCAGAATCACTGGCACTGTCCTATTGTTCATCGATTTGCTCGAGCGGGCCCAGTAACGTCTCCATCGTGAGACTTTGTTGTTACTGTGTCTGGCATATCGAATACAGCACGGGGAGCTTGCCAGGCTCTGCCGTGTGGGCGAGATACTCTCAGTAGCCTGCTTCGCTCTCCGAGAGGGGCGGAGGAATCAAACCTCCATTGGCCGGGTCGGCCGCATGCAAGGCAAACGCCCTCTCCGCTGTGCTATTGCTCCAGCCCAAACAAAATCATACTAAACATAAAATGACCCCCGAGCCCACCGCTACCACTTGTAGAGGTTTGGGTGTTTTCTAGCATTACATGTGGGTCAAACCACTTAAAAAGGAGTGTTCGTTTAATTCCAGAGTCTGACAGTTATGTGGAGTGTTGTTTGATGATTTCTGCCTTTCTTAGTATGCATGTTTATAATAGAGTATAATTTTGGTCACAGAGCACACATATGAAATTCTTCGCTAATCAGCTCCGCGTGTGTGTGTGTGTGTGTGTGTGTGTGTTTTGTTTTGTTCTAGGATCCAATGACTTCGAAGTACATAGAGGAATTGGGTAAAAGAGAAGTCACAATACCTCCAAAGTATAGGGAGCTTTTGGCTGTAAGTTTGTCGCTTTGTCGTCTTTATTAAAATGTTTTGGCACATTCACCCTTTTGAAATTAAAATGTGTGTGGGTGTGTGGGCGGGTGGTTGGCCTCACACTGGCCCGGTGTTCCTTTGTTGGGGCTGCGTGCCTGATTGTCACAGCCTGGTTCCCTCTGTGACCAGCAGGAAGAGTCTGCTCAGGTGTGTCCTCGAGGGGCTGAGGCCCGGGCCAGTGCCTGAATCTTCCTGGCCCACATGGGGGCCCAGGGTTCCTTCTGTGGAGAAACACTGTGTTGGAGATCAGTGCTTCCACCCGCCTTTCCTGGACCAAATTCCTGGTGGAAAGGCATAGTCTCTGGGACTCGGAACTGGGGCTAGGGGCCTCACGTACAGATTTTAGGAGGCTCTGAAATCTAGCCCGCAGCCTTCCAAGAGTGTGTGTCACTGATAGATAGCAAGGAGGAATATTCCCTGCTCAAACGCATCCCACTGTGATTCGTTTCAGAAAACAGAAGGGGTGGCGGGCCCTCCTGCAGACGCCGCGGTAAGTCCCCATGAACCCTTCCCTGTGCTGATGGCGCGTGTCTCGGGTGGGATTCTGCGGGGCTTGAGGCCAGGCTCCTCTCTAAACAGATGAAGCTTCTCCCTATTGAGAGAGGGGGCTGGGCATGGGGCTTATTGGTGGGTCTTTGGTTTCTCGTGTAGCGTTCTTGAGAGGGAGAAGAATGGAGACAGACTTTAGGATCCAGTGCACGTTGATCCAAACAGGACCAGAGTGGAAGCACAGCAGGCGGCGGGGGCAGGGTGCTTGCCTTGCATGCAGCTAACCCAATTTGATCTCTAGTATCCCATGCAGTCCCTGGAGCCCAGCAGGAGTAAGCCCTGAGTGCAGAGCCAGGAGTAGCCCCTCAGCGCCACCAGGGGTGACCCCTGCCCGAAAAGGTCTGGGGCAGACCTTGTGACAAAGTGTGGTGCGCTCAGGGAGGGCTGGGCCGTCTCGTCTGTGTCCCGCAGCTGCCACTGGCCCATCCCGTTAGCAGTGGGGGAGTGGCAGGTGTGCACTCTTGGTTGGCTTTCATGACGCCGTGTGTCTCCCCCTAGGCACCAGTGGGGCCTGACGAGGCCATTGACGCGCTGTCCTCTGATTTCACCTGCAGTCCTGCCGCTGGTGGCCAGGAGGAGGTATTGCTTTCAGCGGGGTGGGGAGGTGGGTGGGGCAGGCCATTGGAAACCGCCTCCCATGCCAGAATCCAGACAGTGTGAGGCTGCCACCGCTACAGTGACACAGCCCACCCGCCCGTATTTCAGCCTTTTCCTTCTGTGTCTCAGAAACCCTCCGGAGAGGTGTTAAAGGCTCAGTCTGCCAAGGTGATCCGAAGTGCCGCTCCTCCCCACGAGAAGAAGAGGAAGGTGGAGAAGGTACCAGGCTGATGCTTTGCAAGGCATCTGGGTTCCCGCAGTGCCCGGCTTTGCTGAGGCCTGTCCATGCTTTGGGGTAACCCCACAGTGAAAGGCACCCGGGTCCCCCCAGAGCCCGGCTTTGCCGAGGCCTGGCTCTGCTTTGAGGTAATCCCCGCAGTGAAAGGCACCTGGGTCCCCCCGGAGCCCGGCTTTGTCGAGGCCTGGTGCTGCTTTGGGGTAATCCCTGCAGTGAAAGGCACCAGGACCCCTAGAGCCTGGCTTTGCCGAGGCTTGGCGATGCTTTGAGGTAATCCCATGTGTAAGGCATTCAGGTACCCCCAGAGCCCGGCTTTGCTGAGGCCTGGCTCTGCTTTGGGGTTATCCCCGCAGTGAAAGGCACCTGGGTACCCCCGGAGCCCGGCTTTGCTGAGGCCTGGTGCTGCTTTGGGGTAATCCTTGCAGTGAAAGGCACCAGGACCCCTAGAGCCTGGCTTTGCCGAGGCTTGGCGATGCTTTGAGGTAATCCCATGTGAAAGGCATTCGGGTACCCCCAGAGCCCGGCTTTGCTGAGGCCTGTCCATGTTTTGGGGTAACCCCACAGTGAAAGGCACCCGGGTCCCCCCCAGAGCCCGGCTTTGCTGAGGCCTGGCTCTGCTTTGAGGTAATCCCCGCAGTGAAAGGCACCTGGGTCCCCCCGGGGCCCGGCTTTGTCGAGGCCTGGCGCTGCTTTGGGGTAATCCCTGCAGTGAAAGGCACCAGGACCCCTAGAGCCTGGCTTTGCCGAGGCTTGGCGATGCTTTGAGGTAATCCCATGTGTAAGGCATTCAGGTACCCCCAGAGCCCGGCTTTGCTGAGGCCTGGCTCTGCTTTGGGGTTATCCCCGCAGTGAAAGGCACCTGGGTACCCCCGGAGCCCGGCTTTGCTGAGGCCTGGTGCTGCTTTGGGGTAATCCTTGCAGTGAAAGGCACCAGGACCCCTAGAGCCTGGCTTTGCCGAGGCTTGGCGATGCTTTGAGGTAATCCCATGTGAAAGGCATTCGGGTACCCCCAGAGCCCGGCTTTGCTGAGGCCTGTCCATGTTTTGGGGTAACCCCACAGTGAAAGGCACCCGGGTCCCCCCCAGAGCCCGGCTTTGCTGAGGCCTGGCTCTGCTTTGAGGTAATCCCCGCAGTGAAAGGCACCTGGGTCCCCCCGGGGCCCGGCTTTGTCGAGGCCTGGCGCTGCTTTGGGGGTCACCTCACAGTGCTCACACGGCTGGGGAGCATCTTCCCTCACTGTGGTCTGTGCGGCGCCGTGGGGCGGAGAGCTGGGTGCTGCTGCCCCCATGCTGGGAGGATAAATGCTTCTTGGCCTCTGCCCCTGCTCCTGGGTGGTTCCAGCTCTGTTCTCGGTCCTGACGTGGGTCCCCTCACTGTGGCAGCATGCCAGGGGTATCATGCTCTGGGAACACAGAGTCTCGCCCTTAGTTTCCTAACCTGGGATAAGCCCGGGGTCCCTGGGCCGTGCTTCCCGGGCTGGGGAGGGCAGGGGTGCCAGGAAGATGGGGGCAGTTCAAGAAGCCCATTTCTGGAGGGCTGGGTGGTTTGCCTACCCTGGAAGGAGGAACCGTCTGGGAAGCTGGGCACTGCCCACAGTGGTTGGGGACGTGCTTGTCAAGAGCCCTGAGGCTGGGCCCCGCCCGCCTGCCTGTGGACTGACCGTTGCTTTTTATCTGCCTTCTGGGAGCTCTGGGTGCCACACCCTGCAGGGAAGGGTGGTGGTGGGGGGGTCCCTTGGGGCCTCGGGCCTCTGGAAGGCAGTGGTGGGGCTCTTGGGCATCCCCTGCCGCCGCCCCCCGCCTGCCGCTCTGCTCTCTGGACAGCCTCGTCCCGAGGCGTCTCTGAAAACAGGGTCTCAGGAGGAGAAGGAGCAAGCCCCATCTCTGCAGGTGGCCCAGATAAGAGTCAGCTCCCGCTCTGCTGAGTAAGGGGGCGGCGCCGGCCCGGCAGCTGTGCCCGCTCTGGGGCTGGCAGCTCTGTTCCTTCTGTGCTGGCTCTGCCAGGCCAGGGCTGCTGTGCGCCGAGGGCCAGGGGAGAGCGGAGGGGCTTCTCGGACGCCCAGAATGTTCCTTTCCCGCAGGAGGCCATGAGCGACCAGGCCCTGGACGCACTCTCAGAGTCTCTGGGCAGCCGCGAGCCGGACCCCGAGCTGGACCTCAGCTCCCTGCGGGAGGTGGCCGAGGTAGGATGCGGAACTGAGGGTGGACACAGGGCCCTGCAGGCTGGCACGGCCAGTGCTCACTCCCGAGTCTGCTGTCCAGAGAGACCACTCACAGGGTGCCTCAGTGACCTGCCAGAGCAGATACCATGGGTCAGGCTGTGGGCAGGAGGCTCCTGTGGGCAGGGCTTTCGGGAGGGGTGCAGGCAGTGTCGGGGGTTGAGGGCCCGCAGAGCCCAGCACGTTCAGTGCAGCTTGAGCCCCGCACCCCCCAGGGTCTGCCAGGGCCTCCTGAGCCTAACCAGCCATTCCCACACAGAACTGTCCCCCAGGTGGGATTTCCAAGCCAGGGAAGGGCCAGCGCCGGCGGCAGTGGGTCCAGGTGTCCTGTGCGCAGGGAGGGGAGTGGCCACTGGCGCTGTCACAAAGACCTGCCCTCTGTCACTTCCTGCCCTGAGCCCCCGGGGAAGGGGCGTCTCCGGGTGCCCCGGCAGCCTGCCTGAGCCTGGGCCCTTCCCTGCTCCAACTATGGGCCAGTTTCTCTCCTCCACTTTCCTCGAGGACCCGTCCAGCGAGCTGTGGCAGGACCAGCTCCGTGACGGCGAGCACAAGGGTGCAGGAGAAGGAATCCTTGTCCTCTCGGACCAAGTAACACGGGGGGCCAGGCCCTGGCATTGAGCCCCCGTGGGTGTGGGAGCGGGCAGCTGCAGGGCGCTGTGTATGCAGGAGGGTCCAGGCCAGGGGGGCTGCTCCAGCTAGCAATGCAGAGAGGGACGGGGAGACGTAAGTCCAGCAGTGAAGCCAAAAGCGTCCCATAGAAAGGACCGTGCAGGGCTGAAGGGCATCGGGGGGTCCTCCTCTCGCATAGCCCCCCGTGCTGGGTCTGGCCTAGCAACCCATAAATGTGAGAAATGGAAAGAAGCCAAGCCTTGCGAAACAGTTTGATTAGTGGCCCGGGGGCTGCTGGCACATGGGGACGCTAACTGTCCTCTGGGAAGCCACCGCAGTGGTGACTGAGATCTGGACAAGAACGCGTCCCCTCTTACACCCGCTAGCGTTGCTCTGTCCCAAGCCTGGCCCCGGGGCTGCGATTTGTCTTGATTTAACCGCATACCAGCATGAGCCACCAGCCATCCCTGGCAGCAGGCTCAGTCTACTGTTGCAGGGAGCTCTGTGTTGAGTCTGTCTCTCAGGCCCCTGGTTCCTCTGCGGAGTCTGTCGGGCCAAGTGGGGGGCCACTGTCTGAGCATCAAGGTCACAATCTCACCTTGGTGGAGGGACCCGGAAGGTAGCAGGGTTCGGGCGCTGGCCTCGCATGTGGCCGACCCTGGCTCGATCCTCACCACAGAGGACCCCCCTGCTCCCCCTGAGCATTATAGAGAGAACACTTGATTTCAGCCTCCAGAAAAGTCCCTGGATCGTCGAAAGCCTCAGTAGAATGTGTCTTTAATGAACTAAATCACTTGGTGGAAAGCTTCATTCCCCGCTGGGAGCAGCGGTGGTGGTTAGAGCTGAGCTCACCCGTGGGACCCTCCCCCACCACAGCCGTGCCTTGTCCGCAGGATCTGCTTAGTCCGTGCTTTGAGGGAGGGCTGGAGTATTGCAAACCATGGATCTTTGGGCCATGAGTTGCCTACAGTGCAGATGCATTTTAAATGTCAGTGCCCCTGCCCCCACCACCCCTCGAATATCTAATGCTTTGATGGCTCACTGAATCCTGTTAACTCCTGAAGGGAGTTCTCTTTTTGTTTGGTTTTAACACATTGGTGCCCACACACTGCTGGTGGCTTGGACGAGCTTCGTTGGCGCAAGTCACAGTGGCGACCCAGAGTAACACTGGGTCGTGATGTGTAGGTTTCCGGTGTATGGCGTTCTGTAGCCACACCTGCTGGCCAGCAGAAGTCACCCCCTGTCCCGCCACACCTTCAACCTCGTCCAGGGCACCTGCCCCTCCCCCCTCTATCTCTGTCGAGAGCCTCGCATGTCCTTATGCTCTGGTTCAGTGTCCATTCGCACGTTCAGCTCACTTACCTTCTGCATGTCAGTGAAATCGTAAGGGGCCCTTTTCAGAGAGATGAAGCCAGGTCCAGCAGGACAGCCAGGTTGGGGTGAGGAGGGGGCGCGTCTCCCCTCTCCGAACTGGATTTTACCAGTATGAGAACCCTCTTCTCCCCCTAGTAACTGTCTGGCCCAAAGAATCCTGCTTCACAGTGAGCTTGGCGAGGCCATCGGGAGAGCCAACATGAGGGAGATCACTGTGAGCCCCATGTGTAACTCAGAAAATGAGCCAGCATGGGGTGCCCCTGAGCACAGGGCAGGTCAGCCCCCCGGTTCCAGCTAGGCTTCGTCCCTGAATCCTGGCTGGGCTCAGCCCCCTCCTCCCCACCCATCCTGTTTGGGCTCAGCCCCCCAGGTGCTGACTGGGGTCAGCTTCCTGGATCCTGGCTGGGGTCAGAATCCCCCAGTCCTGGCTGGACTCGTTCCCCCCAATCCTGGCCGAGAGGCCTCTGCTCACCCCACACGCCCCCACAGCCACTTAGCCCAGTGCCCTGCTTGCTGCTCAGCTCACTGTGATGTGTCCTGTGCCGGCCAGGGGCTAACATCCGTCTCCCCCTTGTCCTTAGGCAAAAGCCAAAGAGGAGAAAGTGAAGAAGTGCGGGGAGGAGGATGAAACCGTCCCATCCGAGTACAGGCTGAGAGCAGCCACGGTAAGGCAGTGCCCGCCCGCCTCCTGCGCTCCTGGGTCACCCGGCCCTGTGGCCCCCAGGGACCTGCCTCTCCTGCCTCGGTGACGCGGGAAACACTGTCACTGCTGCTGCTTCTGGGCTGCTCAGGAAGAGCTTCCGGGACAGGAGAGAAGGGCCCTGAGCCCTGCCAGGCGTGAGCCAGAACAGAGCCAGGAGTGTCCCTGAGCGCAGAGCCAGGATTAGCCCCAGCACCAGGTGTGACCCCAAATCTGTCACTGTCACTGTCCTCCCGTTATTCATCGATTTGCTCGAGCGGGCACCAGTAATGTCTCACAACAAATTGTGAGACTTACTGTTACTGTTTTTGGCATATAGAATACGTCACAGGGAGCTTGCCAGGCTTTGCCGTGTGGGCGCGATACTCTCAGTAGCTTGCTGGGCTCTCTGAGAGAGGCGGAGGAATCAAACCCGGGTCAGCCGCGTACAAGGCAAACGCCCTACCTGCTGTGCTATCACTCCAGTCCTGGCCCCAAATCCACGAAAAAAAAAAAAAAAGACCTTGAGAGGACCCAATGCAATGCTTTGGGGCCAGAGATAGCACAGGGCCACGCGCCTGCCTGGTATGCAGTCATCCTAGTTCGAGTCCCGCTCTCGCCACGACTGAGTCCTGAGCACCACTGCCTGTGGCCCCCAAAACTATAGCCAAAGAGTTCCCTGAGTAGTGACACCGTGAAAACCTCCCAGACTGGAGTGTCCCCTCTGGTCCACGGTGCTGACAAAGATCTTGACTCCAGCGGAAGGACCCACAGGAGAGCAGCTCTCACTCCGATCCTTCTCATTCCACCCCCCGCAGTGGATCCTTTGTTTGACGTCACTGTACAAAGATGTAGCCTAACCAAGGACCCGCAGTGCAGGGGGCTTTGTTCCAGTGGGTTTGGGTTGGAGATATGGAAGGCAATTCTATCTGCAGCTAGTCTTTGAAATACATAAACATGTCTGCAAAGAACAGGATGGAAAAATCATTGAGTTCTACGCGTTGTTTGGTATGGATGGTGCCTCACATGGAGAAGTAATCTGAATTGGAACGCCTCATATCCTAAGCTAAAATAAAATGGTAGAATGATGTCTCTTCCCTCTTCAGGCTGGGGAAATTCAGACTTTAAATCCTTAATTAATGTAATGTTACCCTTTTTGCCAGCAGATTTTTTCTATAAATTCTATTCCCGTGGTCAATTGATGGATTCTTTCTTCATTAACCTTAAAAGAAAATTACACATGCGTTATATATGATAATGGCACTTGGGCTTTTGATTTTTTTCAAGTCAATTCCTTATTCTGATAGTTTGCAAACAAAAAAAAGTTTGAACTGGGAATTTATTCAAAAGTAAGATAAAAAAAAAAAAAACAAGGTTTTCTTTTCCTATCCTGAAAGACCTTGAGATAAATTTAATGGGGCAAGAAAACAAAAATATACTATTTCATTTTCAGTAAGTCTTTTTTTTTTTTTTCATTTGTAGGATAAAGATGGAAAACCACTATTGCCAAAGCCGGAGGAAAAATCCAAGGTTAGGAAATGAGCTTTCTATAAATACTTTCAATGAAAATAACTGTGGCACTATAATGTGATACAGAGCTTCAGGAAATAAGTTTTTATGACACTTAAAAGCCAGTGAACCTGTAAAATTTCACCATGGAGACTTTCTTGTGTGCCAGGGCAGAGCTGAGAGAGGGACTGCCTGTTAGCATGACTGACTCCTGTCGCTGACTCATGCCTCCTTGTCTTAATCATGATCTTCCTTCTGAGTTCTTGAAGCCTCTTCATTGCACATCAGGGGTTAATGTCCACGAGTTCCTTAAATTAGCGTTAATTCTAATCATGACCCTGCCATTCTTTTCTGCCACCTCTGCCCGGACCGGCAGTATTACCTGCTGTGGTGACCCTAAGCATTGCCTATTGTGATAATACTAAGTCGCAGATGTGTATTCATTACTTCGGCATTGCTGCCCCTTGCCTGTTTTCACTTGCATCCTCACTGAGTGAGGAAGGCAGAGTGATGCGGCCCATTTCACAGGTGAAGAAGCTGACCCGCCATCCGCACTCAGCGGCCCCAGGCGGGACGCAGAGCTCAGGCCTTTTTCACAGGCCAGCTTCTGCGTGGTGAGCCATTCGGTCCCAGGTTGCTGCTCCTGGGCTTCCACGGGTGTAGCCCCCCCCGGGAACATGGCCGGGAAGAGAGTTCCTTACCAAACTCTAGAGTTCAGGCTGTTTCCTCTGACTCATTCTGAGGGACGTGATTAGGAAGGAGAAGGGAAAAGTCACGTGAGGAAGGCTGTGTAGGTCTTCATCCACAGGACAGGCCATGTTATTTGGATAAAATTCTTCTCAAATGGGGATCTCAGGAGATCTTATTTTTGGTCAAGGCAGCGTTCACTTGCACGATTGTCCATATGTCTTAGGGATGCAGTGTCCTACCTTTTCCAAACACGTCCAGCCCGCTGCACTGCCAGAATACTGGTATATCTCTACGACAGTCCACTGGCCTAAACAGGCCCTCAGCTTCCTGGTGGTGCAGAGGAATATGTTTAATATTTCGTATTTCTATCCAGAGAGGCAAAACACACCCTTGGCAAATTAGTTTTGGGCTTTCGATGCTGCCTAACATCAGTGAACTTGTAAAGATTCTCTGCAGAAATGTTTTTTTGACAGTGAAAACCACTCCTTCATCTATTCTGTGTCTGGTCTTACAGCCACTCAGTGAATCAGAACTCATCGATGAACTCTCTGCAGATTTTGATTCATCCAAACGGAAAGAAGAAAAACAGAAGCCAATTGAAAAAACAAAAGTATGTGTCTTCTCTCTCTTTCTTCCTCTCTTTCCCCTCTCTCTCTCTCTCTCTCTCTCACACACACACACACACACACACACACTCACACGCACATACACACTCACACATGCACACACACACACACACACACACACACACACTGGTTTTGATTTTCCTCGGTGTTGTATCTGAAGATTCGTGGCAGGATTGATCAGGTGATCAGGTGCCAGATGCCTTAATGCCATCTGAAGTCCCTGCTGCCAAGTCCTGCCATGGCCTGAGTATGCTACCTCCTCCAAGCTGAGCCTGGGGCTGCGCTGGCCTGTGAACCCCGGAACCCTACCTCCAGGGAAGCCCGAGTCATGCTTCCCTTGGTGACGGTTGGTGCCCATGTGTCATGGCCCCTAAGGATGGTGGCTCTGTCTGTGATCTCTGGCCAGCCTGGCTCACGCCTCCTCCCCAGGCCTGGCCTGGCCATCCTCTCCTCCCACCCTCAGGAGCATCTGTCCTGCAGGGCCCAGGTTCCTGCTGAATCTTCCTTCCTTCCTGCCCCCATGTGTTTCCAGTCACTGAACGGTCCTGTAGAAGCCTCATTCCAGCTCTGCTAAGATCTTATCACCGTTTTTTTCCTCCCACACTTTATTTTTTATTTATTTTTATTAGATTTTTTTTTAATGAATCGCCATGAGGTACAGTTACAGATTTACAAACTTTCGTGCTTGCGTTTCAGTCATACAATGATTGGGTACCCATCCCTCCACCAGTGCCCATTCTCCACCACCGATGATCCCAGTATGCCTTCCACCATCCCCCGAATCCCCCCGTCCTGCCTCTGTGGCAGGCACATTTCCTTTTACTCTCCCACAGTTTACTTAAACAACATGGTTTACAGAGTTGTTCATGATGCTGTGTTACAGGCATTAATATTCCAACCCCAATCCCACCACCATGGTCCCCTTCCTTCCACCATTGTCTCTATTTTACCAAACACCCCTCAAGCCTGCTCCCATAGCAGGCTTCACGTCGATTTATCATATATTGCATGTCACCACTAAATGGCTAGTGGAATAATCGAAAAATATTTCCATAGAAGAAAGTCTGAAAATTGTATCTTAACAGTAAGTCCTTGTCTGAAAGTCTCCTAAGCTGTTGTTGCAGGTCGAGGCTTTTGTGTTGATGTTTTTGTTGGTCAGGTTGGTTGGCCTCTGCATTCTATCTCACCCAATCTGCTGTGCTCCTGCTGGGATGTCAGTACTGCAGAGTCTGGAGATGTCGCTCCAGAAAGTCCAGAATATGTAACTGGGCAGCCCAGCCCGGAGCCTGGGGTGGCTTTGGGGCATGAGTGCAGCTGCCAAGGCTGCGTTAGGGCAAGTGCTGGCCCCAGAGGTCTCAGCTGGGCGTAGGTGTCTGAGAACTCGAATCTCCCTCTCCAGGCCCTGCCCTACCCACTCAGTACCCTGGGCTCCACTGGGCCCCTGCGGGCTTTGGGTCCAGAGTTTCAGCTCTCTCGCTCTGCACTTGTGCTTGTTTGAAGCAGATCAGTTCCTCGAACAGAGATGTGACCCCTAGTTAGTGACCTCTTTTGAATACAAGGCCTTGAACTTTGTTCTGACTGTTGGGTCATACCTGGCAGTGCTCAGTGCTCAGGGCTGGCTTGTGCCAGGGAGCAAACCCGACCCTCCCACATATGTGCAGAGCATGCCCTCGGCCCACGGAGGCATCTCTCAGCACTACCAGGTCTTTGAGAAATGGTGAGTTCAGACGTTTTGTTAGAAATTTTACTCTCAGCTTAGACTGCAGCTTGGCCCAGAATTTCTAATTTAGTGCATTTTGAGGGGAGTGGCAAGAATTTGCATTCTAGCCAGGTCCTTCATAATGCTGGAGTGGCCTGCCGGGGATGACCCTTTGAGGACCCCTGGGGTGAGATTAGTCCCTGTTCCCGGTGGCATGTGCTAGGGCTGTGGCATGTTTGGGGCAAGTGGATGCCAAGGCCCCGCATTGCTCCAGCATCCCTTCCTGCCCCTGCCCCGCTATGGCCCTGCTCCCTAGACCTGAGCACTGGCCATCAGGATGACTTCTTGACCAAGCATCTCTTCAGGGCCCAGGGCGGGGCTGAGGGTGATACTTGATGAAAAGCAAAGATGCTTTTACGTAAAATAGATTTTGTAATGGCCCATGGCAGTCATTCAACAACAAATTAGTATCAGAAATAGCAATGGCTCCTGCAATTGGAGAGCAGTGTGTTCTCAGGCAGAGTGTTGCATAGTTTGATGCAGTTAAAAAGCCCATGTCAGCTCTGGAGACGTGGGCACTGTCATTTGGCAGACGTAGAAGCAGGGTCTCAGACACAGATAAGGAACATCCGCAAGGTCAGGAGTCTGGCCAGAGGCCGTCAGTGAAAGGAGCTGAGGTCTCAGCAACCTCAGGCATCGCGAGAGCCCTGCTCACAGCTTCCAGTTAGCAGAGGCCCGTGTTGGCCTGCAGGTGCTCCCAGCCAGCTCCTTTCTGATATTTCCCGTTGTGTCTGGTTTTTCCTGCAGGAACCTCGGGCCAGCGCCCCCAAACCAGTGGTGGAGACGGTGCCACGGGCCTCTCTCTGCAGTATCCAGGCGGCCCCCGCCAAGCCGGCGCCCGCGGTGAGTGATCCCTGGGCCGCTCCTCCCTCCTGAGAGTCCTGATGGTGGTTCTTGGGCTGCGGGGCTGTGCTGGAACCTTCTCTGACTGCTGCGAGGCTGCGTCTTCCTCTGAGGTGGTCTCTAGTTCCCAAGTGACTGGGGGTGCTCCTGCCTTTCCCAGCCGCCCCTCCCAGGCCTCAGCCTCATGGACGGTGCCTTTGACCCTCTGCCAAGTCACCCTTGCTTCCCCCACTGCCATGCTTTCGTGGGAAGGACCAGTCCGGGCTCTGTGCACGATGTTTCCTGTAGATTTGGTTTCTGTCAGCCGCCAGGGTCTTTGAGAGCAGAGACCAGTGCTGGGCTGTCGCTGTAGGCTTGGTCACTCAGCATTGGGCTTGTTTGGGAAGCTTCGCAGGAGCTTCTTGTGAACTTCCCTCTCTAAAGTTGGTTCCAGGGCCAGAGAGAGAGTACAGCAGGGGGGCGCTTGCCTTGCACGTGGCGGACCCGGGTCTGATCCCCAGCATCCCTGATGGTCCCCCAAGCCCTCCAGGAGTGATCCCCTGAGAACAGAGCCAAGAGTGGCCTCCTCCAGAAAAGAAGGGATGTTAGCTGGTCTGGTCACTTCTGTTCTGGAGGGAAATGACACTGAGTTGTCCCTGGACAGTCCACGTAAACTTCATAGCCTTTGGCAGAAATGGACTCTTCCCTTCTGGCAGGGTTTTAGATCTGATGGGGGGACAGGTCACAGTGAATGAGGCCCAGGGGCAAGGGTAGGCCGCAGAGGCCCCTGGTAGACTCTCACTCTTAGAAAAGGACCTTGAGAAAGTGGCATCAGGGGGTCCTGAGTCCCTGGAAGTGGGTGCCCCCCATCTCGGGCAGTCTTGGTGGTGCTCAGGGAAGGGACCTCGGGTTGGGGCGCTCTCAGACTGTCACTCATTCACTGTGGGTTCCACGACTGGGCAGCAGGCCATGATGGCATTATGGGGTCGTCTGGGGAGAGGGGGTATGGTGGGGGGGTTCTCTGGCCACACCCAGGCAGCTGGAGGCTCTGGCCTGCACCCATCTGGGGACACCCTGTCCTCGGGCTGACCAGAGCTGGGGACTCCCTGTCCATTCAGGGCTGGACGCCAGAGAGGATCAGCTGGGGGCACGGGGGATGGGGGCGGGGGGACACAGTGGCAGAGTCTGAACTTGGCGCCTTGTGTCTGCCAGGCAGGTGCCCCCAGCTCATCCCTGGCCCTAAGAGTTGACGTGGTTTTAACTGAGAGTCTCTGGTTTCCCTCCGCCCTGTGATTGGTGGTTTCGTGCACAGACTGCCCCCATCCACACCCCGCCCCGTCCTCACGGCTGTGTCAGGTCACCCCCTCCTACCCCCAAGCTCAGTTCTCTGACCCGCTCTCAGCCTCGCTTACTTTTGGCAGCTTGTTGTTCCCTTGCTTTGTTTCTTTTGTGTGTGTTTGTGGGCCACACTGGGAGAAGCTCAGGGCTTACTCCTGGCCCTGCACTCAGGAATCACTCCCGGCAGTGCTCGGGGACCCACGTGGGGTGGCAGGATCGAGCCCCGGTTGACCGCATGCAAGGCCAGCACTCTCCCCTCTGCACGCTCTCTCTAGTCCCCGTGCTGTATTTCTTTATATCCCACTGTCGAAGATGGTTCTGTCTATCCCTCTCGTAATCGGCATTGCACAGCACAATAGCTCTCCAGTTCCACCTGTGTAGCAGCAGATTGCATGATTTCATCTTTCCGTCATGTATCTATACCTCAGATTCTTTCTAGCTGTCTGTTCTAAACTTGATTCTAATTGCTAACTCATCATCAAAAGATGCACGGAGGCCAGAGAGGTAATACAGGATGTGGGACATTTGTCTTAAACGTGGCCAACTCCAGGGCAGGGACCAACCCCAATACCACATATAGTCCCCCGAGCACTGAGCCAGGATTCATCCCTGAGCCCACATAGGTGTGGCCCGTCCTCCCCAAACACACACAATAGAGAGATTACATGTGGGCCAGAGAGGCAGCTTTGAGCACTGGAGCTTGGGCCTCACTTGGGTGAAGCCGGAGCACCGTGCGGACCCGCGAACACTGCTAAGGGTGCCTCTAGCAGCCCCCTAAACAGTCAAGAGAGGAAAAGATGCCTCCAGCCTCTCGTGCTGCTGAGGTAAGGCTACGCCTGTGATCTGGGCCATCCCTGTCTTCAGAGGGTGCCCCTGCTGTGCTTTCAGAAGGCCGGGATGTCCGACGAAGCTGTGGATGCCCTGGCGGGGAGCCTGAGCAGGAGGGAGGAGGACCCCGAAGAGAGCCAGCCTGCCGAGGACCGCGTCCAGGTGAGGGCGACTCGAAGCTTCCCTGGAGCCCTGACCTGGCCCGCGCCCTGCAGAGATCCCATGAGAGCACCCCCAGCCCCACGTTCTCTCCGGCATGTCCTGTTTGTCCCTGGTGTGGAAAGGGGGGGTGTTTGAGCGTGGCCGGTGGACGGGCCACACGCCAAGCTCTCTGCGCTGGCCTTGCTCCTGCTCCCGGGAGACGCCCTTTAGCATCGCTGCCGCAGGGAGGCGGTTACGGCTCACAGGCCCTCGAAGGCTCCATGGAGGAGGGGTCAGGGAGGGAGCGCAGGGCAGGCGTTTGCCTGGCACCCCGACATCCCAGTGGTGTCCTAAGTGCCCCCAGGAGGAAGCCCTGGGCACCATGGGGGAGTCCCCAGAAAACTCTCCTCCTGGGCCCCGGCCTCAGCTCATGGGGATGCTCCTGGGTGGCCGACACGCTTCGATCCTCCCTCAGGAGAAAGCCGAGGAGGAGGATCGCGAGAAGCTTGGTGAGAAGGAAGAGACAATCCCTCCGGACTACAGGCTTGAAGAGGTCACGGTGAGCTGGCCTTTCCCCGTCTGGTTTTCACCTTGAATCCCCTGAAAGGAGAGACATGGTGACAGACCGCAGCTGGGCACGTCGGCCCGAGTGAGGCCCCGGTTCAGTCCCCAGCACCGCAAAGACAAATGAGCGGAATCCGCTTTGGCCCACCCTGCCACGCCGACCTGGGCCGCCACCACCTGGCGCGAGGCGGCTGAACCCTGTTTCCTCCCCTGCACAGGACGAGCCTGGAAAACCCGCCCCGCGCCCTGCGTCCCGAGACCCGCTCTCCGTAAGTTCCCCCCACCGGTGTCTGCTCTTCTCACCTGGTCCCCTGGCAGCCGGGAAGGGCCTGGTATTGCCCGGTGGCCCCCGGGGGGCATGTGCCGGCAGTCCCCACGTGCCTGGAGAGGGGTGTCCCTGCTCACCTCTGCCCCACCTCTTGCAGCCCATGAGTGATGATTTCCTCCTGGACGCCCTGTCTAAAGACTTTGATGGCTCTGCCACCAGTGCGCCTCTCGTAAGTTGGGACTTGTGATGTCAGCTCCTTACCTGGGGGTGGCGAAAAAAGAAGTGGGACCTTGCGACATGGAGCCCAGGAGATGGTCACCAAAGCGAGGATCCTCGCCCCAGCCTGGCTTCTAGAGAGGCCGCTGGTCTCCAGCTTTAGTGCAGGAGAAATGGCCTGAAACCAAGCTGCTGTACTGTGAGCAGGCAACTGCCAGGCTCCCGGGAGAGAGAGGGGCACCCTTATCCCAAATCATTCTTTTATTTGTTTTTAGTTTGGGGGGTAAAGGTAAAGGCCCTCCCGTTGATCGTCGATTTGCTCGAGCGGGCCCAGTAACGTCTCCATTGGAGACTTTGTTGTGACTGTGTCTGGCATATCGAACACGTCACGGGGAGCTTGCCAGGCTCTGCCGTGCGGGCGAGATACTCTCGGTAGCTGGCCGGGCTCTCCGAGAGGGGCGGAGGAATCGAACTCGGGCCATACCCAGAGGTGCTCAGGGCTTACTCTTGGTCTGCACTCAGAAATTACTCTTGGAAAGCTCCGGGAGCCATATGTGGTGCTGGGGATCGAACCCGGGTTGGTTACGTTCTAGGCAAATGCCCTACCCACTGTACTATTGCTCTGACCCCCTTCTGGGTCATTTCTAAGACAACTTGATCTGCTCTAGTCCTCTGATTGGTCATTTTCCATATTTCCTTCCAATAACATATAGATATAATACATAACATACAAGATGCCCATATCAGTATATATGATTGATGTTCTATGTTACATATGATATATTTGGAAGAATGAATTTCTCTCACAGGATTGTGTTATTAGCAATTACCATGTCTCCTTCCCTAACACTGGACGTTCTGGGCTTTTAAGGCAAACATCAGTTGTAAGTCAGGGTTTTTAGACTTAGCTGCTATGAAACCTTATTTTTAGGCTCCACTTTATCTGTGTACAGAAATTATTCACTTGTTCAGCAATTAAGCATCCCATAGTCAGAAAATCATATTACAGAGTATTATATAAAATACGAAGAGCCAGTTAATTGGGTTCGTGTAAAAGATGCATCTCAAATTTTACATACACTCATAAATTAAATTAAATTCTCCAGGAATACATTATGCCTTTAATGTGTTCAAAGAATTTAGTTTCAAGAATCAAATATTCAGCTATGCAGTTTGTAGGTCGTGGCATTTCTCATCTAAATGAAGTATGAAAAGTTGATTTTATTCTTGTTTCTGCTTAATGGCGTGTGAAAGAATAACACAACAAAGAAATGACTATCTAATTGTAAAAAATACATTTTGTAGAGAATACATTTGCAGACCGCAGTACTTTTGTTGACATCTTATTAATAGACTAGAAAGTTTAGTTCTCTAATGTGATCTGTGAGACATTTGCAAGGAAAACTGACAGGAGAAACGAACAAGAAAACAACAGAAGGAATTAGGAGATTAAGCACTGGAGGCAGTTTTATTAGCTCTCTTAAAGGAATGACGCCAATTCTCTGGAGTAGGCTAGTTCATTAAAATGGAAGTATTTTATGTGACTCAATAGAAATATTCTAAAATGCATTTGCAAAGATGCACGGAAGTATGGAAAATACTGAAAAACATTTCAAAATAAAAATGCCTTTTGGTATTGCGGGGGAAAATAAACCAAACTGAACACCAAGATTCATCTTATAATGATTAAAAAAGATAGGGTTTCAGAAAGGGAAACAGTCATACTGGAGAAAAATGAAGAAATAAACATGAATAACAGATGAGGTCCAGTTTCAAAAAGAGAAAGATCATTAGTGAGACTGGAGCAGTGGTACATTTAGTAAGAGGGCACTTGCCTGGTACATGGCGGACCCAGCTTCAATCCCTGGCACTCTGTATGGCCCCCAAGCCCCTCCAGGAATAAGCACGAGGAATTGCCAGGTGGGGCCCATAAAACAGAAGGGGGGGGAAAGGAAGGAGTTCAGGAAGAATTTATAATAAGATGTTATTTAACATTAATAAAAAGAAGTAAAACTGAAACCCTGTGCCATTACAAGTGCCATGAGATCATTTTACTTCTGCTATATGATCATAATTGAAAATTTAGGAGAAGCTGGAGCAATAGTTCAGGGGGGAGGGTGTTTGCCTTGTACACAGTCAAACTGGGTTCCATCCCCAGCATCCCATGTGGTCCCCTGAGCACCGCCAGGAGAATTTCTGAGGTAACCCCTGAGCACCTCCGGATATGACCCAAAAGAGAAGAAAGGAAAGGAAGGAAGGGAGGGAGGGAAAGAAGAAAGGAAGAGAGGAAAAAAGGAAGGAAAGAAAGAGAGAGAAGAGAAGAGAGAGAGGAATCCCAGCAGAGGATCACGTGCCGGGCGTGGGAACAGGCTGCCTCGGGCTGTGTCTGTGCACCCGGCGTCCGGAGCACCTGTCGGGATAGGTCTGTGGGCCCTTCACTTCCCTCTCCTTGCTGCCCCCTGCAGTGACCAGGGCAGACCCACACATGACAAGTCCTCAGCAGGCTCCCACTTCTGGGTATGGTACTGGCATGCTTTTGTGGCGCTCACACACATTCTGGTGGCAGTGCTCACAGGGGGTGCGCCTCTCGCCGTGGTACTCCCGCACGCTCAGGTACAGTGCTCACACACCAGTCCTGGTGCTCAGTGACGCCCAGGAGTGATGGGTGCCTGCAGTCAGACGCTCTGTTGCTGCTGGGACAGCTCTCAGGGCCTGTGGGAGGCACCAGGGAGCAGGCACAGGGCCTGGTAGCCTGGTACGTTAGTCCCTGGAGTCATTCCCGAATTTCTTGCAGCATCTACTGATGGTGAGAAGATAGCCAGTACCAAAAAAAAAAGTTTTTTTTTAATTTTTATACTTGTGCAGAGTCACCAGTTTCATCAAAGAGAACTGAAAGAGAGCCTCAATGCATCGTAGTGAATAAAGCATGAAACTGTTATCAGATTATTGAACACTTAGAATAATAAGTGTGAATTAGAAATAGAAATCCATATAGGATCCTGTGGGGAACAGGCCAGAGCGATAGCACAGGGATGAGGTAGTTGCCTTGTAAAAACTGACCTAGGGTTTGATAACTGGTGCCGCTGAGCGCTGCCTGGAATGATCCCTGAGCATCACTGGGCGTATCGCCACCCGCAACAAAACAAAACAAAAAATAAAATAAATAAAACCCAAAGTTCTATGGAATGGGAAATAGAGTACACTGCTTTGAAGAGTGTACTACTATGTACCCACCGGATCAAGAGAAACATACTCAGAAGAAAGCTTTAGAGCTGGGGCTGGGGAGATGCTACAGTGGGCGGGGCTATTGCCTTGCTCGCAGCCAGCTGGAATCCTATCCCCAGCATCCTGTAGGGGCCCCTGAGTACCACCCGCCGTGACTCCAAAATGAGCAAGAACAAAAAAGATGATTAAGAGCTTTATTAAGTAAGGGTAGCATGGGTTTAATTTTACATAGAGCATGCTGTTGATAAAAATATCCCCCCCCCCTCTTTTTTTTTTCAACCCAAGAAATTGGATGAAGGAAAACTTTCTGCTGCTGTCTCCGAAGTGGTTTCCCAGAGCTCGGCGTCCGCCACGCATACGGCAGGCCCGCCCCCACCCGCTCCGGTAAGCCCCTGGGCAGAAATAGAGGGCCTGCTCTCAGCAGGTGGAGATTAAGTTGTTTGGAACATCACGTCGGGCACCTCTTTCAGAAAAGACCTGGGTCAGTTTGGGGCTTGACGGAGGGTATCTGAAACAGCACAATGGCCATGCAACGGGAAGCCTTTGTGGGCGCTCTCCGTGTCAGAGTCGCACATCCCCTCGTATCTGTCGCTGTTGGCTCTGAAAAGGCCCGTTGCTTCCCAGAAGATTGTCTTCCTCCTAGACCCGCCAACACGTGCCGTAGACAGGGCCCATTACTTAAGCTCATTTTACTAAATGCCTGTGTTCAGAGCTGCGCTCCCCTAACCCCGCACGCCGTGCCACAGGGCGGTGTGCCCGTTCACAACTCCCCAGATCAGTAGAAAGAAAAAGACCCGAGCATCAACGTTGCTCGAATTACGTGCTCTTTCTGAGGCAAGACCCGGAGACCCACAGTTTTACAGACTTCTTGACGAAATTTCCGCCTAGTATCAAATTGGACATTACCAAGGAGACCACATGCAGCACATCGAGGTGACGAGACTGTCCCTCGTCAGAGCCCAGCCCCCTGCCGCAGAGCGAAGACACGCTGAGACATTGTCAGCTCTGCTTCTTGTCCGTGTGATGTGGCGGTAGAGCTGGCTCCATGCCGTCATCTGACATGCTCGTGAATTCCCACCCTGTTGGGTTAGCCCAGGAGCATCTGAAAGGGCCAGAGGCCCAGATGACAGAGCCCAGGCCCGGCTCCCCCATGAGCAGCCTGAGCTCTGGCAAAGCACTGAAGCCTGTGAGATGTGGTGTGCGTGTGTGCGTGCTGAAGCCCCGGAGCAGCAAGAGACTGACCTGGGCCCGTCTGCCCCTGGCCTTTGCTTCTGAAGTTAAGCTCAAGACAGGCTGTCCACATTGAGGCTGTTAGTAGACACCTCATGCAGAAGAGTGTTTCAGAATCCCATATTCCCTGTCACTTTTCCCAATAGCCCAGTTTTCATATTTTATTGCAACTAGCCAGGAATCTCTCTCTGCACGGACTCTCTCCGGAGTCGGAGTAAACTAAGTGACTAGAGTTTGTGTGCGTTTTCTTTGTTAGGGATGTTCGTCTGGACACAGACACACATAGCAAGGTGCTTTCATATAAGCTTCCTGAGAAATGGGGCCAGGAACCTCACCTTTTCTGTTTTCTCGGAGGAGAGAGACAGTGCAGGGCAGAGCCAGGGGCATGTATGTGTGTGCGTGAGTGTGTGTTTGCATGTGCGTGCGTGTGTTTGTGCGTGTGTGCACGCGCACGCAGTGACGGAGGGAGGGGCACCCAGGCCTGCCACCCACCAGCCCGCCTTCCCAGGCCAAGTCCCACGAGCTTATGGAAGTCTCCGTGGCAGTCACAGGGCCACACTCCAGCAGGCGGCTTCGTGCAACCAGTCAGAACCTAATTCCGATTTCATTTTTAGCAGCCTGACAACAAAGCACTTGACGATGCCCTGGATCAACTTTCTGACAGTCTAGGGAAAAGGCAGCCGGATCCAGATGACGGCAAGCCCATGGAGGACAAAGTCAAGGTACAAGGGGGAAAAAAATCACAGGCGATAATTACTGGTGTATTGTGCGTGTTGTGTGTAGCCCAGCATGTACCCCCTGCAGTACGGGCGACTGGCCAACTGTGATTGTCAGGAGTCAGGAAACAGCTGGAGAACTAACATGCGCTGTCCCTGGGCTCTCGGCCATGGTCAGGGTGCAGGTGTAGGCCAGGCCTACTGTATTCATCTTCTCCTACGTTAACCCTGCTGGTGCGACACACACACACACACACGTGCTGTTTGCGGCGACTGTGTTCTGTACTCATTGTAGCCGGTCACTCAGCTGAGGGGTGTCCAGCAGCTTCTATACTGTCCTGACACCGTGTGCACACACCCTACATGCTCCAGCAGGAGTTCAGACCATGCTCAAGTGTGTCTGCAAGACACGCCAGGACTCTCCATCTTCTGTACCCCGTGGACACCTGCTTATTTGTTTATACTGAGGCACTGCGTGTTATCATTGGGGACCCTCAGAGGTGCCAGGAACAATTCCTGGTGATCCTCCACCAACTGGACAATCAGTTCATTGCAAGGACCCAAGGATGCGGTGTACCGGGGATGGCCTGGATGATTCCAGCCATGCTCAGGGTCTCCAGGGCCACACCTGATGATGCTCAGGGCACCGAAGGTTCTGGGGATCAAACTAGGGTCTGCCACATGCCAGGCAAGCACCTTAACCCTTGTACACATCTCTCCTGCCCTGGCACATTAATAATCAAGTGCCAACCTAGGAAGCAACTAAGTCTAAACTATTACATTAACGTTTTAAAGAATTCTTAATTCTTGATTGGGTCATCATCTTAGAAATACTCATTTTGGGTCCAAAGAGGTAGTAAAGCAGGTAAAGTCCTTGCCTTGTACACAGTCAAGCCAAGTGCAGTCCCCAGGAATCCTATGTGGTCCTGTCAGGAGTAAACCCTGAGCACTGCTGGGTATGGCCCCACCCTCCCCCGAAGAGATATGAAGTATATCCGTATTTGAAAATAGGGATTATTCGTGAAACAAAACCCGTCTCCAAAAGATAATAGCATACATTTGCATTTTTCAAAAGTGGCTAGTTCAGCCTCTGGGAGGGACTTGCTGGACCCCTGTGCCAGCAGTCATGGCCTCAGGCTGCACTGGGGGGGGGGGGGGTGCCTGCAGTCTGTTCGCTTAGAGAGAGCAGACCTGAGGTCTGGCAGGCACTCACGGGCTCCTAAGCAGTGCCGGGTGCCCACACCTCCCTTCCCCCACTCCCCACACACACACATAGGCCCTGCACAGCGACGCATCCTCAAACCTTCACAGTGAACTGCCAGCCCCCAGAGTGTCTTTCAAGTAAAGAGTAGATTGCAGGCAGGTTGAATAACTTCTTTTCTGCACATGGGTTGGTCAGTGCAGGAGTCTCTGGACAGGTCCACAACCGTGGTCTCTGGCACTGAGGGCAGTGGCCACACCTCACAGTGACCCATCCCTCTCAGGCACCAGTGCCTCCATGCCGGGCACAGCGCCTCAGTGCTGTGTGGGAAACTCAGCTCCTACAGAAATAGCTCCTTTAGGGAGGTTCTTTCTCACCAGTAGAATATCACAGACATCCCTTACATCCCATCCTTTGGCTCAAGAAATAAAAACGGGCCCTCCACAAGGACCACCAAGTCTGCTGTGCAGGGTGGGGTAAGTCGGGTGCAGAAAGGTTGAAGAGTGCGAGGGGAGGGGAGTGACCCTGGCTTCTGTCTTTTTGACTGTTCTAGGAAAAAGCCAAAGCTGAACATAGAGACAAACTGGGAGAAAGAGATGACACCATTCCCCCGGAGTACAGACACCTCTTAGATAACGATGATAAGGTAAGAGAAGGTGCGTGTTTCTCGAACCCTGCTGCAGAGCCTAGGAGCTGACCGGCCGGCCGGGCTCATGGGCAGTAACGTTAAAAATACCTCAGGATTGATTGCTCTGTGTGCCCCAAGGAGCAGGTCAGAAACCCGCTGCCTAAGTGTGCCGGAAGGTATGGAATAAATGTCCAGCTGCCCCTCCCTACACCTGTGGACCCCGTCCCCTGCCTCCGCCGGTAATGGACAGTAATCCCAAAGCAGGCGCCCAGAGGAATTCTCTGCAGAGCAGACACTGCAGGGAAAGTCCCCGTTTCAGGAGAGCACAGAGGGGCCAGGACTACTGAGACAGTCAACAGGGCGAGTAATATGGCGTCTCTGAAGACTCAGGGCTCCCCTTCCTCCCTCCCTCCCTCCTGCATGCACCCCACCAGCACAGCTGAGAGTAGAGACAGGCAGAAGACCACGCCCCCAGACCCAGACCCTGTCCTGCCTCAGGACATCCATCTGGGGGCTCAGACACGAAAGCAGGTCTCTTCAGTCTCCCTCCCACTCGCACCCCTGAGATGGTGAGTGGCCTCTCCAGGGCTATCTGTAAATAAAAAACGTGTCCTAGCCCTGGTGATACCTTTAGTGACCGCGTGCAATAGAGCTCTGTTACTTTCTGCCACGTTTTCGGTAGATTACAGCACACCAATGGCAGAAAGCTCCTATACTGACTCGCCTTCCAGACCAGACCCTTTGAATGCATTTTCCTCAAGGCCTTTGATTCAGTTTTGTGCCAGTTGTTAAGCAGAATGGGCAGAGACATCGTAGGGACCCAGACATAAGTCATTGCCAACCTCTACCCCATCTCGTCCAAGTGGGGCAGTTGGGTAGTTGGTTCTGTACATGCCCACTGTACCCTGAGGATTTCCCCAGAGATACACAGTTCACAAGTCGCCTGCCTTGCTTTTCAGAGCAAACCAGCGAAGCCCTCTCCGAAGAAGTCCCCGGCATCCAAGGTAAACTCGGGAATCCCGTGTCTCTGTAATGACGCGCTCGCTCTAAGCATGCTCCAGGTGAAAAGTGTGGGCTCACACCCCTGCTTCCTACCACGTGTGCCTGGCCCCACGCCCTGCCTGTTGCTCAGTGCTTGTACCTAAGCACCCTCCATCTCCTTCGGCCCTCACTGCCTCCTACTCTCAGGATTCTGCGGCCCCGAGGATGGGAGCAGCTTATGTAGAGCAGAGGGAATGGATCCCAGCATCACGCCCTGTCTCCTTCCCAGTGCCCTGAGTTTGTTAGGAAGAGGATGTCGTGGGATTTGGGGGGGATTGTTTTTGTTTGGTTTGGTTCCTTTGGGATTTGGGCACTGGTAGGTGCTCACTCCTGGTTCAGTGCTCAAGGATCTCTCCTCTGTGCTGGGGGACCATATGTGGTGCCAGGAATCAACCCCGGGCTCACTTTGTGCAAGACGCATGCCATACCCATGGTACTGTCTCTGGCCCCGAGTTTTGTTTTTGCGGGGGTTGTCACCTGCAGTGCTCAGGGGCTACTCCTGGCTCTGTGCTGGGATGGGGCTCGGGGTACTCCTGACAGTGCTCAGGAAACTAGGGATCAAACTGGGGCCACATGCAAGACAAGTTCCTAAAGCCCTAGCACTGTCCCTCTAGCCCAAGGGCTGTGTCTTGTGGTTGTTTTCTTTTTCTTAGTTTGGTTTTGGGGCCACATCCAGCGATGCTCAGGGCTTCCTCCTGGCTCTGTATCCGGGACTCACTCCCGGAGGTGCTTGAGGGACCATATGGGTATCGGAGATAGAACCCGGGCCGGCTGCCTGCAAGAAGCGCCCTCCCCACTGTACTGTGCCTCCATCCCGTTTTCTTAAACATTCCCTTTGAAGCGATGTGTCAAATGTGTCACCTTGTGCTTCTTTACCAATGGTGGGTTTTTATTCACGATCTCAGAAACCGACCAGTGATCAAGACGCCATCGACGCCCTCTCGGGGGACTTCGACAACTGTCCCACCACTGCCCAGACCTCTGAGAACACAGCAGCTAAGGTACCTACGCCGTCCCACATGGCCTCCTGTGAGCATACAGCACACACATGCACACACATGCGCACACACACGTTTCAGGTCAGAAAGGAAGTTGGTGCTACCACAGAGAACTTGTAGACAGAGAGATTGCCTCGAGCAGGCCCCAATAACGTCTCCTTCATCCTAGCCCTGAGATTATATTCAAGGCTCTTTAGGAGAATGAGACCCATCATTGTTACTGGTACTTGGCATATTGGGTACGCCACGGGGAGTTTGCCAGACTCTGCCCTGTGGGCAGGCTACATTCGATAGCCTGCAAGTTTGTCCAAAGTAGGAATGAGATAATAAGATGTCATAAAAAAGATGTCCTGATAAGATGTCGTGGTTCCGGGAGCTGGATTTTATAGTCTCTGAGTCTTGGCCGTTGATGGGATTACACGGCGCCAGGGGGCCAGGTGGTGGGTGTGACCCCCGCCTACAGAGAGAAGAGTCTTCTAATTCTGCATCCTTCTCAGCCTCTGCTTGGTGTATTCCTGGGCCTGCTTCATGCGCGTCCTGTGTCAGACCCTGTGTAAGTGCTTCCGTGTCGTAGTGTAGTCACTGTGGCACTACCCCATGCAGCCAGGGTGGCACTGGGTCCTTCAGGATGAAAACAGTGGGGTTGGGCCAGACCCTCCCTGCCTGCATCCCTGCAGCCCACCATGCCCAGCAGACAGCCATTTATGTCACATCTCCCCAGGGCCCAGTTGGTGGTCTGTGCCTGACCTTCCCCCTCTCCCACCACTGCTGCCGCGCTGGGCTCTGTCCGGCAGGGTGACCGTTGAACAGGCCACTGACCCACAGACCGCTGCCTCCTGGGAAGTCAGCAGGAGAGGCGAGGCCTGCTCTAGGTCTCTCCAGAGGAATTAATGCTCCAGAACCGTTCGTTTGCTGTTGGACTTGGGGATATTTTGTGGTGGTGGTGGTGGTGGTTTTGTTTGAGCACCCGGGGATGCTCAAGACTTACTCCTGGCTCTGTGCTCAGGGAGCACGCCTGCTGGTGCTCTGCGGACCTTACGGGATGCCGGAGATCAAATCTGGATCAGCCACCTGCAAGCCAAACACCTGCCCCCTGTACTGTCTCTTTGGCCCCTGCTATCATTTCACTCATGCCTTTTGAGCTGGCATGTTTCTATCTGTGTGCCGTGCCTGGCCACCGTTCTCTCTCTGATGCTGAAACCAGGACCTGGTGTTCTCATGGTGCCAGCCCTGGGCCAGGCAGGTCCCCGAGTGGTCAGGGCCCTGCAGAGCAGGTGGGTCTGGCCCCAGGAACCCCCGGTGTGGCCCTGTATACCCCACACCTTGGAACTGGAGAAGCCTGAGCTCCATTGTGTCATGGGGAGGGCCCCCCATCCCCTTGAGTGCTTCTTGGGGGGCTCCCACACGCCGCAGCACCAGCCCTGGTAGGAACGAGCTTCTCTGATGAGCTCACTAAGGATCTGAGAGGCAGAGCATCTGTCTTGCCGGGTCTTCCTCCTCCTTTTCGTCCTTTCTGCCTCCTCCCTGCAGCGCGTCTGTGTCTGGGCTCCATTGTTACCGCGGCGGGAACCCCAGTGTCGCTTTATTGAACTAGACTGAAGAAAAGTCTGCGCTGATGTGAGGCACCCCCTAGTTAATTAGCTGGACTCGTGAGAGCAATATCCCCATGACGTGTCTTTGCTTTAGGACAAAGACAAGAAGGCTGCCTCCCACTCCAAAGCCCCCAAGCACGGGGGCAAGGCGAAGAGCTCTGCCAAGGTAAGCGGAGCAGTAGGCAGACCGCCTGTTACACGGAGCCTCTTTGCTGTCCTCTGTCGCTTAGGAGAAGCTCCTTTGAGGCCTTTACCTATCCTCTGGGGCGCGCCTTGCTATGGAAATGGAAGCTTTAAGCACTTTACGTTCACCTTAAATGAACCTTCCTAACAGTCCGCTGTTCCTATGCTCCCTGTTCTGGTGGATTAGAAACCCCGCTGAGTCCCCCATGCTCTGGAGAAGGCCGCAGTGTGGACAGACACGCTCTCGATTCCGGCCCTGCTGTAGCTGCTCCCTCCACCTGAGGGAGGCAAAGGAAACCACCCCCAAAGAGAGAAGACAAAACAAACAAGCACCACCCCTGGCAGAAACAGCGTCTGGTTCAGCATTCACACCCAGAACACAGGAGATTCCTTCAGCACATTACCGCAGGGCAACACCGCCTGCTTCTGGGGTGGATCCTCCTTTTCCCAAGGGGAGGGGGTCCCAGCCAGGGGAGGCCTGTGGAGAGACTGAGCAGCATAAGGGTCAGAGAAATACACATGGGAGACCTCACCACGCCCGCATCAGGGTCTCTGCGTTGCCAGGACAGGACAGAAAGCTGGCCGGCACCTTCTGGAATGAGCCGTTGTCACAACCAGACATCGCTTCGAGGACACGGCAGCTCGGCTACTGGTCTTGCAGCGGGCGGGTGGGCCCTCTGATCTGTGTATCTGAAGGTGGGTGCAGGCGCCCCCAGGACGACGCAACGCACATGGCAGCTGGACCCAGAGTGTGGTGCCAGTGTTCGCAGCAGGCAGTGCCGGGCGGCACAGGAGCCAGGCGTGTCAGCAGCAGCAGCCCAGGGCAGGAGCGAGGCCACTCTCTGCCCCTGGGTGATGTCTGCCACAGAGGGCACCGGAGGCCCCAGAATTGGAGCTGTCTGGTTTGGCCCAGTGAAGGAGAGGCAGAGATCCTGGGGCCTCGTGTGCCCCAGCCAGCCCCGCCACACGGAGAAGAGCCACACTGCCCACCTAGACTTGGTGCCAGGCACTGCTGCTCCTGCCCAGGTGTGCTGGCAACAGCAAGAGGAAACTCACTGCTCGAGTGTGCAGGGACCAAGGTCACAGTCTGTAGGCAGGGTCTGACTGGACTGCAGGCCAGAAGGGACAGCAACGTGACTATCCCCCTGGATCCCAACCCCCAGCCCAGTCAGCTGGATTCCCAACATACACAGACACACACACCATATGCACAGACACACACACACAGACACACACACACACACACACACACACACACAGAGTCTCTGTCCCTCCAGGCAAAACTAAAGCCACAACACCACCTGCTGGTAAAGAAAAGGCAGCACCATTTTGGTTAACATACCCAGGATAAAATCTGTAATGCAGAAATTACAGCAAAATGGAAATGCTAATATAGAATGATAAAGTGAAAATTAAATATTTGGGGGATCAAGTGAACAGGTACTTTGAAAGAGATTATTTGATAAATAAAAGCAAAGACTAACAAATGGATTACATCAAACCAAAAATTTTTTTCATAATAAAATAAACCCAAACAAAAACAAAAATGGCAACTAACCGACTTGGAAAATAGATTTGTAACTAATTCATACATCTGACGAGATTAGTATATACACACACACACACACACAAATATATCTATATATAAATAACTATATCAACTCAACGACAAAACACCCAATTTCAAAAAGAGCAGAAGATTTGAATAGGCAGTTGATCATTGTGATTGTTCTTTATTTAGACGCCACAATTTGCAAAGCTGATGGGAACAGTCTCAGGCATTCAGTGTTCCAGCTCTGAACACATCACCAGTGTCAGCGTCCCTGCAGCATTGACTCGAGTTTCTCTCCCTCTTTCACCCCTGTGAATAGTCACTTTTCTAAAGAAGACAGATGACTGACAAGCACGTGGGGAAAAAATGCTCATTGCTTATTAAAGAAATGCAGAGAAAAGTCACAGTGAGATATCACCTCATTCCTAGGAAAACATCACGTATCATAAAGACAAGAGAGTTGTTGGTGGCCCCCCTCTCACGTGGGGAGAATACAAAATGTGTCAACTCAGTGAAAATTAGGGAGATCCCTTCACAAAGTCAAAAACCTTATCATGTGGCCCAGCCTATGCTGCCTATTGGATATTCTGGATTCCTATTAGAGCATCATGCAGACTCTTCATTGGAATGGGTAAATACAAACCTATGTTCACTGCAGCATTATGCACAATAACCAAGAAATGGAAGCAACTTAAGTGCCCACCGCCTATGAAATTTATGGTTAGATAAAGGGATGGTATATGCATGTGTGTACACCTGTGTATCTGCCTGCTGCTGCTCTGCTATTGAAAATGAAGAGGATGAAATCTTGTTATTTGCAGTATCATGGATAGACCTCGAAGTGACTTGACTAAGTGAACTAATTCTGGACTACTGCACATCTGTGTGCAATTAAGAGAAACGAAGCAAATGAACAGTAGAGACAGCAGATTGGTCTAGGAGAGCCAAATTCTGGACCTCCGAGAGGGAGAAGTAGGCAGTGAAGGATTAGAACAGTTGGCTGTTGGTGGATGGCAACGGACCTTTGTGCCCAGCCCAGAGTGGACTCTGACACTTGAAGAAATGTGAAGCTGATCACCTAAAACTCATGTCGTGCTGTGAACCAGTGCCGCCTCTGTTTTACAAACTGTGGGTGAGGGTGTGGAGAAAAGAGAATATTTGTGTTCTCTCGGTAGGAATGTGAATTCGTTCAGCTACTATAGAAAGAAGTATCCAGGTCTCTCATAAATAAAAATAGAGCTGCCATATTATCTAACGATTTCACTTTTGGGGTGAAAGAAAACATACTGGAGACCATGTGCTCATTGTGGCATTTTTATAAAAACCAAGATAAAGGACAGCCGAAGTGTCCGTCAGCGAATGAACAGTTAGGGGAAAATGCTGTATATGTATACAAAATGGAATATCATTCCATGAAATGGAAGTCTCACCGTTTGCAGCAACATTCATGAGGGCATTATACCAAGTAAAACAAGTCAGAAGGAAATAGAGTGTGATCGTCCTTCCACGTGGAATCTGAAAAAAAAGAAAGAAAGAACTCCTTGGTTGGTGGTTGCAAGAGGTAGGGGCTGGGGGGGAGAGGGGCATGTGGAGAGGAAATGAGGGGTACAGAAAGTCAGAAGGACAAACTTCCACTTGTAAAACTGGCCTGAGCAAGAGTCTCTAAGAGTACATCTGAAATGCTATCACTGTAAAATGTTACGAAGATAACAACTAAACTCACCCTGAAAATCATTTTACAGTTCATGCAGCCAAATAACTGAGGTATACCTGCAGCCTGTCTCACCTGCCAATAACAGCACCTACAAAACCCGTAAAAGATGTAGGAGACTGGATTGATAAATGACTTGCTCGTGCCATTATAGCACAACTAGATTATATGTTTAATTTTAGCTATGCAAAGTGCATGACAAGCTCCAGAACGACTGAAAGAAAAACTCAGAAGCGCATCTGCTGAGTCAACAGGTTAACCGGCCCCCGGGCCTCCGCGTGCTGGAGAGGAACGGCTGAGTGCGGGGTGGGCAGACAGACAGCACTGTGCCAGAAACTAAAAGCGTGTTCCACCTGCAATTACCTTTTTTTTTTTTTCCTTGAAAGTCAGGATAAAATATTTACAGTCACCAAAGATTATTTCCAGGTGATTATCTGAAGAGGAAGAACTTGGTATCTACCTGAATTTAAAAAGGCATCTAGATGGGGGACCAGGCGTTTTCCGAGACTCGCTGTCCACCCTGGATTCTGAGAAGTCTGTTTCCTTCTGTGTTTCTTCTAACTGATCAGTTTTTGTTGTCATTGTGGGGGCTGCACCCACAAGTGCTCCGGGCTTGCTTCTGGCTCTCTGCTCAGCTTAATCCCAATAGGCTCTGGGGGATTGAACTGGGATCAGCCTGCTCCACCATCTCTGCATGCCCAGGTGGATCAGTTTCTTGGCTCGGTGCAGACGACCAAAGGCTTCCTGACGATTATGCTTCTCTGTTTTAGAACAAGGAAGAAACTCCCAAGCCCAAAGCTGATGACAAAAATACAAGTTAAAGTCGACACTATTTGGTAAGTTGAGTGCTTGTTTCCAGTTGCTTCTGGAGTACTTGGCGCTCGTAAAGTGCACGTGGCCCGTTCTAGAGAGCCATTCCCTGAACCCTCGCTGGGTTATGTAGAAGCAGCCACCTCAGAATCAGGAGTCCTTGCAGGGGTCAGGGCCAGCTCGTACAAGAAAATGGCTATCAGGGCTGAGCACTCTTGACTCTGACACCAAGTGCTCTCCCTGTAGCTCTCTGCTGGTCCTGCAAAGTTAGTGTGTTACCCCTGAGTGGAAACTCTTTAAGACGTTGGCGGTGTCTGCGATATCAAGTCCTGAGGAAGCTGGGGTTGAGGGTGGGCAGAAACCATTTATGGAAGCAAGGGCAAAGGAAGAGACCAGCTCGTTTGGTCTTATTTTTGGAATGTAAAATATAGCGTTTACCCCCACGCCCCTAAAGTAAGCATTCCTAGGAAAACTTTCCTAACTCCAACGCCCAAGTCAAGGAAGTAAACCACCTACTGACACGGAGTTTTTCAGCATTCCTACCCCCCACTTAGCCTTCATTTCAGGTAGCACCTAAAACCTTCAGTAACAGACTTGGGTCCAAAGCCGTTATATGCACACAGCCTGCAGGATGGACTTGGGTAGCAGTTTGGTGGGTGGGACCCCTCAGGCCGCCCTGGGCACACTCCCAGGGATCAGCGCCACCATCTGCAGGTTTCTTGGTTGGCACAAACACACGCTAGTGGAGAGCGCTCTGAAAGGGAAGTGGCACAAGGCCGAGCTTCGCAGAGAAGGAGAAAGTCACATGGGCCCCTCTGTAGTGACAGAAAGATCATATACAGGAAGGGCGAGAGCTCCATCACTTCCTGTAACGAGGGGAGGTGTGCTCTCTAGAATTCTCCTAAAGATTTCCCCTGCCATCACTTTTGTCATGATTTCTATGAGTAATCCGCCCTCTTGCAGGGCCAGGGTTGGAATCTGGGCCTCAGACATGCAGGCACTTTGCCTGGTGCCAGACCCCAGGCTCTTAGCAGCCCACCCCTTACTTGTAGGAAATGCCTTGTTGTTTCTTTATACAGAACTTTTGCTGAAATGCTGCAAAGAAGTGAGATTGCATACCAAGTGATTCGCTGTGTTGTTTTGAATTTTTCAGGGACTCGGCACATAAAATCTTCAGCTGGTGGATGGTGACTTGAAGAACAAAAGACTTTGACAACAGAACATTTTCCGGGGCGGCTTTGAGACAGTGATATTTGTTGAGACTTTTGGCATCGTAAACATTGATATTTTTTTTTTCCTGAAAAGGAAAAAAAAAGTGTCTGGTTCACCTGTGTTACATTGAGTATTGATAAACTGAATTTTTAAAAATTGCCTTCAGTTAGAAAGAATTTTATATTTTTAAGAGATATATTTGCTATAGTTTCTTAAGGCAACTCCAGAAACCAAAGCTAAAATCTTTGCAAACTTTTGCACATTCTCCACACAGTGCCTGTCCATCTCCCGTGGGTTTCGGTTTCTCTTCCCTGTGGTTGGCAGTCCCAAAGCAATGCTTCAGACCTTGTTCAGTGTTCTGAGTTCTCATCACCCCTTTCCTCTTGGGCTTTTGAACTGTATATAATATTTTCTTTGGGTGAATGTTTATAAGTCAAGCAAAACATTGTATATCGGGCACATATCTCCCCTCGGGCTGCTAATAATAAACATATCTACTCCCTGGGCACGCCAGCAAGCTCGCCCTCTCCTGCTTGCCGTCTTCTTTGTTAGAGGTTGGGACTCTCTTGCACCTTAGAGACAGCACAGAACATCCAGAGACTTGAATCAAGTCAGGAGAAGAGCAAAATGCAGAAGACGGTCACTGCAGAGAAATCCCAGAAAGAAGCTAAAACATCTAATTCTCGGAATATTCAGATGCTTGAACTCCCTTGGTCCATACCATTATTGGGTTGGACTTCCTGTTTTCTAGACATAAAACCTGCTACATACTTGTTTACAGACATTGCCACTTGAGTCTTTGCACTGCAGAGCACCTGTCTGCCTTTACGGGAAACAGCTTTGCCTAATATGAAAACAATTTGCACTTTGACAAATCAACCTATATCGGAAATGTAGAACTGCTTTACCCTCACACCACAGTTTAAAGCCTGGACTTTTAACGTACTCCTTTTGACTAATTTCTCTGAAGTTTGGTCTCAAGAAGTTCCCTTGCAACACCAGGCATATGGGCTGGGAGAAGGCTTCTGGGGGCACAGACTTGGGAGTGGAGGAGCCCCGGGCTTGATTCTGGGCACCACCGGGAACACCCCTGGGAGCAGCCCCTGAGTTGAGCACGGCCCCCAAATAAACATAACAAAAGTCATGGGCATACCTAAGAGGTTACTTAAAGCACTTAACCCACTTTGAACCTCTTGCCCATCAGAGATGTAGGCTCGCTGTTACTATAAATCCGTCAACTCTCAGTGTTAGTGTGACCTAACAGAACTTCTCAAGGCATTAAGAAAAGATGCTTTTGCTAAGAGATTGTATCTAGTCATCTACTTTTTCCATTTGAGTGGCATAAAGTTGTTTGATTGGTGAATATAATTGAACTCTTTGATACTGTGGGTTGAGTTTGCAGGGATATGGTGACAGTATTGATGGTTTGCTTACCTAGATCAATGTATTTTTAAGTGACAATATTAAAATTGAGAAACACAAGACATACCTATGAAAGTACAAAATTTGTACTTTGACACTTATTTAAGGTACTTTGACATTTATTTAAGGTACTTTGTAAATGCCTTATTAGAAATGTCACTAAGACATACATTGTGTTTGCCCATAATGAGAGATGATGTGAGTACATGATCTATATTAGTCCTTTTTTACCCATATAGTTAGAAATAGATGATTGCAGGTAAATGCTTAGAGGGAACTAATTTTCTATTACCAGAAAGGTTTCTGTACCTCGTGTGGCAATGCTGTGTCTTCTGAGAAAACAGGCTTCTCTAACGTAAAGGAAGATGGGTTCCTCAGGTGATCCAAACTATGACTATCTCCATGTTTTATTAATCAAAATATAAAATACAATTAAATAAAAATATTTTACATTGAAACACTTGGCTTTGTATGGTTTTATTTTCTGGAAAATACCTGAGAGTAAAAATATATTAGTGAGTTGTATTATTTCTCAAACCATTAAACCCAACAACGTTATGCATATGGAACCATAAAGTTTTATATCCAGATAAGTCAGCTTTATCTACAGTATATTAGACCACCTATGACCACTTTTTAATTCTCAATATATTCCTTTTTTGTTTTTATTTGGGGGCCACACCTGGCAGTGTGCAGGGCTTGCTTCTGGCTCAGCATTCGGGGATCACTCCCACAAGCTCAGAGACCATATGAGGATCGAAACCTGGCCGGCCACATGCAAGGCAAATGCCGTACCCACTATACTCTCTCTCAATCCCTCAATATATTCCGTTATATATTCCTAAATCTCTGTTATTGAAAAAAAAATCATGATTAGAATTCAGAGACATTTTCCTCAGGAAACTTTTAAGACTAGATTTTATCTAGTTTATTTTGATTGGCCACACCTGCCTGTGCTCTGCTCAGGGCTTGCTCCTGACTCTGCATTCAGGGTGCTCAGGGGACCACATGGGGTGCCAGGGACTGAACCCCAGTTGTTTGAGCACAAGACAAGTACCCTAACCACTATACTATCGCTCCAGCCCTCAATTAGCAAATATTTAGCAAATACCTTTGTTTTCACATCGCAGTATCTTCTGTTGTGATTCTGCTGCAACTTGTGGGTAATAAATGCCCAGAATAGGTGACTGGGACTAATGGAGAAGTATGTCAGGGTCACACTGAAATGGAAGTCCCTCCTCTGACCTCAGTGACACCCACTGTGAGGGGCCCTGAGGAGGAGGCATGATGCTCCCACTGGAGCTCTGAGGAGCTGTGTAGGAGTGTCCTCCCTGCCCTCCCGTGTCCCGAGGAGTGGCTGGCTGGCTGGTAAAAGCCAGGGTCCCACTTCACCCTGTCCTGAGGGGACAACTTTCTTGCCAATGCCAGATGAGCCGGAGCCTAGAGGCACCCAGGGGATAGGAAGTAGCCTGACCTATCACCCCAGCTCCCGGTCCTCAGCCCAGAGTCCGATGCCCAGGCTGGGAAGAGAAAGGGACCTCGAACCTGACACCACTGTGTGTGCGCTGTTTTTCTTTTTCTGTAGGACTCCCAGGAGCAGATGGTGAAGGACAAACACATTGGCATGGGGAGATGGGGTGGAGGTTCGTGGGGTACAGAAAAGGGGCCAGGGGGTATACAGGTCCATCCACACCACTGCCGGGCAGGTACCCCCAAACAAGGACAATGAGAAGAGTAAGAGCAAGACTTCCAGGGGTCTCATTTCCTTCAGTGTTTCACAGAGGGGCCCCCAGGCCGGACCCTGTGTGAGACGCGCGTGTACCCGGGTCTGCGCCTTCTCTGGGTAGCCTTGTCACAGATGCTAGTACACAGTCTCAGTGAAAAGCTTCAGTCCTAAGGAGGAGCGAGAAGATGGGTAGGGGGGGAGAGATTGTTAGGGAGACAGATGGGGGGCAGAGGGGATGGGGAGAGGAAGGGAGAGTGTGGGGATGAGGGTGGGGGTGGGTATGAATGAGGGGGGTGACGAGAGGGACTGGGAGAAAGACCAAGCACGTGTGTTGCTCCCCACAATGCAACTGAGTCATTCCACCTTGTGCCTCTTGCGCCCCACCCCCACCCCCGCCCCTCAACCCTGGGCTGGCGTGAACAGATACACAAGGACTCAGCAGTGGAAGTTTGGGCCATTTATTTGCAAGGAAGCTGATCTCTTTGTGACCGGAAATAGGCCATCAGAACTTAACTCTTGCTTAGTCAATTAATTAACCAGTGGTACTACTGGTGTCATCTTGTCACCAATCTCTCAGATTTCAGGTGTCAAGTGAGGGCTTTTTGTCCTCAGTGGTCGGGAATCTGTCGCTTGGATTTACTTTATGGGTCAATTTTTATAAACAAAACACATGGTTGCAATAACCTATCGAAGAAAAAATAACACCAGGCTTGCCACAGGCAAGATCATATGAATAAGCTGAAGGAAGTGTCTTCAGCCCAAGCCGAAGCCAACCATCTCTAATTGGAAATTATGCACATTCAACAGAATCATTGTGCTCGAAAATCACGGGAAGCAGCAAGAAGCCAATGGTTACAGTCTTTCAAGCTTTTTATTTTGAAGCCACACTCTGATTTTATCAAAATTCTTGTCCATCCAACGTATATTTTCCTCAATGGTTTCAATTGTTTGTTGGACACATCGCAGCTGAGAACCATTTTCTTTCAGAGAACTGAAGAATCCTTTTACCTTGTGAGGGGGAGAAAAATGAGTTTTAAAACATCTGTTTTATTAAGCAAATATACCTTCAGGCTAGTTAAGAGAACCAAAACCAAAATTCCGGTGTTTGTCAGAGTTGTCTCAAGAAGGCACCTCCAGGTGTCTGGAGGGGATCACATGCACAGAAACGTAGGCTAAGTGAAATGAGCTCATGCTAAGGAGGTAGAGTTTGGGGGTGTTGCTTCTCTGATTGGGGGGGGGTCTCTTTCTTTTTCTGCTTCTATGTTATTTATCTACAGTCGTCAGTTTCTGAAAGACTTCACTGTTTACCATTTATTTTAGAAGAATTAAGGTTTAATTGTGCATGTCAGTCTCAGCCAATCAAATGAGCATGTTTCAAACATGATAGGTCAAAAGCAGGATGCTCAGTGTGTCATCTTTGCCAAGCAAAAACGTCCAAGCCACCGACATGCCGTTGTCCATGGGCTTGGCCTTGTGTGGTGCTAGAAACGCCATAGGAACGGGCAGCAAGGCAAGGGGGTGATGCCGGAATGTGGCCATATGCGCTTTTATCCTAGTGCACCATTTTCTTCCCTCACAATAAAATTCACACACGTTTCATCCAGGTCTCAAAAAGGGAAGAGAATCTTGGCTCAATCTTGAAAAGCGTTTCTTCATTGGGTATCTGGACCCTGCTGAGTTCCCATCTGAACCTCATCACAGTACCGACCACTGTGCTGCTCCGCCTTGCCTTTCCCCATCCATTTCCCAGCAATCATCCACCCATCATCAGTTTTTGTTTGTTTTTGGTTTTCAGTCACACCAGGTAGTGCTCGGGGCGCCTACTCCTGGCTCTAGGCTCAGGGATCACTCCCAGTGGTGCTAAGGGGACCATACATAGCAGGTACTAGGGATCAAACTGGGATCAGCCTCATGCAAGACAAGCACTCTACCCACTGTGCTATCACACTGGCCTCCATCAGGTTTTGATTTTGCATACAGGAAGCAAATCTAGGCCAAGATGTATTATTTAGTATAGATCCTAGAGAGTTTATTCCTTAAAAACCCATGCCATAATATCATGTAAGTTTGGGAAAAGAAATGAAGTACCGGTCTTGAAAAAAATCAAATTCTGAGTCAGTTATGTAGGTAGGGCATTTGCCTTGTATGCAGACCCCCAGAACCCCATGTGGTCGCCTGAACCATGCCAGGAGTAATCCCTGAGCACAACCAGCTGTGGCCCAATAAATAACAATGCTCACGGTCACGGTCCTCCCGTTGTTCATCGATTTGCTCGAGCGGGCCCAGTAACGTCTCCATTGGAGACTTTGTTGTTTCTGTGTCTGGCATATCGAATACGTCACGGGGAGCTTGCCAGGCTCTGCCGTGCGGGCGAGATACTCTCAGTAGCTTGCCGGGCTCTCCGAGAGGGGCGGAGGAATCGAACTCCAGTCAGTAAGGCAAATGCCCTACTATTAAATCCCACTTTTACGTGTAAGGCAAATGCCCTACTATTAAATCCCACTTTTACGTGATGTAGAGTCATTTTAAAGGTATCTCTCAGTCCAACTTCCAATGGACTTAAAGCCCCTTTGTTACGACCTACAATGCATTAGCCTTCCTTGCTATTCTGCCTTTAATCACAAGCTACTGTTTCATGCTCTCAACACTCAAGGCTTACTGACAGCCAATGAAACATCTCGGTACACCCTTCAGGAGCTGAACCACATCAGTAATTTTTCTAAATGGCCAGGTTACTTCACTGGCCCTGAAGAAGGCATCATGAGAATACCACTAAAACCAGTGGTAATAAAGATGGATGTTAATCCTTATACTTTGACCCCAAATTGTCTCTTCTGCTTTCATCTGCTGGAAAACCCATTCTCTTGAGTATCAGACTCAACCCATCTGCTTAGTTATGGCCATTTCCTCTGGATCTTATTCATCCATCTGCGTTCATCACTGTGCCAGACTATGAGGATGAGGCGGCCAGCCAGGCAGGGCCTGGCTTCAGGGAGCTTCCATCGGCCCCGAGACAGCAGTAAACAGTAGCACCTGCCACACTGCTGGGAAGAAAGTCCCCGAGCCCTGAATGTCTCTGTTCTCGACTCTCTCCTGCCTCATTGCCATCAAGATCTGCTCAGCTGTGGGGAGGGTTGATGACACCAGAACCTGGGACCCGGAAAGGATCAAAATTGAGCCTATCCTGAAAAGAGCTGGCGGCAACGAAGCCCGGCAGAGAAACTATTTGGAAGCAGGAGAGGACAAGTGGCCGGTAGGTGGCAGCCCGGAGCAGGGCACGTCTCGGCCCTGTGCCCAGGGCACCAGGCGTGGACTCTAGTTCCAAGGGCAGTGGAGCTCTGGAGGAGTGAGGGCGATTTTCACTTTAGAATGTGACAGATGCTCTCTAGATTTGCTGGTGAACATTTACCTGCCTGCATTTAAATTTGAAATGTATCAACAGCATGACAGTTAACCTCAGAAATGAGAAGTGTTCAGACGCAGTGGGCTACTTTGTGGGAGCAATCAAGTGACCAAGTGCAGTGACTTGATTTAATAAAACCATCTACAGAGACAGGGGGGATGAGGGGATGGGGGTGGGAGGGATATTATCCATGGTGGTGGAAAATGGGCACTGGTGGAGGGATGGGTATCTGATCATTGTATAATTGAAACCAAAGCACAAAAAATTGTAAATTTACAACTGTAAAAAAAAAATAAAATAAAATAAAGGGAAAAATATATATATATAAAAAAATAAAAATAAAACCGTCTAAGAGTTGCCGCTATGAATGTTTTCACCCGAACATTAACCCTCATCTTTGCCTGACTTGCCTTCATGAATTATTATGCAATAAGTTGATGTTCCAACACTCAAGAATAATATAGCACCGTAAGCACTGCCCCCCCCCCCCGTTGTTCATCGATTTGCTCGAGTGGGTCCAGTAACGTCGCCATCGTGAGACTTGTTGTTACTGTGTTTGGCATATCCGATACGTCACAGGTAGCTTGCCAGGCTCTGCCGTGCGGGCGAGATACTCTCGGTAGCTTGCCGGGCTCTCCGAGAGGGGCAGAGGAATCAAACCCAGCTCAGCCCGGCTGGCCGCAAGCAAGGCAAACGCCCTACCGCTGTGCTATCGCTCCAGCCTGAGAATAATACAATAATAATAATAATAATAATAACACATGGGAAAACTAAAAAAGTTACAATTCACTAAATTGTGTACTGATGCTATTTTAGTTTTTTTTAAAGCATGCTCCATCATCAAAGAAAAATTAATAAGAAATGGTATCACCCTGAACAGTGTTTTGTCCCTGATAAGGAGGCAGAATTGAAGCAAGTTAGGGGGCTGTCCTGTAGCCTACGTAATAGAATATCTCATAGTCACACAGCCTGTGTGATGAGATATCCCAGAGCCTGTAGCCTGTATGATGGGATATCCCAGAGCCCGTAGCCTGTATGATGGGATATCCCAGAGCCTGTAGCCTATATGATGGGATATCCCAGAGCCTGTAGCCTATATGATGGGATATCCCGGAGCCTGTTGCTTTTATGATGGGATATCCTAATGGACGGGCAAGATGGGAGACAAACTTGGATGGTGGGCAGAGAAGTAACTTCGGTAAACTGCCAGGCGGAGGGCAACAGTGTGGGAGATACTGAGCCAGCCTCGGAAGGACTCAGGGCAATGCCTCCATTCTGTTTGGCTTTTTTGAATTTTTGAGCCCACACCCCACAATGCTTTGTACTCACACCTGGCTCTGCACTCTCTAGGGGACCATCTAGGTACAGGGCTGCACCCCTGTCAGCCCCGTGCAGGGCAAGCTCCCTCGGGCTCTCTATGGCCCAGTGATGCCTGTATTGGAGGGTTGTAGAGGCCAGCGCTGGGCGCTCTCTCAGCCTCCTCCCTTTCCGTGCCCTTCCTGGGGACCTGCCACCGAGCACCAGCGTCTCTGCTCTCAGCGTTTTCCCACACAATCCCGTTAACCAGATGTCCTGTGGATGACAGCGCCTCCCTCCCTGTTCATGACCTCCTCCTCACCTCATGCACTGTCAGGGCAGGGAACTCTGACACGGGCTCATTTCCCAACAGCTACCTTCCCGGTAGGTTTTCTGTTAAGTTATTGTTGTGGAGGTCCCCAGGACCACGGTCTCTAGTGCTTGGGGCTCAAACCCCTGGTGGAACCCAGGTCTCACACATGCTCAGCCTGTGCTGTCCCACGTCAGCCACCGCCCGGGCCCCCAGCAGGATCTAAGCTCTGTGCGGGCAGGGCCTTGTCCACACTGTTCATGTCATAGCCTGGAACCAAAAAGCTCTTCCTGCCTTGCACCTGAGGGGCAATCGCCCGGCTGTCTATGGATTGCCTATCTGGCCCAAGTTCGTGGCAACTCTTAGTCAGCACTCGGTGTGTGGCTGCCACAGACCTCAGGAGAATTCCAGCCCCAGGTGTGGGGTGCTGTCGGCTCTTTCCATGCCTGCAGGAAACAGGTGCAGGATAGGAATGTAGCCGCCCTCCCCATCCCGTCTCCAAAGCACTGCGTGGTGGGTTCCCACACCAGGTCTGAGGAGGACCTCGACTTTTGTCTAAATGGGGGCCACTTGACAAGGCCCGCAAAATGCGTTCTGCTACTTTAATGGGGAAACCACTGATGGACAAGGGACAAAGCACAGTCAACCCTCACAGCAAATTCCTGTTCAAGATGAAGAGCAAATGCTGCCTTTAAGCTCTTCTCTCTGCTGCATGTTCCTGGGGGCCCTGAGTGGGTCATGGTCGCAGAGCCCCATAAGCACCGTTGCTAGCTGGGGAGTCTCAAACCTGCACAGGGGCCGGGAGCACTGGGCCACCTGGTAAAGGTGCACTGGGAGACGTCGGAGTTCCAGGTGCAGGACCTGCTCCCTGGAGACTCAGATGCCTCCTGGCTCCCTCATGCCAGGCAGAAGGAAAGCACACACTGCTTGCCCATTTGCCATGATTGCTGGGAAGCACTGGGGTAAGTTTAGCAGCAGATGAATTCTCCTCGGACTAGGTCCCGACTAAATTACCTCTTTCCTCTCTGCAGATGCTATTCTTTTTTTTTTTCTTTTTGGGTCACACCCAGCAATGCTCAGGGGTTACTCCTGGCTCCGCACTCAGGAATTACTCCTGGAGGTGCTTGGGGGACCACATGGGATGCCAGGGATCGAACCCAGGTCGGCTGCATGCAAGGCAAATGCCCTACCTGCTGTACTATCACTCTGGCCCCTGCAGATGCTGTTCTTGATTTTAACATTTCTCTTATAAACAGGCCCAATAAGGAATGCTGAATCCTTTCTGAAAGCAGATGGTGTGTAAGTCACAGGCCATCCCAAGCTGGGGCGGGGGTGGGGGGTGCAGACTGGAGGCTGCAGCTCTGCCTCTCACGATAGTGACATCCCTCAACAGGGTGCCAGGCACGCAGCGTGAGCTCGCCGTTTTGTAAGGGCAGGGTGACAGCTTCCTTGTGTGGGGGACAACGTAGAGCTCACTGTCTTTGACTGTCTGCTGGTTCCCAGCCCTGGCACAGGCTTTAATCCACTTCTAACTCATCCCTCCTGGCAGTATTTGGCCTGATGTTTATTAGTAAATGTCACTTAAGTTTAAAAAATTTTTTTTTCTTTTTTTTTTTACCTCTTCAAGCCGCGCTGGTGTGGAGAATTGATTTGTTGTTCCCATTACCATGTAGCTTATAGAAGGTGAGCCAAGTTCAAACCTAGAAATGGAGATAGTCAAAAGGTATGAGGATGAGGAAATATTTGCTCAACATGCTTTAAGCGCATGTTAAAGGCATTTAGTTAAAAACCTGTTAGGCCTGCAAAGGTCTCAGGCATGACCCCTATCACCCCTATCCCAGCAGGTTAGAGCCAAAACTGACTCTAACAAAAGGTGGCAAAACTCCAAGGGCAGAATCAGAGATTGGGGCAAGAACAGCCACAGGTCAATCCCTTGCTCCCAGTCCCAATCAAAACCCTTCAGACTAGTCACTGGTGGTGTTTGGACAGTGAGGGCAAAACCAGAACAGAAGTGGGTTAACATTTCCAGCCCATACAGTTTTTATTAACTATTTCCAGCCCATACAGTTTTTATTAACTATTTCCAGCCCATACAGTTTGTATTAACTACTTACTTTTGTACAAGTTTATTCCAATTTTCCCTCAGAAACTGCCAAGCTATTGGATATCCCACTGGATTTCTGCCAATAGCTGTAAGAATACCTGGAAACTCCTGAGTTTTTATTATATCTCCCTTAAAACTTTGATCGAGTAGCCTGAAGTGATTAAGAAAAGAAATATTAGCAGTGAATAAGCCATAAAATAAATGACTTCAATCATTCTGAAAGGGAAAAGCAAGTCTGTCAATAATAAAGACAAAAACCATACATTCGTAGCCAGAGATACATCAGAACAGCCAACACTGAGAAAGTCCATGCAACATCCATCCCTATATTTGCTCATAAGAACCACTAAGAAAGGTCACTCTAGTCTATATGAAGTATGTGGTCATTTCTGAAACACATAAATGTTTCTTCCTTAAATATTTTCCCAGACACCTGCTTCTCCTGAATAACCAACAATGCGCCTCAGCTGTGTGCCCACATTTCTAACTGTCCCCAAGCCCAATGGGCAAGTCCTGCTCACAAGCACAAAACCTATGCCCTCGGGGCTGCTCTGCTAAATTCCTTCCGGCCTGTGAGCAGGGATGAGTCACTCACCACTGCAGCTTCTCCTGATTGGGGCTAATGCAGAGGGCAAACTCAATTTGGTCCTTCTCAGTGCTGGACAAAGACGACTGGTACTTCCTGTAGAGGAATTCCCAGCCTTCAGGGTCCTGGGCCCCCACAGCAAACACGGCCATAGTCACGTCATTGGGCAGACTGAGGAAAGAGCACGCAGTGAGAGGTGAGACGCAGGGACTGTGGCTGCATGCACAGAGGCACACAGTTACTGTTTCCACAATCCAGAAGTATGTCGGGAAGTACCAACACCCGCAACGCCTTCTTCCCTTCAGTGTTGTTACAGGAAAGAGGCAGGAGGAAGTATCTCAAGTCTCGAGTTCCGTTAGACTGCATCTGTCACCACTACTGCAAACATAGAGCCTAAACTTTAATCAATAAGTGTTTAAGAAAAAAAAAAAGACAGTGGTGTGGCCAGGGAGGTAGTACAGCAGACAGGGTTTCCTATATGCGGCTGGCCTGGGTTCAAGCCCTAGTACCCCATAGGCTCTCCCAAGCCCCACAAGGAATGGTCCCTGAGCACAGAGCCAGGATTAAGTCCTGAGCACAACTTGGTGTGTTCCCACAACCAAAATAAATAAAAATCCAGTAGTGGAGTGATGCGGGGACTTTAATGACGTAATATGATGACTTAGATCAAATGTATAATGTATATCAGAACTAAAAACATTAATACTATTGAAGCCAAGTCACCTTGGCTTTAAAAGTATGATTTTTTTAAAAAATTTTAATAAAATGAGATTAGGTTGTAAGCAACTTTCCCAAGAGAATCAAATGAAACGCTGCTATGATAAATATCTATGTGTCTAACATACTTTCTCTGATGTAGGTGACTTTATAGGTGGGTGCTTTTCTTGGGGGAAGGTGATGTTTGGGCCACACCCAGTGGTGCTCAAAACCATCTCCAAGGAAGGGTGGCGGGGGAAACTTGTCATCTTTGCTCCCAGCGTTTCACTGCCGATGACGGGAGGCAGAACGCTACACTTTGGGGGCACATCAGCTATCGATGCCACACACCTCCAGTTCCCATTGGCGCCCTTCCACTCCCTGAAGAGGCCCTGGGCCCTCTGCACGCAGGGCTGGTACTTGCGCACGCAGGCGAGCAGGAGGAGCTGGCTCCGCAGCATCCGCTCTGAGACGGAGCCCTCGTCTGTCCAGGTCTGCCTGTCGATGAGGTTCTGCAGCAGCCGGATGAGGAAGGCCTGAGGGAAGAGAGGAAGCAAACACTCATCCTCAGAAGGACCCGAGCACACCTCCAGGAGAACCTCCAGCACACGGACTTGGCTCTTGAAAATAGCCCTGACTGCAAAAATGTGTAGTCGAAGTGACATCTGCACTTGCTTGTTCATTGCAGCACTCTTTACAATAGCCAGAAACTGGAAGAAACCTGAATGCCCAAGAACAGATGACTGGTTCAAGAAACTTTGGTACATCTACACAATGGAGTACTATGTAGCTGTTAGAAAAGATGAAGTCATGAAATTTACATACAAGTGGTACAACATGGAAAGTATCATGCTAAGCGAAATGAGTCAGAAAGAGAGGGATAGACATAGAAAGATTGCATTCATCTGGGGGATATAAAGTAACAAAGTATGAGATTAATACCCAAGAATAGCTGAGATCAGCACCAGGAGGATTACTCCATAGCTTAGTGGCCAGCTGGGTATCCTAGAGGAAAGGGCAGTTCAGATAGAGAAGGGAGCACCAAATAAAGGATGTTTGGAGGATCCTCCCAGGAGGGGAGATGCATGTCGAAAGTAGACTATGGACTGAACATGTTTGCCACTCAATGCCTCTTTTGCAGACCACAACACCCAAAAGGAGAGAGAGAACACAGGGGATTGCCCTGCCACAGAGACAGGGGGGATGGGGGGATGGGGGTGGGAGGGATATTATCCATGGTGGTGGAAAATGGGCACTGGTGGAGGGATGGGTATCTGATCATTGTATAATTGAAACCCAAGCACAAAAAATTGTAAATCTACAACGGTAAAAAATAAATAAATAAATAAATAAAATTTAAAAAAAAAGAAAATAGCCTTGACTTTTTTTTTTTTTTTGCTTTTTTGCTTTTTGTTGGGAGGTCAATTCAGTGATGCTCAGGGGTCACTCCTGGATCTGCACTCAGTAATCACTCCTGGCGGTGCTTGGGGGAGGGATCATATGGGATGCTGGGAATTGAACCCAGGTCCACTGCCTACAAGGCAAATGACCTACCTGCTGTGCTATGGCTCAGGTCTCTAGCCTTGAGTCTTGATTCGAGATCACTCACCTCTGTGGCCCACTTCTATTACATTTGTGAAGGGTCAAGAAGAAAAATGGACTTAGTATTTTGTGTAACAATTCTTAAGATAACCTTGGCTTACTCTATATAACTGGAAAGCATGATGAATGGGAAATTTTATACAAAAGAAAAGTTCTCAGTACTAAATTTAGAGAACAAAGCAACACCATGATATCTTGCCAGACAACGATTTGAGGCCTCATTCTTATGTACATGGATCCTAGAACACCTTAATAATATAACATTAAATTATCTATATTCTAATTGTACATCCCCAAGTCCAGTGGGCAAGTCCTGCTTACAAGCACAAAACCAGATGCCCTTGGGGCTGCTGTGCAAAATCCCTCCAGCCTGTGAAGAGGAAAGAGTATAGTATTGTAAAGAGTATTAGAAGTAAGATAAAGTAAAGGACTTATGTAAAAAGGCAGTAGCAAGTCCTTGAAAATTAGGTATAGGGACCAGAGCAATAGTACAGTGGGTAGGGCATTTGCCTTGCACGCGGCTGACCAAAGTTCAAACCCTGACATCCCATATGGTCTCCCAAGCACTGCCAGGAGTAATTCCTGAGCATTCCTTGGGTTATGAAAAAAAAGAAAAAGAGAGAGAGAGAGAAAAGAAAATTAGGTACAAATTCTAACACTGCCATGTCTATTTTTAATGCTAAAATGAAGCCAACATCTCTGCTATTCAAATATTGAATTAATTTTTATCTTAATACACAAAATTGTAAGACCTCTTTCCAACACTCATTCAAATTGAAATCAGTTAGATAATAATTTATTTCTGGCCTTTACCTTGAATTGAGTTTCCACTTCATTCATATCTCTTTTCTCCATTAATTTGTACATAGGTATCAGCTCATTCAGCCCTTGGAACACGGGCATGATTTCAGTTTCATGCTTCAAGTACAGGGTTAAATCCAAGGCTTTCTCAATGGATAGTCTTCCGATGCTGATCAAAAGACACCATGATTAGCAGTTGACAAGGAAACCAGTGTTGACTTTAAAAGACCTACCAATCTTACAGCAAAAACATCTCTTTAGTTATCCTGTTACCATAGCCCATTGACACTGAGGAGAAACTTCCTCACAGGGTAATAGAGCCAGAGCTAACACAGAGTGGAGATACTGGGCTTCAGAAGACCCTCAGGGAAACTGAAGCATGTCAGTCTGCCCTTTCATGGAGTACTGATTGTGTGGAATTATAAGTGGCATGGGGGTCAAAACATCCTCATCCCCACTTAACAAGGAACCTGAATGTAGCTGTTCACAGTTCATTACAGAGGGCTGGTGTCAACACCTGGGCAGAGGTGGAGTGTCCATGCTCCAGAGGGAGCATCCACAATGGGCAGTGCTGTTGGGCCAGAGAGATAGTACAGTGGGCAGGACACCTGCCTTGCATTCAGTCAGCCCAAGTTTTATCTCCGGCACCTCGTATGGTTCCCTGGGCCACCGCGAGTGATCCCGGAGCTCCTCTGGGTATAGCCCAGACACACAAAAAACAAAGAAAAAGAAAAAAGAAATAGGCCAGACCCTACCATCATGTCGTTTTGCTTTTTCCCTTCTCAAGCGACCCATAGTGATGGAAAAGTCTCCACAAGAGAGAACCCAACATTTAGAGTTGGGTCATGGAGGCTGGGGAGAACTACAGTTCCTCTTTCCCACCAACTGAGTCCCATGAGGACTTCAGGTCTGACTTAATATTGAAGAAGTTTGCATTATGGGTTTGCAGATTACTGATTTAAAAACTGGTATCAAAGGGTAGGAATGTGGATGTATTCACTCTCTTGTCAACCTCTCCAAGATCTTTTGGTTGGCATACCCCAATTAAGTAAAAGTAAAGTAAAAGTAAAGGCCCTCCCGTTGATCATCGATTTGCTTGAGCGGGCCCAGTAATGTCTCCATTGGAGACTTCATTGTTACTGTGTTTGGCATATCGAATACATCACGGGGAGCTTGCCAGGCTCTGCCGTGTGGGGAAGATACTCTCGGTAGCTTGCCGGGCTCTCCGAGAGGGGTGGAGGAATTGAACTCGGGTCAGCCATGTTGGCTGCGTGCAAGGCAAACGCCCTACCACTGTGCTATGGCTCCATGGGCTGGAGCCATAGCACAGCGGTAGGGTGTTTGCCTTACATGCTGCCAACATGGCCCACACGGCAGAGCCTGGCAAGCCACCCGTGATGTATTCGATATGCCAAACACAGTAACAACAAAATCCCCAATGGAGACGTTACTGGGCCCGCTCGAGCAAATCGATGAACAACAGGAGGGCCTTTACCTTTGGGGTTGGAGCAATAGCACAGCGGGTAGGGTATACGCCAATTAAAAGTGGAATAAACCTCATGCATCCCTTTTAGAGGGGGAGTTAAAAAAAAGTCCCTTGTTAAAGTCAAAGATGTACTTCAGGGTTGGGTGGAGGTGCAACAGGGAGAACATACTGGACTCGAGTCCCAGCACCACGTGACTCCCAAACACTTCACAGGGCAGCACAGCCAGGGGGTCCCCAGCAATATGGGGCCTGGGCAGCACCACATCCTCGAGCGTTACAGTGACCTGCCCAGTCCAGTTGGCTGAGAATCACAGGAGACCCCAGAAATGTGACACAAACAACTTGAGTCTTAGCCACCTGGTCTTCTAAGCTTTCAAGGTAGAATCTGCAGGGGTGACTCCTGGTAACTCAGAGAAGTGCTGGGGAGAGGCTGGCGGAGGGCACGGGGTTCCCTGTTTCCTAAGCCATGCCTGGTGCAGTTGCTAATGGAAAGATGAAAATACAGATTCCTTCCTTCGGGGCACTCAGCAGACTTAGGCAGGTCAAACATGAGGCTAAACACAACCGTGCAGAGCTAGAAGAACCTAAGGGAAAGTACCCCACCACTGCTCACTAGCAATCGATCATCTCCAACAGGGAACGCCAAAGAGCCAACAGTGACAGCTGCCCCCACAGAGACCGAGCCTGGAGCAGCAGCAGGCGTTACCTGACAAGCTGGAATGCATTGTTGATGAGGCTGGCCCGGTCATTGCTGCTGATGGCTGTGTGGCCGCCTTCTAAAAGGCCAGTCAAAGAATCCCATCCATCATCCTCATAATGCACGATGTAATAGCCGTTCATGCCCATGTTGAATTTGATCCATTCTACCTCTTCTGGGAGGGTGAGCACATCTGGAGTAGAGAAAATCAATCAAGCTCTCCTTTAACAGAGGGAAGTTTTTATGACCACAGAAAATGGACAAAGAAACAGAAGGAGAGTTTAACACTGGACAATTTTAACACTGAAATGAGTTTCATATTGAACACTTATTTCTCATAGACACCAGAGAACAGTATCCAATAGACAAAAGCCAATGGTAGCTTTAAGCAAAAATTTGGAGAGATTTATGATCTATGGAAAGCTTGCGGCCATGTTTTGAGCAAAACATATGACATAATTCAGCAATGCTAACAATGGGAATGTTAGTAATTCCTCTGTTTCAGCATTACATAACTCAACTAGTTTAATATCAATCTGGCAAGATATTAATCCCGTTTTTTGCAATTAGATTGTATCTGCAAACTATTGAAGGCTGAGGATAAATTTTTTCCCAGTCCTTTTACTTCAAGCCAAGATAAATTTAAAATCATGCTGACCACTCTCTCCACTACTGTTCAATATAGTACCGGAAGTACTTGCAATAGTGATTAGGCAAGAAAAAGATATTAAGGGCATCCAGGTGGGAAAGGAAGAAATCAAGCTCTCACTATTCGCAGATGATATGATACTAAACTTAGAGAACCCTAAAACTTCTACCAAGAAACTCCTAGAAACAATAGACTTGTATAGTAAAGTTTCAGGCTATAAAATCAATAACCAAAAGTTCATGGCTTTCCTATATGCAAACAGTGAGAGAGAAGAAAGTGACATGAAGAAAACAATCCCATTCACAATTGTGCCCCAGAAAATCAAGTACCTAGGAATCAGCTTAACTAAAGGAAGTGAAGGACCTGTACAAAGAAAACTACAAACCACTAATTCAGGAAATAAAACAGGACACAAAGAAGTGGAAAAATATCCCCTGTTCATGGATCGGGAGAATTAACATTGTCAAAATGGCAATACTTCCCAAAGCACTGTACAAATTCAATGCGATCCCTATTAAGATACCCATGACATTCTTCAAAGAAATGGAGCAAACACTCCTGAAATTTATATGGAACAATAAGCCCCCACAAGTAGCTAAAACAATTCTTGGGGAAAATAAAATGGGAGAAATCAACCTCCCTAACTTCAAACTCTACTACAAAGCAGTAATAATTAAAACAGCATGGTACTGGAACAAAGGCAGAGCTGTAGAACAATGGAACAGGGTTGAATATACTGACGTTCCCCCCCCCCCCAGGCATATGATAATCTAATCTTCCATAAGGGGGCAAGAAAAGTGAAATGGAGCAAGGAAAGCCTCTTTAACAAATTTTGCTGGCAAAACTGGACAGCTGCATGCAAAAAAGTGGGCTCAGATCTCTGCCTAACGCCATGTACAAAAGTAAGATCAAAATGGATTAAAGACCTCAACATCAGACCAGAATCCATAAGGTACATTGAAGACAAAGTTGGCAAAACCCTCCATGACACTGAAGCTAATGGTATCTTCAAAGATGTCATGCCACTGGCCAAGCAAGTGAAAACAGAGATAGACAAATGGGGCTATCTTAAACTAAGAAGCTTCTGCACCTCAAAAGAAACAGTGACCAAAATACAAAGACAGTCTACAGAATGGAAAAGGATATTCGCTGAAGACACATCCAACAAGAGACTGATATCAAGGATATACAAGGTACTGATTGAACTCCACAAGAAGAAAACATCCAACCCCATCACAAAATGGGGCGACGAAATGAACAGAAACCTTCTCAAAGAAGAAATCCAAATGGCTAAAAGGCACATGAGAAAATGCTCTACATCATTAATCATCAGGGAGATGCAGATCAAAACCACAATGAGATATCATTTCACGCCACAGAGACTGGCCCACATCCAAAAGAACAAAAGCAACTGATGCTGGCGCGGATGTGGCGAGAAAGGGACACTCCTTCACTGCTGGTGGGAATGCTGACTGGCTCAGCCCTTTTGGAAAACAGTATGGACGATTCTCAAAAAATTAGAAATTGAGCTCCCATTTGACCCAGCAATACCACTCCTGGGAATATACCCCAGAGAGGCAAAAATGTGTAGTCGAAGTGACATCTGCACTTGTTTGTTCATTGCAGCACTCTTTACAATAGCCAGAAACTGGAAGAAACCTGAATGCCCGAGAACAGATGACTGGTTAAAGAAACTTTGGTACATCTACACAATGGAGTACTATGTAGCTGTTAGAAAAGATGAAGTCATGAAATTTACATACAAGTGGTACAACATGGAAAGTATCATGCTAAGCGAAATGAGTCAGAAAGGGAGGGATAGACATAGAAAGATCGCATTCATCTGGGGAACATAAAGTAACAAAATAGGAGACGAACACCCAAGAGTGGCCGAGATTAGTACTAGGAGGTTTGCTCCATGGCTTGGACGCCAGCCACACATGCTAGGGGAAAAGGCAGCTCAGATAGAGAAGGGAGCACCAAATAAAGGGTGTTGGGAGGATCCTCCCAGGATGGGAGAAGCATGCTGAAAGTAGACTCTAGACCGAACAGGATTGCCACTCAATGCCTCTTTTGCAAACCACAGCACCCAAAAGGAGAGAGAGAACAAAAGGGAATGCCCTGCCACAGAGGCAGGGTGGGATGGGGGATGGGGGGTAAGAGGGATGCTGGGACCCGTGGTGGTAGAGGATGGGCGCTGGTAGAGGGATGGGTACTTGATCATTGTATAACTGAAACCCAAGCACAAAAATTTATAAGTCGGGGGTATGGTGCCGCCAGCAGGTCAATCTGTACCTGTGAGGCGAGTGCATCAGCAGCCCCATGGCGCCTTCAGACTTTCAGATACCCCAAAATTGCTGCTGTGCCTTTGGCCAGAGCCAAAAAACTTGGGGCAAAGTTTACCAAGAAAGTAAACGGCCAAAAGTTAGGTATGTGGGAAACACACCCACAAACTATCTCCGGCTCAGCTATATAATTGGAGGCAAGGCCTCTCTGGTTCCTGATTGAACTGCTTAACAGCCATGATCCCAGAGACTCAGAAACAAATCTCAAAACCCAGCAGCTTTTGGCAGAAATGTGTCCAACCCCTGCAGTAGGTTATCGGTGCTGGGCCAACCCAGGTGGGAATAGGTTTCATGCCTTGGCCTGTTCCCCCTGGCGGACCGGTGACCACCATCCTCCAGAGGCCACTGGACAGTCAGGTTTGGGACTGCAGTGACGAGACATTTTGGGCCTCACGGGATGGGGATAGAGCCGGTCCTGTCCTCCCCACACCAACGAGACCCCAAGTCATTTCCCACAAACGGCCTCTCTGGCCCCTGATCAAGCTGCTTGATGGCCATGATCCCAGCGACTCAGAAACAAATCTTGAAAAGCAGCGGCTTTTGGCAGAAATGCATCCGGACCCCACAGTAGGTTACTGTCGCCAGGCCACCCCAGCGGGGAAAGAGTGTTGTCACTCTGCCTGCTCCCCCTTGGCGGATCATTGGCCATCATCCTCCAGAGGCCATTGGACAGTCAGGTTTGGGCCCGCAGTGACGAGACATTTTGGGCCTCACAGGATGGGGGTGGAGCCGGTCCTGTCCTCCCCACCCCAATGAGACCCCAAGTCATCGCCCACAAACGGCCTTTCTGGCTCCTGATCAAGCTGTTTAACGGCCATGATCCCAGAGACTCAGGAACAAATCTCAGAACCCAGCAGGTTTTGGCAGAAATCCCTCCAGATTTAAGTGTTAAAATTTCAGAATTTCAAAATCGCGTGGCCACTACTGCAGCCACGCGACATCATATGTTATTCATAACCAGCATTAGAGAGCAAATTGTCTACTGTTGCCTTTTCAGCAGATCTGAGTGTTGGGGTAAAATCTCAAATAATAATGGTGGGTCTGGTGTCAAAATATTGAATGTGATCAAAGTAGAGAGAGAGAGTAATGTGGAAATCATCTGCCCCACAGGTAGGGGGAGGGTGCGGGTTGGGGGTATACTGGGATTTTTGGTGGTGGAGAATGGGCACTGGTGAAGGTACGGGTATTTCATTGTATGACCGAGACTTAGACCTGAAAGCTTTGTAACTGCTTTCATGGTGATTCAATAAATAAAATTATAAAAAATAAAAAAAAAGTAAGGTGGAGTTCATTCACAATTCAATCAGCTAATCAGTGGCTGAATAAATAGTACTCCTACATTAAAAATAAATAAATAAATAAATATTTGCACTTTGAGTAAAAAAAAAATTGTAAGTCTACAACTGTACCTCATGGTGTTTCACTAATAAAAATTAAAAAATAAAAAAAATAAAATAAAATCACGCTGAGTGAAGTGAGTAAGAAGAGAGACATACATAGAATCATTGCACTCATTTGTGGAATATTGAAAAACATAGTATGAGACCAATAACCAGGGACAGAAGAAACAGGGGCCAGGAGGACTGGTTGGAAGCTTGCCACAAGTGTGTAGGGGTCAGAGGGTAGTTAGAATAGAGAAGGGACCACTATGAGAAAAATAGTTGGAAATGATCATTCTGGAGAAGAACTCAGTGCTGAATGGGGGTAAAGGGATATACATGATAATCTCTCAGAACCTGTGCTAAAAACCATAATGCCAAATAGGGAAGAGAGAGAGAGAGAGAGAGAGAGAGAGAGAGAGAGAGAGAGAGAGAGAGAGGAAAAGTGCCTGTCATAGAGGCAGGCAGGGGGTAGAGATGGCAGGCTGCAGGGTGGAAGGGAAACTGGGATCATTGGTGGTGGGAAATGTATACTGGTGAAGGAATGGGTGTTGGAATATTATGACGAAAACGCAATCATGAACAAGTTTTAACTGTGAAAAAATATAACAATTGGACTGAAAAATAAAAGAAGAAAGAAAAGAACCTCTGTCTCTTAATCCCACACATTTCCAAGTTCCTTCTTGAATTTGCTTAGTTATTTCCACAATAACTTACCTGTTTTTGATGTAAGCAAAAATCTTTGGACAGAGTCTGATTTGCTGGTAATGTATGTCAAAGGGACATGCCACAGGTACCTGAAGAAAGGATGGAACATCACACATGAGAGTCTCATACAAGGGTGAAAGAAATCCTGCTAGTCCAGGCACTGGCTGGGCAAGAGAGGGCGGGCACAGAACTTTGATGGCCCAGGGTTCAAAGTGTTACCGGCCTGGATGCCAGATTCCCTGGGCTGCTGGCTTGGAGATGATTCATCCTTGGGAGAACCCAGTGAATGAGATTAACACTGAGATGAGGAGAATATGGCAAGAAAAAACCTACAGTGGCCCTGCCTGCCTGCCGGCCATGACTCCTGCCTTATCTCTAATCAACAGCAATGGCACAAGAGGCATTCAAAAAGAGTATATCACCTCTTTGCCCTGCCACAGAGGCAGGGTGAGATGGGAGGGATGGGGGGTGGGAGGGATATTACCCATGGTGGTGGAAAATGGGCACTGGTGGAGGGATGGGTATTTGATCATTGTATAATCGAAACCCAAGCACAAAAAATTGTAAATCTACAACTGTACCTCATGGTGTTTCATTAAAAATAATAATAAAATAATATATAAAATCTCCAAAAAAAAAAGCACATCACCTCTTCTGGGCAATTTCTGCCAGCAATACCAAACACAAACTAAGGGTGATTCTGAAGAAACAGCAGAAAGCCTAAATCAAAGGCAAGACTCAGGATCTCTTATGGAATTCTGAACCAGTAACTTTCTTCTGGTCATGAAGATATTAGAATGATTAGAAAACATCAATGTAGCATGATATCAAGTTCTTTTCACAATGTTGATATGTGCACCATGGTTGTATAAGTGAATGCTTCTAATTTTTAGGAAATGCCACGAAATACTTAGAGGTAAGGGTTCACTTGATTATTTCGTTGCATAATAATTTACCTGTTTCTGCCATCAGCAAAAATCTTTGGACAGAGTTTTATTTTTTGGTAAAGAATGTCAAAGGATACTGCCAATGTATTCTCAAGCAGTTTAAAGACATTATGGCAAGCAAAGAGGATAGAAAGATGAGAGATATAGGCCTGAAGATCAGCATAAAATTGCATGTGTGAGGTCTTGGGTGAATTCCCAGCGTTTGAAAAAATGTTAAGGGCACTGGATGGATAGTCCAGTGTGGAAGGCATTTGCCTTGCACACAGCCAACCAGTGTTCAATCCCTAGAACCTATCTGGTCCCCTGAGCACCTCCAGGAGTGATTCCTGAGTGCAGAGCCAGGAGTAACTCCCGAGCATCACCAGGTGTGACCCAAAAAGCAAAAAAAAAAAAAAATTTTTTTAAAAACCCAAAAGGGAGAAATTTGTACAATAAATAAATATGTAAATTATTTGATTTATATTTTATATGAAATTTTAATGAGAAATTAAATATTATCAATGATATTTATTTATATTATATATGATAGGATATATATATATATAGCTAGGGCATTATATATGAATATAAGTGAAATATATATGGAGAGGGTGAAACAAATGTAGTAGAGAGTTCTATATAATACAAATGTAAAGAGTGCATGGGAATTCTTCGTATTCTCCTACAACTTCCCAAGACTAATACAATAAAACATAAAAATATTGTTTATCATGTTGGTCTTTTAACATAAAAGTCTGGGGATTTTCATATAGCTCAAAGGGCTAGTGTACGTGCTTTACATGGAAGGGGGCCACATGCCATCCCAGCACTCACAGTCCCAGCCCAGAAGCACTGGGTATGACCCAAGTGCAAAAGCGTTTGTTTTTTTAAAATTTAATTACTAGTCAGGGTCAATGATGCTGCAGCATCTCATTTCCAAAGATGTTCTTCTGCCACTTCGAGCACAGAGTCCAGGATCTAAGCCAGAATTTCAGAGAACACAATCGAGTCTCTCATAACTCCCTGAAACCAACTAAAAGTTTCTGTCCTTAGCTCCACATGCTGGGCACTGCTGTATTTAAGTAGCAATCACTTAGACTGAAGCTGATTTCAAGCCTGTAACAAAAATTCCCATATATTAAAACAAAACCATAATGAAATATTTCTTCACAGCCAGCCATCCTGAGATAAGGTCTTGTGCCACCTCCAGCTGCTGGGTAAATGGCACAGCATCTAAGTCAACCCTCCAGGATGCAGACTCCACTCAAGAACTTTGGTGAGGAGGGGCTCTGCTTCTGAAAACGGTCTTAGCCTCCCAGCCTTACCCGGTCTCCGCGGCGCCTTCCTGGCCCTTCATGTAGTGCTCCTGCCTCACGTGAACCTGGCGCCCCTTCACCGTGACACTAATCAGGGGGAAGCCCTTCTGCAGCGTCCAGGTGTTCATCATGCTCTTCACATCCAGGCTCTCCTGCCGCCAGTGCTGGATGACACAGAAATAGAGACGTGCGTGACAACAGCCCTCAGAAAGCAAACCCAGCTTGTTCTCCTGGAGCCCTGCTGTGGGCAGCCCTGTGAAGCGCTTCCATCTCCTTCTCTGCCCCCAACACCAGCCCTGTCCTGCTCCCATCCCTTACTGATGCCACCCAAAGCGCCTCCCAGTGCTGACATTCTCTTCCTTATGTGTCATCTTCAGAGAAAGGACTATATCTGGTAGTACTGGGCATAGCTTGGGTATGGCACTAGGCACAAAGCAGGCAAGTGGATGGATGGATGGATGGATGGATGGATGGATGGATGGATGGATGGATGGATAAATGGATGGATGGATGGATGGATGGATAGACAGATGGATGGATGGATGGATGGATGGATGGATGGATGGATGGATGGGTGGCTGGCTGGATGGATAAATGGATGGATGGATGGATGGATGGATGGATGGATGGACGGACGGACGGATGGATCATGGATTAGCTTAAGACAGGTGGATAAATGGATGGGTGGGTGATGGATGAAGAAAGATATGGAGAAAGTGGACAGGTGTTCAACACCTGCTTGACTCTATCGGCTCTTCAAACAAGAAAGATGAATTTAAGAGTTTATGCTCCCAAAGTGATCTGCCCAAAAAAAAGAATGCAGCCCATAATCAATCAATATAAGTTTGCCAAAGGTATTTCTGTGGGGAGGAGATTGGTAATACAGAAGGACAGTATGCATGGGATGAACTGATACATGATAACTCTCCTGAATTTTTCTTTGAGCCCATAACTCATTGAGAAGAGTTAAGTATTTAAAAATAAACAAGCTTTTAAAAATATTTAAGAACTAGGGGCTGGAGAGAGAGCACAACGGATAGGCGTTTGCCTTGCATGAGGCCAACCCAGGTTCAATACCCAGCGTCCCATATGGTCCCCCAAGCACCACCAGGAGTAATTCCTGAATGCAGAGTCAGGAGTAACCTCTGTACATTGCCAGGTGTGACCCAAAAATTCAAAAAAAGAAAACATTTAAGAACTACTATAAAAGAATGAAATATGCTACCAGGAAAATCTGCAAGCTTCTGAACCACCTCCAAAAGTAAAGTCAAGAAAATAAAAATAGGGCAAATAAAATCGTGTTGAATCTCTAGTCTCACCCTCCGTTGCCTACGAACATATTCGCGTCTAGATAAACAAACCATATTGCTTTATGACTCTGAGGCTATAAATTTTTTGGCAACTTAGCACTTAAAAATATAAGTTAGAGCTAAATATAAATTCCAGCTCTGCACCTCACTTACCATATGCCTTTGCCCTTTATTCTCCCATTTACAAAAACAAGGATAATAGCAGCCTGTGCGTATGTTTACTGCCAAGAGCAAAGAAGCTACTATGTAATCACACAGCAGTGCCTGACACACACCTGTTCCTGACACACAGAATGCTGAGGAGTGCTAGCTGCATTCTGCATTTTCCATGATTGGGGAAAAACAAACACAGGGGTATGAATCTGAGTGATCAATCTTGGTTGGGATCTGCTTCACCCGCCTCAGGAAGACATCATAGGTTCACTGCTATAATATAAAATCCCCTGCTGAGAAACTTAAAAACAACTAACTAGTACCAACAGACAGTCTCATCTAGGGTGAAGAGGCATCAGCAAGGGCCTCAGAAGTTGGCTCGGAGCTTCATGAATCGGGAGTAAAAGAGTATGCTTAAGGATGAACGCACGTCGATGAAAACTTACAGAGGCTGAAGATGTATGTTGGCCAATAGAGCAAAAGCCATCCATCCCTTGCGTGCTGCCATCTGTAGGACAAATCTGGAAACCGGAAATAAACATCACTCTTCTCTTAGCACAAAACCCAGCGGTCTCCTCCCAGAGCGATTAGCAGGGTGAGTGCGAACCTGAACAACCGAAAACCGATCAACCCCAAAAGCAGAGGCACACACAACCAGACTCACGCTCGCCAGGCTGTCCCACAGGTCCTCGTTCCTGGTGTTTTTATAGCTGAACTTCTGGAGGTAGTGTATGATGCCACTTTTGAATGCATCGGCACCGAGGTAATCCCTAAGCATATTCAGAATACAAGCGCCCTGCAAAGGGAAAGCAAATAATCGTTAGCGATGGTGTGGTCGCGTTATTTCGGCAGAGCTGTTGGAAAAGACAACTACAGTAATATTTCCAGTATCTGGGGATTTAAAGCAACTATTGGAGAAAGTGAGTTAGACCTGGGCCTCTCTAGGGAGGGGACCGGCCGGGCCTGTGATGGTCTCTCACCAGCCCCGCCCCACTGGGTCCAGGTAGGAAGATAGTGTGTGTATTAGCCACCGGACATTGGGTCACCATGGGGCCTCCCCACTTCTACACCAGGGAAGGGCTTGGCAGCTGCAGGTATAATCAGGGGTAGAAACAGAAATGAGGGCCAGGAAAGACCTGGAGGGGCTCAGAGGCCTTGGCGGGCCAGAGGAACAGGATGGGTGGGTTGGAATTCTGAGTATTCTCAGCTCTCCCATCCTGCAGATCACCAGGCCCAGTTCGAAGCTCGGGGCTGACAAGTGACATTAATAAGGATGAGAAAGAAAGCATCAGTAGTTCTCCTCTCACACTTTCGGTGGAAACACGAGAGCAAGTACTTCTATGCTGGCCACAAATACAACGACAGCCAGGTGCAATGATAAACGTCCCTTCTATGTGCACTTAGAAGACAACGGAAGGGAAAGTGGGCAAGGGCCATCATTTCAAAAAGGAGCTGACTCAACTCCAGTTGCTTTGCCAGGAAAGGCCACAGAATGGCCAGACTCCTCTCCCTGGCCCAAGAGGCGCCAGAGCATGGACTTAACCTCCAATCTCCCTAGAGGATGGCTGGAGGTGGGCTGCACGTGCCAGGCTGCGGTTAAACTCCTTGCGCAGGGCAAGACTTTGCTGTTCAACAGATTGAGTCATTTCTGAAGAAACTGAAACGGAAACCACACAGGAGTTGGTATTTCTACTTGTTCGGAGTGGATACTCAACCCAGGCCTCTGTGTTGAGAGAAATCAAGGTATCTGCAGGCCACTGATTTACATCTTTTAACAGAGTAAATTTAAAAAAAAAAAGGCTGTAAGCTGAAGGATCACAAAATAAATGGCTAATCAGACATCAAAGGCATTAATCCCAGGCAGAAGAAATTCAATCTGGGTGACCCCCAGGAAAGAGAAAGAGACCTCACAACCTTGCTCTGCCCGACAGACCCATTGACCTTCTGGGCCCGGAACCAGTTACCTTTATATAAGAAACATCATCAAACATCTCACGAATCTCAGAGGGGTTCTCCACTGGCGTGGACACAGGGTGTGAGGAATTCAGCGCGTCCACCTCCATGGCGTGAAAGCACTTGCCAAAGAAATAATCTCCCTGTTGTGCCAGGAAGGAAAATGATCATTCATGACTCTCACTCAGGTGAGAAAGTTTGATCTGGGGTAACAGGCTCACACTTCAAATTTCTGGTTCAACCTAGTCTATATTTATGGAACTATAAAACAGAATCAAATCTTTTCTATTTGAAACAAAATAAAAATTTTTAAACAGCATCTGAGAAATAATAAGTTCAGATAACAGGTTCACACTTCAAATTTCTGGTTTAACCTAGTCTATATTTATGGAACTATAAAACGGAATTGAATCTTTTCTATTCAAAACAAAATAAAAAATTTTAAACAGCATCTGATAAATAATAAGTTCAGATACACTCATTTTAAATACACATAATTTTTTAGAATAATGATAATTTCATATTAACTTCAAAACCACTACACCTATCGCTACAACTGAGAAAATGACCAAACTGTATAAATGTATGTGATGTCAACATCGCCAATATTACCTCCTCTATTATAAAGCAAACAAAGTTTAGTTATAAAATTATGTAGTGGGGCCAGAGAGATAGTACAATAGGTAGGGCATTTGCCCTGAATAAGACTGACCCGGGTTCGATCCCTGGCATCCCACATGGTCCCCCAAACAGCACCAGGAGCAATTCCTGAGGCAGTTCCAGGAGTAACCCCTGAGCATCACTGGGTGTGGTGTTGCAACACAAAAAACAAAACAACAAAAAAATATATAGTAAAAAAAAGTTGAAATGGAGGACAAATTCCAACTATTACCTGCTTAGGCCATATCACCAAAGAGAATAAAATGCATACATATAAAAATGTTATTAGTAAAGATTATGTGGAAACATGGGACAATATTTATGATATATTGTAGTAAAATAATGTTTTACATGTTATAGTACATAAGTTATAGATACATAACAGGAAGAGAAAATTGTAAATAAATATACAAAAATTAAAATCATAGACGGGTAAAGGATTACTTACATAAATTTCAATGTTATCTCATGTGATTTTTCACAAATGTATGATTTTTAAAATAAACATGCAGAGGTCCTAAATTTGTGACTTAGGTTCATATGCAATTGAATTGCACATGCAGTTAAATATAACTCATTTTATTTGTATGAGTATGGCCCTATTAAAATAGTAATTACCTATATCTCATAATTTTTTAGTGAGCAACCTGGGGTTAGGGACATTATATGCGATCAATAACTGATCATTATTACCACCTATCTTATTTTAAAGAACAATAAAAATTTCAGGATAAAAACAGACCCATGATCTGGCTTAGAAATAATTCTGTGATATTTCTGAAATTAACTTATATTTTGGAAATCTGATTTAATTTCTAATCTCCCTAGGAAATGCTTCAGCTATAAATTCTATAATGAAAGATAAGTACATTCTTTCCAGCAGCCCTGAATAAAATAAAAGACTGAATATACTAGAGTGAAAAATAATATGCTTCTTACAACTCTCAGCTCTGGATGAGTCACGCTGACAGACACAAACTCCATAAACTTGGCAAATCCTTCATTGAGCCACAAGTCATTCCACCATTCCATAGTGACCAGGTTCCCGAACCACTGAAAGCAAAGATTGCTCAGATTATTCATGCATTTCCATGGAAACAGGATTATTCTTATAATCATGAACATCAGGCATACAGAAGAAAATTAAATTTGTATTTATAATGTTCAGCATATGAACTTTAACATATTTGAAGAACTAATATTTTAACAAACTGAGAAAGAAAAACTTTGCAGTATGCATTATAAAATATGATGCTTGGTGTTTGAAAGACAGCTTTTTCCTATGGAGGTAAGGACCAACTATACAATTCTCATATTGATACGAATAAGCCAGATTCCCTTAGAACAATGCCAGTGTCGTTCAATTCCACTTTTCAAGAGCATGATTGAGCTTGCATACCTGGTGAGCAAGTTCGTGGGATACAGTCATGGTGATGCCAAGCTTACTGGAAGCTGAAGATTTCTGAGCATCAAACAACAGAGCCGATTCTCTGTATGTTGTCAGTCCCCAGTTCTCCATAGCACCAGACTGAAAGTCAGGAATGGCTGCAAGATCTTTGAAAGGAAGCAAAAATACACTGTGACAAACCTCTAAGCTAGGGCCAGAGAGACAGCATAATGGGTAAGGTGCTTGCCTTGCATGAGGCTGACCCACTTCAATCCCCAGCAGCCAATAGAGTTCTCAAAGCCCTGTCAGGAGTGACCCCTGAGCACTGAGCACAGAGTAAGACCTGTGGGTCCTCAACCCCCTCCCCCCAAAAAGAGACAAGTAAGATTCACTCTCAAACCTGTAAGCTCTACTTTCCCAAATACGCTTTCAAAATAGAAGTGGGTAGAGACCAAAACCCTTCAGCTTAACTCTCTGTGCTAAAGCAGAACATTCTAGACTGGACAAACTTTCCATAATAAAGAAAAAGGGCCTTGATAATGTGTCCTCAATCATCTTACTGCTGTGTGACAATGTAAGACCTGTGTCTAGCCTTCCTGACTGCATTTCCAATGTTTTCATAAATTTACAGGTGGAATAAAGTTAATAGTTTCCTCAACTTGCACACTTGATTTTGGATATCTGAGACCCAGCAAGCTGAAAACTCAAATCATCATACAACAAACTCATGTAGGAAAAAAGATGCAGACTTTTCTCATGCTGAATAAATTTATCATTTAAAATTATTTTACTGGGAAGGAGCAGAGGCAAACTATATGTGTATATTATAACATATACATACATACAAAATATATATGTATATTATACATAATAAACATATATATATACACATATTGTTTTTTATTGAGGTGGCCAGAAATATGGTTGACTCAATGGTAAAGTGAACCCATGAAGCCTGGATTCAATGCATGAAACCACTAAGAGAAAAACTGTTGAGGACCTGGACAATAGTACAGTGGGTAGGTCATTGGCCTGCACACAGCCCACCCAGGTTCAATTCTCAGTATCCCATATCCCATATGGAACCTCGAGCCCTAAGGAGTAAGCCCTAAGCGCACACACACACACACACACACACACACACACACACACACACACACACACAAATTAGAAGGCAAAATAAAATGCAGGCCACATCTCAGAAGCAGTCTCCAAATGTGATTCACTTTCTAAAAACCATGTGGAGGGTCCTGCAGGGGGTCGATGGCCATTCCAGTCAGGCACAGGAATGCCCAAGGAGGACACAGTCTCAGCTGTGCTCAGGGACATCGATGACTTGCAATACCCACACGAAAGCCTCTACCTTGTTTGGGTAAGGGATACGGGATGCTGAAATAGTCCTCATAAAATTCGAGAAGAGTCACAGCAGCGTCCAGTGCATAATGGGCCTGGTCGATCTTCTCTGGCACAGCGTATATGGACACCTGAGGAGAAAGACGCATGGAAGACTGAGACCATCAGTTTCCTCCTGGGGGACGTGATGCCAATCTTCAAGGCAATAGAGCGATCTAGTTCTTGTTCTAGTGTGGCCCTTTCTTCTGATAGGTCTTCTATCAGAACAACGGCAAATGCTATGTGGCATCCCAAAAGGTGCCTTTTGCCAGTGTACTTGAGCTCACATGAAAAGGTGACAGAGGCTGACACCGAAGGGAGGATGAGATACCAGGAAGGCAGCAAAGCATCACAGTCCAGCATCTAGTACAGACCCGAGCAGTTCTCACTGTACTGAGGGATTTGGGTGAGGAGAAGAAATTCAGAGACTTCCTGAGCTATAGGGGTTTATCCACACCTGCATAAAGAGGTTCCCTAAGGGCGAAAACCAGAGGCTGAAGCAATAGGACAATGGGTAGGGCACCTGGCTCCACACAGCCAACCCAGGTTCGATCACAGCATCCTATATGGTCCCCAGAGCCCCACCAGGAGTAATTCCTGAGTGCATAGTCAAGGGTAAATCCTGAGCATTTCCAAGTGTGGCTCCCAAACCATTAAATAATAAGAACTAGAAATAAATACTTCCCTCCTCAAATGCTAGAAAGGGGTTAGAGCAATAGTACAGCAGGTAGGCAGGGTGTTTGCCTTGCGTGCAGTTGGACTGGTCCAATCCCTTGCAAACTATAGGGTCCCCCAAGCACCACTAGGAGTAATTCCTGAGCACAGACCCAGGAAACCCCTGAGCATCTCCAGGTATGGGAAAGAGAGAGAGAGAGGGAGAGGGAGAAGGAGAGGGAGAAAGAGAGAGAGAGAGAGAGAGAGAGAGAGAGAGAGAGAGAGAGAGAGAGAGAGAGAGAAGAGGTGCCTGCCATAAAGGCAGGCTGGGGTAAAGGGTGATTTGGGAAAGGGAAACTAGGTACGTTGGTGGTAGGAAACGTACACTGGTGGAGGGATGGGTGTTGGAACATTGTATGTCTGAAACCCAATTATGAACACTTTTGTGATGCTCTATCTCCCAGTGATTCAATAAAATAAAAAATTAATATGAAGAAAACCTCAGAACAGAGTTCTCCTCAAAATAATAAATAGCTGTCTCCTTGAGTTTGGTTAACTTGCAATGGCGACTCACAGAACTCAAATATTTTACTCTATCACCAGTGTATTTTAAGTGGATCTAACTCAGAAATAGCTGTGTAAAAAGATGCTTAGGACCACCGGGAAATGGTGTGGTCCTTCCGTGGCCTCTCCAGACTCCACTCTCTCAACAGCCCTGGGGCTCACTAGCCCAGAAGTTCCCTGGACTTATCCTTTTAGATCCTGAAGGAAGCTTCATCACACTGGTGCGACTGATTTTATCAGTAGCCTTGGACATTGAACACAATCTCTAGCTGGAAGGGGATTAGGGTGTGAAAGTCCAGCTATCTACTCATGTGACTGATTCCAGGTACCATCCCCTTTCTCTGCTTACCCAGGGTTTTCCCAAGTCACCTTATATAATGAGATAGCTTTACCTTCATGTAGGAAATTCCCTGGGTTTTAGGTGCTCTCTGTGCCAGAATCAGGACAAAAACTGAGTATTGATTTCTTATTATAAACTAGAGTATGAAAGAGATAATATAAGAAGTCATAAAGGACACACAAGTGGGCAAATCACCGGGTGGCTGTTTTTGTCTACAGCTTCATAGTTAAATTCAGTTGTTCCTCTAAGTCAATATTCTAAGCATCATCTTCAAATCTCCACGTATGTGGGTAGACACTATAGATACAAGAAGCCTCAGCACTGTAAGAACTCAAAGAAGCAATTCAGCAAAGATGTTCTTGTCATTCAGACCTGAAGAAAATCACAGTGACATACAGTGTCCATCCCTGCTCCCCAGAGAGACCAGTGGTTTCATTCAGAGCTACAGGATAGGTTGGGATGGGTTGTTTGCTACATGATGAACAACAGACAAAGGGAAAATGCTCCTTGAAACAAGATCTTTTTCTCCAGCATTCTGAGACACCTAGTTCAAATGCTCTGCCTGGAGCATTTTAACACAGCAAGCAGATGGTCCCAACCTCTTCCCTTCCTAAAGCCAGAAATCCCCTGCTCCATTAGTCAGCAGCATTCACGGTGCAACCGCACAGAGCTAAAGCCAGAAGTAACCTGAGAAAGCACTGCAACATCTAATCCAACGTATATACCCTTTTCAAAAGCATTATCCAGGATCTAGAGATGCAGTTCAGGGGTCTTGCATCTGGCCCACCCAGTACAGGCCCTGGCTCATTTCCCCAAATCAATGGGTGCAGCCCTGCCAAGGTGACCCAATTATCCTTAGCACAGTGGGGCCTGAGCAGTTTTCTCAGTTGTACAAGAATTTCCCAGAAGATTCCAGGGGCCATCTGAGCAATACCTGGGAGTCCTCCATGAAAGAAAAGAGTAAAACACGTCCCAAGAGAGCAGGGGCAAAGTCAGAGAATCGCTCTGTACCAGGATGAGATGCTTCACAGGTTTCTGCTTTAGAACCCACTGACATTCTGAGTATCAGTGACAACGAGGTGACTAGCCATCTGGCCTGCCCTGGACTATAGCCTGTAGGATTTCTAGCCTCAAAATCAGGACATTCCTAGGTTGAGCAGGACCAGTTAGTCACCCAGTTTGACTAGTATGATATCCCAGCTTCACCTTGACTCCGCTCTTGGTCATCTTGCTGACAGACTTAAAATCTGAAATGATGAAGGCCACCAGGTATGTGCTCATCTTCACAGTGACATCAAAATGGTCTTCAATGAGTTCTTCCGTAAGAGTTATGGATTTCACCTACAGTCAAAATAATTTCAATTATCTGATTATTCTATTATCCAATACACCAAACACATTGTGTAAAGAGGAATCCCTAATAAACCTTTTGAAAATAGATATGGTACAGCATTTGCATAATTATTGAAAATTTCCACTCCCAATTATGATACCCAATCATGAATGGCTTTGTAATACTCTATCTCAGTGATTCAATAAAATCAGACAATATCTGATTGTCATTTGGATATTGAAGCCAATCTACTCAATGTCTTTCTTCCACTTTGAGATAGAGTTCACATAACCCTCATATTCACCATTTTAAAGTCTAGGACTTTAAACAATTTTTAACAATTTTATTTGGGATTGCCAACCCTCTCTGTATAATTTCTTCCACATATTTCAAGAGATTACAAACTGACTCAGATTTGGAATTTGAGGATTAACATGGATGGGACAAAGCAAAACAATGATTGCTAATTTTGCCAAGACAGCTGTCTTATCCTTAACTACAAATATAAGAATTCCCTGGAAATACAGTCTATCATTTGTTACAAGTAATTTTTTACAGAGAAAATAATTATGTATGATCTGAAAAAGTGCTTGCCATTTCCCTATGACAATGGAAAGTAACTTGTGCCAGGTCTAACTTTAACTCGTCCATACTGACTTGCCTCATTGGCATGAGTTTTTTGTTGTGTTGAGGTGTTTGGGGCTGGGGCCTTCACCTGGCAATGCTGGAGGTTGGGGTCAGGGTGGAGGAATTGAACTCAGGAATTTCAAACCTACAAAACATGTCCTGTCATGTGAGCCACATTCTCCTCCATGGAACCAGTTTTGACATCAGTCAAGGAGTAGCTATGTAGAGCAATGAGTGACAAGGGTGTGTCTAAGCTGCTCCTGAGGAAGAAAGCTTAGGAGCCTGTGGACAAGCCTCACCGAGGCAAGGTCCAGACGAGGAGCAGCCAGTCCTGCCCCTGGAGCCTGTGTTCATGCCAGCACCTTCCCCATGCCTGTCTCTGTCTGTCTCAACTGCCCCTCCTCACTCTTTGGTCATTCCCGAGACTCAACTCGGAGATTTACTAATGAAGGACTCCCAAATGATCTGCTTCCTTTTAAAATGCCTCCGACCCCACACACCATAATCTCCATGTCTGCAGTTGTGCTAATTATTAGGAAGTAAGTGACTTCGAATGTAAAGACGAATAACTCCAACCCTCTTGCCATGTCCCAGGACCTAACTTCCTAAACTACGGGTCACAACCCCAAGCAGGGTAACTTTAGAAATATATGCTTTATTGTTATTTTCAAGCCACACAACTGAGCTTACCTGGGGTCTTAGGGAGGGAGGTTGGGAGGGGTGTGGGGGACATTGGTGGAGGAAAGCAGGCATGCTGGTGGCAGATATCATGCTGGAATGATGTGTGCAGGAAACCACCACTGACAGTGTTGTAAACTAAGGTACCTCAGCAGAAATGGGAGGGAGAAACATGAGTGCCCCAGAGTTGCTGTATGTCACTAGGAGAACACAGTTCACCTGATTTTCCTTTCCATTTTTGACTCATATTAACATGTTCTTTTACTTTGTTTCTTTTTATTTCAGAATCATAGAATAAGTGCCACTTACTGAACAGTTATATTCCTTTGGTGCGGTCATTTCACCTCGCTTCATTCACCTACAGTTTGAAACTGAAGGATAACAGTTTCTTTTATGTTTTACTTTTATTTATTTATTCTGTTTGGTTTTGGGTCACACCTGGCGAAGCGGAGGGGTTACTCCTGGATCTGTACTCAGGAATTACTCCTGTTGGTGCCTGGGAGACCATGTAAGACGCCAAGGTTAAACCCAGCTCGGCTGTGTGTAAGGCAAGTATCCTACCCGCTATATTATTGCTCCGGCCCAGGTAACAGTTTCCCGAAGGGGGATTAAGTGTCTTACTATTTCTTCCCTTTGGACCACAATATTTGGAAAAGATTACTGCTTTTCTCTCAGCCCAGGAAAGCATGTACCTTGATGAGTTAGTACGACTACCTAGTCCTCTTATATGCCATATTAAGATGATGAAACGGACTGTGCTGGAAATAGACTCATCTTCCAAGCATTTGCTTTAAACTCTTTTGAAAAGATCATATGAGAAAACGCACACGGCCCTGAGTTCAGCCCTCAACACCACAACCTCAAAGCAAGGCTGGGTGGGGCTGCTATGAAATAAGCGATGAATTAAGGGCACTGAGAAAGGGGAAGTGCTTTGTTGGGAGAAAGGGGAAGAGCTCTGTACGGACCTTCTCAGTACCCCTGGCCTCAATTCTCACCAGCTCCTCTCGGCACATCCCGCTCCTAGTGTCATTCTCACTGCAGGAGTTTGACACAATTTTACCCTGTATCTATAAGCAAACTGTTTCTGGAAACAAAAGGCTGAGAATCACAGTCAGCTCCCTGCCAGGCAGCTGAAGGAACAAAGAGGGGTTCTAAGTTGAGTGTCACTGAGTTGATGGCAGGGAAGAGGGCCTGTGGGCTTCTCCCGACTCACCAGTGGCATGTTGGAGAGTGCCAGGTGCTGCGGCTCCCTTCTGATCTTGATTAAAAAACTTGCTTTGAAGGCAGGTTCATCAAAACAGGGGAAAGCCATTCTGGCAGCAGTAGGTTCAAACTGTGTGGAAGCAAGCACCCTGAAATGATGGAACAAGAGATAAGAGCACAGGACAAAGTGTCAGGGACTCTGAAATCGGCGTTTGTTCTGGAGCCACACTTGCTGGTGCTCAGGACTTGCTGCTGCTCTGTGTTCAGGGATCACTGCTTGAAGGGCTCAGGTGGTACCGGGCGGAGCCGGGAATCAAATCCAGGTCAGCTGTGTGCCAGTACCTGATGGACCATGTCTCTGGCCCCTGAGTTTACTTTTAATTCCTAAAGCTGTCATATGATTGATGCATTTCACTACAATATAAATATTTTGATAGGAGCTACCAAAGGCAACATTTTAAAAAACACAGGCAAATGGTGAAAACGGAGTAGCATTTCTGCAATAGTGGACGGCTTTTAAGCCAACTAAAACAAGGGAGGAGGGTCTCTACAATGCTTTTAACCAATATAAAAACATTTCTTCTAATCAGCTTGTTATAACTTGGTTTAGCACAACAAGAACTGTGCTACACACAAAACGATGTTGAAGCCTTAATCTCTAGAGTCTATAGATGGAACTACACTTGAAAATAGGGTTTTTGCAGGTGAAATCAAGTTGAGAGAAGACCAATATGAACGGTGTCCTACTACGAAGAGGGAAGTCCGGAGACTGAGTATGTACGAACAGAGACAGAGAGCACAGTACCACAGGAGCAAGCTGGCGGGTCTCAACGCCAATGGCCACCAGCATTGAAGAGGAGGGAAGGAAGATTCCTATTCAAGACAGGAGCCAGGGAGGATCTACTCAGAGACGGGAGCACAGGGAGGATCTACTCAGAGATAGGAGCACAGAGAGGATCTACTCAGAGATGAGAGCACAGGGAGAATCTACCCAGATGGGAGCACAGGGCGGATCTACTCAGAGATGAGAGCACAGGGAGAATCTACCCAGATGGGAGCACAGGGAGGATCTACTCAGAGACAGAGCACAGGGAGGATCTACTCAGAGATGGGAGCACAGGGAGGATCTACCCAGATAAGAACACAGGGAGGGTCTACTCAGACAGGTGCACAGGGAGGACCTACTCAGAGATGGGAGCACAGAGAGGATCTACTCAGACAGGAACATACGGAGGATCTACTCAGAGATCGGAACATAGAGGATCTACTCAGAGATGGGAGCACAAGGAGGATCTACCCAGACAGGAGCACAGGGAGGATCTACTCAGAGATGGAGCACTGATCACTGCCACCCATAGTTTGGAATTTTTGTCTTGCATCTCTCAATTCCTGTGATCTGTTTCTGCTCTGCTCAGTCATTTAGCTCATGCTCTTTGGTAAGACTTTTGACTCCACACCCTTCATGATGATGCAGTTTGGGAATGGGGAGCCCAGTCAGTGTTGAGAACAATGTATGCCCAGGACCTGCTCTCTCTACAGACCATCTTGCTTAGCTGTGGCTTGCCAAGAATGTGTCGACATTTAGTAAGAACTTACTGTACTTCACTATTATAGCAGTCCTAGGAAATGAACACATAGGCTAAAAAAAATAAAAAATCTCACCATTTATTGGGCTGGGGCTAAGGATCAAGTGATAGAGCCCAAGGTGGCAGCTGCCCTGGTGTGGCCTAAACCCGACAGCACAACTTGTATTGATCCATTTTTTGAAAAAATAGTTTGAGCCAGAGGTAGCACAGGGTAAGGTGCTTGTCTTGCATGGTTTAGCCCAGCATCATACACCTGCATGCTGCCAGCAGGGATCCCTAAGCACAAGGCCCTGAGAATTGCCAAACAGAACTCCCTACAAAAACAAACACACGAACAAAATAAGATAAAAATAAAAATGCTCCTAATATCACCAGATCTGATGAAGTGAAGAGCGAGGTTCAACTCTGATCGAGCAGAAGCATAAGATTAAAACACTATGGGGGGAAAAAAAAAGAGATTAAGAAACAAAACAAGGAGAGAAATCTTTGGCTATTTTCAGCTCTCCAAAGACACAAAAGCAGAACCAAAGAGAGAATTCCATCCTCAAGCGAGCATTCAAGGACAAGCTCCCTAGAAGAAAGCAAACTCAGGGGCTGGAGGGTAGGGTCTCTGCTCTGCATGCAACCAACCAGGCTCGATCCCCAGTACAACTAATGGTCCCTTGAGCCTACCAGGAGTGACCCCTGAGTGTGGAGCCAGGACTAAGCTCTGAGCATCTCCAAGGTGTCACTACCTCCCAAAATCAAATTTAAAAATAAAATAAACTGAGTGTGAGCAGGACTTTGAAACCACCTCGACAACGTACCTCAACTCGCCATCCTGGGTCCGGTAGGTGCTTTTATAGAAGCCGTGGAAGCTCTCCGAGAGGTTGCCGGCATACTGGATGGCGACCGTGTACAGGCGCCCAGCGAGCAAGGGCTGCGAGGCCAGCAGGGCGAGCTGCTCGTGCTCCGGGTGCTCCAGCACCCTCAGGGGGCTTTCCGCTTCTCCCTCTCCAGTGCCCATCCGGAGGGTGGCCTGAGAGATGCGCAGGTGCTGGCTGTGCAGGATGATGGTGCTGGTGGGCTCGGTGCTGGTCACCTGGATCTCCACAGTGCCCTCAAAGGTCAGAGTGGAGAGGTTGGCGTGGATCATGAGGTCGTAGTGGAGTGGGGTGACATGCTCTGGAAGTCGCATTTTATTCCAAGGAAAGGGTGTTCCCTCCTCAGCATTTGGAGAGGCAGCGTCTATGCTCTGTGCCCAGGAAGGGGCTGGTACCATCAGGAGAACCAACAGCCAACACGGGAGGAAGGGCACGCCGAGTGCCGTCAGCTGGTGGTCAGCCATGACAGTTGCTAGGATAACCTAGAGGCCTAGAAACAGCAAGGACCCCAAAGAAAGAAAGAACACAAAGTCAGGGAAATAGTAAGATGATGGGATTTTGTGATTTTTTTCCCTCTGGAGTCAACATACGGATAAACACTTAGAAAAGCGATTGATCTTTTCCTAATATTCCCCAGATACTAGGTATGAAAGTAATGACCTTCCCTGTGTCATGAATAAAAGAAAGAAGTTTCTAGTCAGCCACAATCAGCACCATCCCTCCAGCCTCACAAGACCAAAAGCCCAACCTGCCTTTCACTCTTTGCCTGAGGGTTCTCGGCTGAGAGCCACAAAATTCTGCCTAAGCACTTACCCAGAGCACTCACTCTGGGGACATTCAGGAAACCTGGTTCAGAAAACAGACCAAGAGGGACTCAAGACAACATCAGATAAATTTCTGATCTGGTGACCACCCCACCCACACTGGGTCGGGGGTGATTCGGCACCCAGCCTGGGGGTCAGATGTTGACAAAGCTGAACTGCACCTAGTTCTCTAAGCCCCTCACTTTCGTAGAACTTGTGTCAATCTCAAAGTGTCAACTTGCACTGCAAGGCAGGTGAGGTGTTCATGCTGCCAGTCCGGAGGCGAGGAGACAGGAGTCTGGATTTCACAGTGTAGGCCAGGCAAGATCCATCTTGCTTCCTTCCACACTTACCAAGGAGAGAATTCCTCAGATACAGAGACAGGGACCAGATAGATGGTACCGTGGGGGAAACACTGCCTTGGACACAGAAAACTCAGGTTCAATCCCTGATACCTCTTACAGTCCCCTGAGCCCTGCTGGAGTGACTCCTCAGCATAGAGATAGGAGGAACTCCTGACCTCTACTGAATGTGGCCCAGCCCCCACCCTGTCCCCCTCCCCCCCACAAAAAAAAGAAACCATGGAAAGTGTACCAAGGAGACTTCGATCCAGAATAGCAAGACAGGGAAAGGCAAATCCATAACAATCTAAGCAGCATGCATCTACCACCGAGATCTGCCATGCCTAAACTTAATTTACTAGACATTAAGTCAGGAACGACTAAAGTATTTATGCTTATTCTCAGGACTACTGGTGACAAACATGAATCGTGGGGACTCCCCTAATCATCCCGGCACATGGGTTGAGTGCTACACGTAAGACAAGAGTGCCAAGCACACCAAATTGCTCCCTCCAGGTCACAAATTCTAGGACAAGAAAATTCAAATGCAAGTACGAAAATGGCAGGGAGCTATGGGGGCTGTCTGGGCAGTAATAATGGACATGGGTGTATGTTTGGGAGGGAGGGAGTGAGTGCCTTGGGACTTAGCCTTGAGAGCAGTCTAGGAGGACCGGGCAGATTGGGAAGCAAAGGGGGGTGGGCAGTGAGGGGCTTGCGGGAGGAGATCAGGCCAGGGGCACAGCTCAAAGAAAGGAGGAGGCTGTGTGGGAATCCACAGGGACACCTGTCCCAAGGGAAGGAAGGAGGTTAAGCTCCAAGCAGCCTGGGAGTCGTCCTATAGGCGGCATTTTATTCTATATATTTGTACTTTATCCCATATATTTGCATCATTAAAAAATTTTTTGTAGGGGGGACATACCAAGCTGTGCACGGGACTTAACCCCTGCTCTACACTCCAGCATCACTCCTGATGGTGCTTGGGGGACCATATTGGGTGCTGGGGATTGAACCTGAGTAAACTGCTTGCGAGACAAGATGACTGCATGCCTTACCCAGTGTACTATCAGTCCAGCCCTTGCACCTTGTTTTAAAGGCCAGGTGACAGGAAAGAAATATGAACTTCCAGGAGCTGGCAATCCACACCCAGAGACCCAAACTTGACTTCATCCTTTTAGATCAAGTCGCTTTTGTCAGGGGTGTTTTCCAGGAGGCCAGTGACCCAGGTGGGCACAGCTAGTCATCCTGATTCCCATACTGTGGTACAGGAGATTCTCCCTCCATGTCAGTGGTTCGGCTGCCACAATTGGGAAGTCCTCAGGAAAATTAACTGGGAACTGATGGTGATGGACTCGGGATATCAGACTCTTCTCAAAGCTCCCAGAATTTCTTTGGAAAAGCCAGGCTGAGAAGCTCCCAGATAATCCTCGTCACACCCTGGTCTCTCCTTTAAGCCACTGTGGAGGGATACAAAGCTTTTCCTGCTACTGACCATCACTTCCCTCCCACTCCCTCACCCTGTCAGGGGTACCGCTCAGCCCCAGAGACACCCTGCAGGATACACAGAGAGGAAAGCCAAGAGGGCGGCAGCAACCATTGAGAACCTGCTTCCCAGTTTAAAGGCAGAAGAGAGATGTGAACAGGGAGAACAAGTTCTGTCTGTTTCGTGTGTGTGTGGGAGTGTGTGAGAACCAGTGGAAGAATCTCCAACCCACTGAGGGTTGATGCAATCTGGAGTGAAATGGTGAAGGAAGGCATCACGACGGTCAGCTTCTGGGGCAGAATTTCAGGGCAGGGACTAGGTGATGGCCTTCACGGGCGAGGTGGGATGCTGCCCCTCGGAACTGAACCTAGTGGGGAAGGTGGCTAAAGGGGTGTCTAGGGTGGAGGGCCCATTCTCCAAGACGGGAGGTCGTCCAGAGAAAGCAGCCTATTCAGGTAGGTGAGAATTCTAAGTCCCGAGTATTCCAACATTCCAAGAGAGTTGAAAACTCCAAGGCATCGGCAAGGGCACCTCACATCCAAGGTTCTGCAGCGGTGATTCAGGAGGGGAGAAGACCAAAGAAGCTGTGTCTCAGGAAGGATGAAACATCAGAGAAATAAGATGGCACATGTAGCATAGCCAGCATAAATGTCAGAGTACTTCTGACTTATATGATCAGATATGTACACAAACACACACACACACACACAAGCACACACGCACGCACAAACACACTCACACATATAAATTTCCTTCTGAGAGAGCAAAAAGGAATGCCCTGCCACAGAGGCGGGGTGGGGTAGGGGGGACGGGATGGGGGTGGTAGGAGGGATACTGGATCATTGATGGTGGAGAATGGGCCCTGGTGGAGGGATGGGAACTCGAACATTGTATGACTGAAACGTAAGCATGAAAGTTTGCAAATCTGCAACTCTATCTCACGGTGATTCATTAAAAAATAAAATGAAATAAAAATAAATTTCTTTTCTGAAAGTCTAAACCACGCTGCCTTTGCCGTATGACCTTGGACCGGTTCATCAGTCTCATTTCCCTCATGAAAAGGGTATAGTGAAAGTAAAAGCAAAAGGGGCCCCTCTCTACACCATCCGGTAAGTATGAATAAGCTGCAAGATGATTGGTAGTTGGCTGGGCGACCTGATTGCTTGTTCCGTGTGACCAATCAGGTTGATGGTGGCCACGCACGTTGGTGTCAGGCCTAAGCAACCGGAAGGCAGGGGTGAGACTGGTACAGTAGATAATTCCAGGCCTTGTGCTCTGGCAATGGCGTGCAGGAAAAGAAAAGCGGCCGCTGGGAGGAGATGCTGAGGAGAAATTGCTGTGGAAAGGGAGCTCTGGGGGGACTGGGAACCTCTTGGCCGCTATCCATGAGAAACCAGAGCTAGCTGCTGTCCATAACAGCAGCACTCATGGGACAGCAGTGGAGGTCAGAGGCGCTGAAACCATCCCCGTCACTCAGCCCACAAGCACATGTCACAGTTCCATGATGAGGGGAGGGTTCCGCCCAGCAGATCTCACCTCGCAGACTTGACCACCCCTCTATGGCGGGCCAAAGAGGAAGAGGGACCAGAAGGCATAGAGAGATGGGGAGACGGGCAGGGTGAGACTCCGTACCCACCACTGCTTCCCTAAAGCTGCAAAGTGTTGGGACGGGGAGTCCCGGAGCTCCTCGGGCTTTGGGTTCTCTTCACCTGAGGATCTGGGGTGCCAGCACTCTAGTCCTCTGTGCCCTCTTCCCAAGGCCACTGACAGCTGCAGCCTGTGTTGGCTGTGTTGGAAGGGCCACGCAGTGAGGTGCCCATGCTGGCACCCCAGCAAGGAACAGAGAACTCGGCAAGGAAGGGCACTTCTACAAAGTCCACACAAACAGGGAGACCTGCTATCAGCCAGGAAAGACAGGGGGAAAGCCAGGCAGGCTGCTTTACACTGGGGGCTGGGGCTCCCAGGAAAGTCTCAGGCTAGCTAGGTAAGGGCAGACAGAATTTCCCAGACACGGAGATGGCAAGAATATCTGTGGAGTTAGTGGCAGACTACAGAGCAAGAAGCAGATGCAGTGGAAAGATTCACGGTGACAGGCAGGCCCAGTGCTGGGGCGGGGGAGGGGGGGTCTGCTACACTAGAACCGCAATGGCAAATGCCTGCATCTTGGGATCCACATCATCCTTTAAGAAAATCAGATCAGGCTGGGCAAGAGAAATAGGACCCCAGGGCAGCAGGTAGGATGTTTGCCTTGCACAGGGTCAAGCCCTGATACCTGAGCACAGAGAAAGGAATGAGCCCTGAGCACCCGGAGTGGAAGAATAGGGTGAGGGAAGAGGAGGGAGAGAGAGAGAGAGAGGAAGAGAGAGATGGAAAGGGAGAAGGAAGGAAGGAAGGGAGAGAGGGAGGCAGGCAGGGAGGGAGGGAGGGAGGGAAGGAATGAGGGAAGAAAGAGACGTTACCACGGGGTCCATGAAGACTACAAAGGAGAGAAGTTCAGGGCTGGTGGTCTACCCACGGTGGGAGAGGAGGTTTATGGAATCACCCACATCCTCGGTAGGGAGCGAGCACGTGGCAGGATTTTCCTCCCCTCTCCACACCTCCCTAGAGCACTCTGGAGAACCCGGCCAAGTTGGGGTAGGAGGCATGGGGGCTTTTCATTTGCCCTCACACCCAATAACTTTCTGAAAAGCCTGGTCACGGCCAGAGCAAAGGGGCGGCCAACGGCTGGCCAGAAACACAGGACAACTGTTTGCAAGACATGCATGTCCAGAAAGGACAGCGAGCGGCCGCGACAGCTGGGACTCCAAGGGCCGGCCCTGACCCGGGTAGTCAACGCGGTCACGGCCGTCCGTTTCTCCAGCAACCGTCCGCCAGGGGCCCTGGACCCGCCGTCCACCCTCGCTCCTGGGCACACCGCGGTGGCAGGGGACCTGCGGCCCGGGGAGACCCGGGGCGCACGGCCCGAAGCCAGAGCACCGAGCCTAGCCGGAGCCGGGCCGGGAGTCGGGAGCGGGGACTCGGCGGGACCGGAACACGGGACCGGAACCCGAGCGCAGAGCCCGGAACCGGAGCTCTGGGCCCCGAGCCAGAGCTCAGAACCTGAGCCCAGAGCCGGGAAGCGGAACGCGAGGCCCGGAGCTCGGAACCGGAGCCGGAGCGCAGAGCCCGGTACCAGGATCCGGAGCGCGGAGCCTGGTACCAGGACCCGGAGCGCGGAGCCCGGTACCAGGACCCGGAGCGCGGAGCCCGGTACCAGGACCCGGAGCGCAGAGCCCAGAACCGGAGCCGGAGCGCGGGACCCGGAGCGCAGAGCCCGGTACCGGGACCCGGAGCGCGGAGCCCGGTACCGGGACCCGGAGCGCGGAGCCCGGTACCGGGACCCGGAGCGCGGAGCCCGGTACCGGGACCCGGAGCGCAGAGCCCAGAACCGGAGCCGGAGCGCGGGGCCCGGAGCGCAGAGCCCGGTACCAGGACCCGGAGCGCAGAGCCCGGAACCGGAGCCGGAGCGCGGGGCCCGGAGCGCAGAGCCCGGTACCAGGACCCGGAGCGCGGAGCCCGGTACCGGGACCCGGAGCCCAGAGCCCGGAACCGGAGCCGGAGCGCGGGACCCGGAGCGCAGAGCCCGGTACCAGGACCCGGAGCGCGGAGCCCGGTACCAGGACCCGGAGCGCAGAGCCCGGAACCGGAGCCGGAGCGCGGGGCCCGGAGCGCAGAGCCCGGTACCAGGACCCGGAGCGCGGAGCCCGGTACCAGGACCCGGAGCGCAGAGCCCGGAACCGGAGCCGGAGCGCGGGACCCGGAGCGCAGAGCCCGGTACCAGGACCCGGAGCGCGGAGCCCGGTACCAGGACCCGGAGCGCAGAGCCCGGAACCGGAGCCGGAGCGCGGGGCCCGGAGCGCAGAGCCCGGTACCAGGACCCGGAGCGCGGGGCCCGGAGCGCGGGGCCCGGAGCCGGACCCAGAGCAGGGCTGGGCGGCCCCGGCCGCGGCGGGAGCAGGGGGAGAAGGAGGAGGGGACCCGCCGCGACCCCCGCCCCGGCTCCCGCGCGTACCTGCCGCCGGCCCGAGCGCCCGCTGCCGCCTCCGCCGCGTCGCGGGCGCCGAAAGTGAAAGCGGGGCCCGGAGCGTCCCCGACCGCGCGCCGCACCCAGAGGGACGCGGGCACGCGGCCGCCGGCCCGGCCGTGAATCAGTGTCACACGGAAACGGTTTCCAGCGGGCTCTGGCCCAGCAGCGTTTGGAAATCCCGGAGGGCAGGTGAGACCAGTGGGGTACCTGTCCCCACCCGCACCCGCCTCCGCCCTGGACACGCCCGAGCAGGGGGACCAGGTCCCAAGAGCGCCCGTCATCCCGCCTCTGCAGATGGGCAGTGAGCTCTGGGCCGTCTGGGGAAGAAGCCGACTGCCACCCTGCAGGGTCTCAAGCTTTCAGGGACTGGGACCCCAGGCCACCTGGGCTGAGGAAGGAGCTTGTGCAAGGCCCACAGAACTTTCCCATCGCGACCAGGCGCACTTGGTCTGGTTGCTGGAGTTTGCAGTGGCCGCTCCCCAAGCTAAGTCGTTTGAAGGTGTGGTCTGGATGCGCAGTGAGCAGTCACAAGGCATGGTGACATCAAGCCATTCGGGAAAGCTGGAATGCGCCTGGAGCTGGAGGAGGTCACGTTAAGCGAAGTTAGTCAAGGGTGACTGCTAGATGTTCTCACTGATCTGTGGTCCAAAGAATAACGTGCAGGGAATGCATGGTGTCAAAGATGGGCAAACCCACCCATGGATGTATAGAAATGGGAAATGTCAGGGGAGCAGAAAAATAGGAGGAGGAGCAAGAAGAGGAGGTCTGGAAGTAACATAAAGGGGGGGGGGGAAAGCGTTGGACTTGTCTGTTATGGAGAGATGAAGCATCTGTATTTATTCAAAATCACTACACCCAACACTACTATAAGCATGTGACTCGACCCACTATAATTAAACTTGAAAACGTGCCTGACGAGGTTTAGGTTTGAGGCCGGAAATAAACTGGTGGAGGTAAGTTGGCACTGCTGGTGGGGTTAGAGTCGGAACGTGATATGCCTGAAACGCCACTGTCAACGATGTTATAAATCATGGTGTCTAAATAAAAATGTAAAATGTCTTTATCTTGGTTCCACTTGGAACTTTAGGACCACTTTTTATATATGGGAAGTACCAAAGAGTCCATCTTTATCAACAGCTGAGGGGAAATGAGGTCAGATGTGCGAGAAACAAGTTACATTTGGGAGAATGTGCTGGACATTGGGTACATTAGGTCTTTCTCCTCACCTCCAGAGCCTCGGTTCTCCTAAACCCTGTGGATCCCAGGCACTGTGACAGTACTTCCTGTTTCTCTTTATTTTTTGTATGTTTGGGGTTTGTGGTCACACAGTGCTCAGTGGGGAGGCATTGCTTATGGGGTGTCAGGGATGATACCCAGCCCTGTAGTCAAGCATGCTCCAGCCCACTTGCCGCCCTGGAAAAGTATTTTCCTCAATCCCCTGCCCTACATCTATGCCTCCTTCAGAAGAACTATCATATTTTGTTCTGTATATTCTTTCCAGTTAAGGACTTCTTTTTCGGTTTTGGTCCACACCTGACAGTGTGTAGGGATCACTCATGGCAAGACATGTGAGGTTTCCTGATCAAAACCAGGTCAGCCACAAGCAAGACAAGTGCCTTATCCACTGTACTGTCTTTAGGTTTGTTAAGGACATTTTTGTACTTATCTTGACAGCCTGACCTCCCCCCACTTCCCAGTACTCCTGGAAGCTCTGGCAGTCACCCCCATGATCCAACTCCAGCACTACCACCTTCAACTCAAGCTCTACTTCTGGTCTTGCTTCAGAGACCCATAAGTAAATCTCAAAAGTGATCAAAAGCCTCAGTTAATCTCAGATTCCACGTGGCTGAACAGACGAAGGTAAATCAGAATGGCATGGGTTAGTCTGGTGCCTGCCCAAGCAGAGCCCCCAAAAGCTGCTTGCTTCCATAATCCAAAATCGCCACCATTCCCCTGGCCCGACTCCACTCTCTCAGGATAGACCTCACCGAATATAGTCTACTAAAAATTCAGGCATGCAGGTTTTGTGACTGAAATCACCATGCTTCTTTGGAGTCAGGTTGGACTACCGCCTCCCACCTCCTTGTACTTCCGGAAGACTCAGCACTCACATTCACACCCCAGAGCAGCCACTCAATTGAAAAGCTCTCTCAGCCTTACCATCCTGATAAAAATACTGAATGCCCTGAACAGACACCATGACCTCTTAGCACCTGTGTTGCAAACCATAATGCACAAAAGGAAAAGGAGAAAGAGAGCAAGAAGGAAAGTGCCTTTCACAGAGAGAGGCTGGGGTGGGGGGATGGGATGTTGGGTAATGGTGGCAGGGACACAGGACAAAAAAAGTACACCGGTGGAGGGATGGCTGCTAGAGCATAGTATGACTGAAACCCAATTATGAACAGCTTTATAATGGTCTATCATGAATATTCAATTAAAAATTGTTTAAAACTTTAAAAAAGGTAACATGGAGTTCATGCCCAATTCAATCGGCATAATCAATGGCCGAATACATAGCAGTACTCCTACATTAAAAATAATGATAAAATAAAATTAACAGCCTGTCCCCAAACTCAACAAAAATGGGATCAAGAGAGTTTTTCCACTATAATCCAACAAAAACCAAGGACTGTTTTTGTTGTTTGGGGACCACACCTGGAAGTTCTCAGGGATTACTCCTTGCTTCCTGCTCAGGGATCAACCACTCCTGGTGGCTCTGGGGACCCTATGTGGTGTCATGGATTGAACCCGGGTCAGCCACAAGTAAGGCAATTTACCCTGTCCTACAGCTCAAGGAATCAAGGAGTTGAAGATAGCGTGTTTTTTCTTGGTGCTAGTGTTAGGAATGTGATGGTGATGGAGGGCATCACTCTGGCCTCCAGCAGTCGTGATGGGTGCCTTTCCCTTAGATGAAAACTTGGGCAGTGAATCAAGTATTTTGCTTTCCTTAATGGTTGCTTTGGGATGTGACGGCTTCCCTTTAGTTTCTAGTACAGTGTTTTCTGAAATACCAGTGACTTTGAGGATGACAGTTGCACAATACACTACACCTCCTTTTGCCCTCTCTATGGTAGCAGAGAGTAGAGAAGGTGGGAACCGGAATGACCAAAGGAACCTCAGTGGAAAGAAACTGAATCGTGAGTAAGGAGGGAGCTGAGACCACTCCACACAGCTTCGAGACTGTTCCCCCTCAGTAGCTCTCTGTAGCGCAGACCTCAGGCTCAAAGTAGCCCCCAAAGTCCTGTTCATAGTTCAAGCACTTGGTAGGCACAGCAATCAAAGGCAGGATTTGACCAACTTCCCTTCTGGTTCCAAAGCTCTGGTGGGAATCAAAGGGTACAAGCTTTGGAGTGAGGACTTTAAACTTGAAAGTATCCAGGTGTGAGGGTGGTGAGATCAGCATTTAGCACCGACCCAGCTTAGGAAAAGGATTAGAAGCAAGCAGGAAGAAAGGGCATATTAGATTTGTTGATTAGACACAGTGCTGAGTGATATTTACATCAGCTGTGTATAAAAGCTTGCGAATCTTTGCAGCAATCCTGTGCTGTACCTATTATGCTTTACAGGTGAGACACATAAGACAGACTGATGAGTTTCCCAAAGTCAAAATGAAAATAAGAGGTGAAGCCTCTAAATCTGATCTCTCTGGAGTCATTTTGATTAAAGGATGCATTTTGGTCACCAATACCACAGTGTCCTTCGATAGCTGGTCTTCGATTCCTGTCTCTCTGCCTCCCATTTCTTTGCACTTTTCCAGCAAATCCCTATGCACTTCCTATCCTAAAGCCCCTTCCTGGAACCAGCAAACGTTCCCCGAGTGACAGAGCAACCTCAAGGCATCAGCAGTCTGTAGCTCCCTCAGATACACATTGTTCATGGGACAGGGGAGTTTCTGCCGTGGAGGCAGCTCCAAATTCTGCAGCCTTCTGAAACCAGCAGCCCTCTGAAACCAGAGTCCAAAAAAGCAGCTCGGCGGATATGAGAGTCTCAGCAGTTGCTTGTTCTCACCTCTTTCATTTTTGCTTTCTCTGGAACTGGCTTTGTTGCAGAGCAGATTCTTGATTGCAGGGCACTGCCCTCTCTGTCCATTTCTGTCCCAGTGTCCTCATTCTAGAACAACAGGATGGTGACACAGTTGGAACAGTGAGATGCAATCTCTGTAAAAACTTTCAAACCTCACCTGCAGAGGAGTGTCACTGGGCATCTAACCCTGGTCCCTGTTTTTGATGATTAATCAAATGGTATTGATTTTTTTTTTTTTGAGCGGGCTTGCACTTCACAAGCAGGTCCGCGGGTGGGGGGATGGGAAAGTCTGGGGATGGGAAAGATGGTGTCACTATCCTCTTAAGAAAATCCAGAATCAGGGATATTGATATTCTTTTTGGTTTTATTCATTTTTGGATCACACTCAACAATGTTCAGGGATTACTACTGACTCTGCACTCAGGAATCACTCCTGGCAGGGCTCAGGGAACCATGTGGGGTGTCGGGGATTGGACTCGAGTCAGCCGTGTGCAAGGCAAGTGCCTTACCTACTGTACTATCTCTCAGGACTGATATTACTGTTCTTGAAAACCAACTTCAGGCACTGTAGAAGCCCATGGAGGTGTCTCAGGGACCACAAAACCTGTGGGTACAGAGGAGTTTGACTTTGGGGAGCAGCTGGCAGAATCTGAATAGGAGTGGTTAGAGCAATAGCCGCATGGGCTGAGCACATGCTTTGCTGGCATAAGGCCCAGGTTCCTCTCCAGCACCGCATATGGTCCTCTGAGCATCTCCAGGAATGATCCCTGAGACGGATATCCCCTGAGCATCACTGGGTGTGAACCGCCCAACTAAAGCAAGAACAACATAGAAGACCAGAGTGGATGAGCTGTCCTACTTCCTCTATGTTAGTCTGCTTTCCTCATCATTAATTAAATGTAAGGTTTTTTTTGGCAGGGGGAGGTGCCCACACCTGGTAGTGCTCAGGGCTTACTGCTGGCAGGGCTCAGGGGATTGTATGTGATGGCAGGAATGGAACCTGAACCAATCATGTGCAAGGCAATTGTGCTGCCCACTGTACTATCTCTCTGGCCCCCCAGGTAAAATTTTGCATCGAAAGGATAACAGTAACTGGCAAGTTGGCAGCAGCAGAAGAGAAATGGACCAGATGTTGATTATCATGGACCAAAAGCTAATAAGGATGACTTGATTCA